ATATAAATATATATATATATATATATATATATATATATATATATATATATATATATATATATATATATATATATATATATATATATATATATATATATATATATATATATAGTACACAACTGCGGTCGGATTCAACTACCTGAAACTATATATAACTTATAATACTTTTTGTGTATGGAAACGCTACGTAAATTTATTACTGCAAAGCTTTCGACCCGTAAGCCCAGATCTGTGCTAATAATATGAAGCTTTGCACTAATAAATTTACGTAGTGTTTCCAAAAAGTATTATATGTTTTATCGCCATGCAAACCTACAAAGAACTTATATATAACTTCCCAACGAAGAGCTTTCGCTTGAAACGTCACGTTTTACTTGTATTTTTCAACAATCCCTCTCACATTTATCCCTGTGTGTCATATTTATAAACTACTGTATCTATTTTGAAAGCTTTATGTATTAACCCAGTCTCGGTATAAACACGAGATCGCGTCCTTTCCAGGCCATGTCTTCTCTTCCAACGTTGGTAGAACATCCGAAACTCGGGACTGCGAAAGTAGTATATAAGTGGATCTAAGACGATGTTAAGTACCATCAATGGGGAGAGAAATGCAGTATATCTTTGAAAATCCACCTCTTCTTTCTTGCTGCCATAGAGAAAGAAAATTAACATCAATGGCAGCCATGCAAGTATGAATGTTGCACTAACCATTGTGACTGTTTTTACAGACTTTAAGTCTTCCTTAAGATTTCTTTGTAATCCTGTCACGACTCCGTGAAAAGTTTCTTTTATTTTTCTAACATGTTTTCTTGACATATAAAACATGTAGAGATTGGATGAGACGAATGCTAGTACTAAGAACATCATGTAGTATCGTCCATAGTTAAAGAAATTGCCATCGGAGTAGACTAAGTAGCCAATCAAATGCAGTAACGTTAATATCGATGCAGCGGCCCATACGAGCGCCACCAGGAGCTTGGCACGTAAAGGAGTCATCCTTCGTGCATATTTAAGAGGCCACGTTATGGATATCAAGCGGTTAATAGTCAACAGACATACACTGCCCAGTGATGAAAATAGCGTGAAAGTGAATAAGCAATACGCAGCTTCCCAATTCCAGTAAAACATATGAGATATATAAAATATTACTGACACTGAATTACTCAAATCTGCTATCGATTGATTCAGTATAAATAGGTTGGCAGGTACATCCGCATATCTTCCCAACGATATGATAACATATACGACTAAAGCATTTGTAAAAATCCCAAGGAGAGTCACAATTGACAAAATTAGAGTGAGAACCAGCTTTTCTTCTGAGTTAAGAAAGTCATGTGGATGTCCAAAAATTGCTGTGCTGTTGTTAATCATTGCCACATAGACCCGAAACAAGGCAAGCGTTGTTTATCCTTTAATATGTAAATGTCATGAACATATGCATTAGTTTAAAAATATTTATTATAACATTGCATTTATTTATTATAACAAAAGCTTGGTACGATATATGCCTGCGACGTACCGGCGACGGTGCCAGTGGTAGCTTTAAAACGTAAATTTGTGAACATTTGTTCGCCGATTGCCTCCAGTGCGACACTTACATCGGCGATAGGCCGGGAAAGTTGACTTGAGCTCAACTTTGCCGGTATTTCGGCGGCAAGTAGAGACATAATGATACAGTTGCAGGCACATGTGAACCAGGCTAAGGCTGCTGTTTCCACTACACACGTAAAAATCTCACAACTTGTCAACAAGATGTGTTCGCAACAGGCTTGTAGCAAGCTTGTCAACAAGTTGTAACAATGCTGTTATTTTATCAAGTTGCTACAAGGTTGCGACTAACAATTTGTTGACAGATTGTTGAATTGCAGGACGATAACAAGTTATTGGGACAACTTGTAAAAAGTCTGTTGAGCTCAACAACCTTGTAGCACGTAGTCGACAAGCCGTTGACAACTTGTCAACAAGCTGGGAACAAGCAGTGCGAACACATCCTGTTGACAAGTTGTTGGAACAACATCGCTACAAGTCTGCTGCAGGTTTGTTACAACTTGTGTGTTTTTACGTGTGTAGTTAATCGTTTTTCATATATACGTGCTTGAACACACGCGGAAAAGTTTAAATCAATTTCAAAATGAAATAAATAAATTTAATTTAAGCAGTTTTATCTATGATTTAAAGTGTATGTTGGGTAATTTTAGAAAATCTATAGAAAAATTTAAACTCTAAAGTTTTCCGCGCATATCAAAAACGGTTAACTGGAAAGGAGCCGTTACATTTAAGTCTAAATAGTAGACGAACGAAAACAAGAGACACACTTACCGTTACAGTAGAAATTTTTTCGACGGATTTTGAACCCCTTTGACTTTGCCTCTTTGGTCGCTTGTTCAAATTTTACTCGTACGGTTTAAATAGCAGTCGGCGTTTCCATATTGCTAGCCGGTGACTTTCAAATCAGAAATGTACATGCACTTTTCCCCGTAATCCGTTAATCTTTACGATAAATTAACAAGATTCTGTCGTGACATAAAATAGTTTTTATGAGTGATGGGACGGTGGGAGTCATACGGAAATCATTGCCCATTATAATTAAATATGAAAGAGCCACGCATAATTTATGGTTTTACTGCCAATTTGTAATTTTTCTGTCAAACTTATTGGATAATTGAAATTCAATCTGTGTCCTTGGGCTTGGTATTAAAAGAAAAGCCCGCAATCTCCGTTCATGATAGGGTATATTTTCCGTATATTGATTTTTACATTCGGCATGTTAGAGCCTGAAACCTGCAAAGAATTGCCGGTGCTAGAAAGGTACATGTACCAAACAACATGCAGCCTACAAATATATCAAAATTCAAACTATTTATTTTAAACCCTGCTATAGCTAATTCGAATATTAGCTAATAAGTGTCAAAAACTGAGCGAGGCGGTTGAAGCATGTTAACTTTCCTTATATGGCTAAATTTTGGAGTTTTTAATTAAACACTTAACTGGAGTGTATAAAAGGTATAATAACGCCAGCTGGAATAGGGTTGAATGTAATTTAAGGTTCATTTACATGTTCGTGCTGAGTCATGTCAGCTTCGAATTTCGAGATGATCTTAGCCCCCAATCCCCCCTCCCCCCATGTTAACTTGGAATCCTATACCGCATTCGAGGTTTTCTAAGATATTTATGTGTTTGTAAATATATTTTCTTCTAAAATGTTATTTTATCTTATTTTAATTTTTAGAGGCTGATTTTAGTCTGACGGACAAAATAACATTAGCTCTGAAAGCTCAGTTAGTAAAGCTTCCAAAACCCAAGGTAATCAATATACACATTGTCAATTCAACTCCAAAAACGTTGACACTTAGGGCCTGTTCGTGCGGATAATATGGCCTTGCAAACTTTGCAAGGCCATATTATCCTTACTTTACAATATTTTACCACCAAACTTGCTGTTCTACTTATTTTGTTGCGTTCTTCAGCGGTTGTGTTTGGATTTTAATTTCTTTGTTTAAATGCAAATCAGGGAAAACCGTGAGAAGGTCCATTGGAGTATCAAACTACAGCACTCAATTTGTTTCATTTTCCTCCGAATCCAAGACTATCACATACGTTACCACTGAGATAACTGCTAGTTACCACCGTGGTAACTTCTGCATGATAGTGCTTAGTGAAACCTACCCGAAGTTCAAGTTGTAGTCAGGGGCGTAGGAACGGGGGGGGGGGCAAGGGGGCCTAGGTCCCCCAAGTTTCCAGAAGACACAAAAAGTGCCCTCTCTCCGGTGGGAAAGTGATCTTTGTCTTCGTGAAAAATATTGTTCAGAAAATAATCTGCAATTCTTGAGAAAAGTACCCTTCAATATTAAATGTTCATGAAACACATAAATTTAACTTTTGGTCGATGTTTTTTTAAAAAAATGTGATCAAAAACGTTGATTGTAGGTTGCAATTCGAAATTTGGGCAAATGTATTATATTAAGCATGGAATATGTTATGGTTGCAAGATTGTTTTCCTCCCCCCATACAAGGAGAACTTCGATGTTTTGAGCGAAGGCTCTTCGTTGAGAAGTTTGTGGAAGAAGAAGCGCCTTCGCTCGAAACGTGGAAGTTCTCCTTGTATTTTTCAGGTAGTTGCATCCCTATCCATCCGAAGCTTTCTTGTTATTGCCACTACCTACACTGGTACAGACCATAGTGGTTGGATAGTTCATGGCCTATCGAAAGGGAGATGGCTGTGAAACTTATTAGAATAACAATATAATTCATTATCTATGTTAGTCAATGTTTACTCATAAATCTGGTCCTTCACCGTCACGTGTGTGTATTTTTGCCCAACTAACCAATAGCAATGTTTTAGGAAAGTTACCTATCCGTGACTTGAACAATAGGGTAAATTAGAAATTGCTATTGGTTGATTTGGCAAAAATACAATACACGCGTGACGGTGAAGGACCATATTTATGAATAAACGTTGACTAACATAGATAATGAGATATATTGTTATTCTAATGAATTTCACAGCCATCTCCCCTTCGATAGGCCATGGATAGTTCAACCTTGTTTTTCTGTTGGCGCCACGTTTTTCATCCAAGTATTAAAATGACCAACATCATGTTTCACTTTAGGTGGAAGATTTTGGTGTTTCTCCAAACATCTTGCAAAAATTTCACCAATCAGAAGATTTTTCAATTCATGGTTATTCACTTGAAAATAACAAATGCTTTGTGTTACCGAGGTGAGATGAACAGTTTTTTGGTTAAATTTCAAACAAAAAGTTTAAACAGTTTTTTGTATAAATTTCAGAAATTTCCGTTATTATTTGTCTTTTAGCCTAAAAACTGGATACATCACTTGTATTTCACATCGTGATGTGGAAGGCATTGATTTCAAACGATATTGGAAAGTAATGGTGAGTTGATAACTTCTCTTAAGCCCCTGTCATCATGCCTGTTGATGAGATTTGAAGAATAATGGAAGGATTATAAATGTTTGTTTTCTGAATGTTTAGTATGGATTTAGGTTACCAGTCAACGATACAGAGCGAGAGGTGTTTTACAGCATACGTTTTCCTATGAGTGGTAAAATATTCTCGTATCCTTTTACAAATTTTTCTTCAGTAGCATTTCTGTGACCAGGTTTAACTATATACACTAACTTTATTTTGTTACTAACCGACGAAACCTGAACTTTACTAACTTTTTTATTTATACTGGATAGCCCTAACAGTTGTTCTTCCTAGAGGTCCTATCCAGTGCTCTTATGAGAGGTATTCCCCCCCTGGACGTCCGCCATTTTTAATATTATCAGGGGGGGTGAATTTCATCTCATAAGCACACTGGCTAGGACGAATCATGGCGTAGCAGCGGTTACGCTGTTTTGGCTGAGTCGGCCTTCTGTGTGTCTTTATTCTTTGATAGTAGTTGAGGTTTGGTATGTTTTCTTAACAACGGTGGTAAGATACCCAGAATACTGTATAAGACATAAAGAACCACAAGTCTCGGTACGGTGTGAGCAGAAAGCAATATTCAAGTCTTTCCTAGAAGACCTGACATTACGAATGCCTAGTGTCTGTGGAGCACCTTTCACACTCACCTCTTCAACCTTATACCCAACAAACAATCTCCACCCAGCTTCTGTATCAAAACAGACCAACCTTACAAGGGCACACACACTCTCAAAAGCCAATCAACCTTTTGCTTTTACCAAGAAGATTAAAGATATCGGTAACGCCCCAAATAAAGACGCAAGACCCAACGGTAGTACATCTATTAAAATCTCAAATAGCATTGAAAATTCATATCAAGGTAGTAACAGCATATCATGCTTGAATATGCATGTCCCTCAATCACGATACCCCAGGGTTACACCAAATACCAATTCGCTACAAAACACTCGTCAGGATATTGTGAATGTACCACCACTGAAGACTACGATAACCCAGCCATATGTTCCCGTATTTACGAAGCGTAAATCAGTTAAGGAACTTTCAAAGAAGAAAATTTTGCCAAAAGATGGAAAGCGAAGGAAAGAAAAGCCTCTGGTACCTTGTTTCAAGAAGAGTGTTAGTAAGAGCACAGCAAGTACGATTAACCCAAAAATGCCTGCTTCAAGTGGTCTAGCAGAAGTAGTTGGTCGCGATGTGTCAAAAATCGTGAAGCCGTCTTCAAGTAATGTTGGCAATGTCGTAGGTGGTGATGTGCCAAGAGTGGTCAGCTCAAGTGATAAAGGAATGGTATTAAGTCGTGAAAGATTGAGTCTTTCGTTGAGCAAGAAGCATGGTGGTGATAGCAATGGGGTTACACAGCAAACGGGACTGAGAGAGAGTTTTGACATCTTGAATGAACCTGGAGTTGTTAGCACTTTGAGTGGGCCTTCGCAATTGACAGGAGGGAGAGAAGCTGGGTTGAGTCCACAGGCTACGAAGAAGAGTATCGATTCTCATGTGACGAGTGAAAGGAACAGCCGATCTTTAGTGGAAGAAAACCAGTTTGTTCAAAAGGTAAGTTTGTGTATATTTTGATTCCTGGCGGTCCTCACCACGATAATAGAGAGGTTCAGATTTAACTTCCACTACCGCTACGCCTCACTGGCTTACACGCGTAAAAAAAGAGAAAATCAACAACTTGTTGCAAGTTGATATCGACAGGCGTGAACAAGGTTGTGTGGCCCACTATGAACAGTATTGTGAACATGTTGTTACAGCATTGTTCAACTGTAACAACTTGGAACAACGTGGTTGACAACTTGTTCATAGTTGGCCGCACAACATTGTTCACGCCTGTCGATATCAACTTGCAACAACCTGTGCGTTTTTAGCAGTACGCATCTGATTGGTTATTTAACAATTATAAACCATTTTCCGTATTGATATACAGTTATATCAATACGGAAAAGATGTTTTATATTTGTTTTATAATATTATATTATAGCACAAAGAAATATATAGAAAGAAATTTTCCGACGTTTCCGCGTTGACATTGAGTTATATCAACACGGCTCTTAGCCAATCAGCGTTCAGAATTTACAAATGCTATATTATAATCGGATATATCAAACGCATTTGATTGGTTAGTGATCCTTTAATGTTGTGGTAGTGGAATTCAAATCTGAACCTCTCTGGAAACCTAATATCTTTTTTCCTCTTTGTAATACCTCTTGTGGCTTGCTTCGTTGGATAAATATCTAATACGTTCTAATTTGTTAAATTGTAGCAATCTGCTGTTTCCAAGAAAAAGAATGCGAAGGAGCCAAAACCTGACGTTCTTGTCGATGTAAGAAAGATGGTTGCAGAAAAGAAGGTTCGTTTCGATCTCTACGACGTTGTTTGATTATAATTTTGCCTCAATCGCTTGCAAGATGAGTACTTTCTGTTATGACTCTATCAAACACAGAAGGTTCTATCCAGATATTCCGGTTTTCTCTTTTAGGTTTCCTCTTGTAGTAACACTGGATCAATATAAAGCATAGGCGTCAAAAGATCGATAAGTGTGGGGGGGGGGGGCATATTTATATATTCGTGTTCACAGACCTTAAAAACAATCGATTTCAAAAGAAATTAATAATGCAGAACACGAATATATGAATATGCCCCCCCCCCCTCCCACTTATCGATCTTTTGACGCCTATGATATAAAGAGATGATTAACCTTACTGGACCTCTAGGAAGAACAGTTTAGAACTGATAGAGCTATCCAGTACAAATAAAGTTAGTTCTTAGGTTTTCTCCTGTAGTAACACTGGATCAATAAGAGATGATCCTACTGGACCTCTAGGGAGAACAGTTTAGAACTGATAGAGCTATCCAGTATAAATAAAGTCAGTTTAGTTTAGGTTTCCCCCTGTAGTAACACTGGATCAATAAGAGATGACTCCTACTGGACCTCTAGGAAGAACAGTTTAGAACTGATAGAGTTATCCAGTATAAATAAAGTTAGTTTAGTGTAGGTTTCCTCCTGTAGTAACACTGGATCAATAAGAGATGATTCACCTTACTGGACCTCTAGGAAGAACAGTTTAGAACTGATAGAGCTATCCAGTATAAATAAAGTTAGTTTAGTGTAGGTTTCCTCCTGTAGTAACACTGGATCAATAAGAGATGACTCCTACTAGACCTCTAGGAAGAACAGTTTAGAACTGATAGAGCTATCCAGTATAAATAAAGGTAGTTTAGTTTAGGTTTCCCCCTATAGTAACGCCTGATTAATGAGAGATGACTCTTACTGGACCTCTAGGGAGAACAGTTTAGAACCGATAGAGCTATTCAGTATAAATAAAGTTAACTTAAACCCGCCTTTAAAACAGTTCTTTTCATCTTCAGTTATCGAAGGTGAGTGCAGCTGCGATTATAAAATGGTTGAAATCTGAAGGTGTGAAATGTAAATGTAAGGAAAAGAAACAAGAAGTGATGTTGAAAGTTTACCAACACCTGGGTCTCGTGCAACCTGAACGATGACATCTCCTGTTAAGGTTAGAGTTGTCTTCTTTTATTACTTATTGTATATAGAAAACGGTGGGATGGGAACTTTTCGGTTAGGCCAAAAAAAAAATATGTGGGTTTCCTATTTCTTCTTGTAAAAACGTAGGTAGGGTAGGTCGGTTTTAACCTTTTTTTTAAAAACTTTTTTTTAAATTTTCCTAACAACCGGACGCCATTTTGTTTAGTCAGTGCTTCCACATTCAAAGATATATTTCCCTAATATTGCCTCAAATTTCCATTTTTCACAAACGTTTTCCTCTAAGTGGAAACACTTACAAACATGATCCAATAAAAAAGTTTAGGGTCGGGATTTCGGCGTCCAAAAGCTAGGTAGGGTCGGGAAAACGGAAATCCACATATTTTTTTTTCCTTACCAACGGCAAAACATGGTAGTTTTCTTCAATTTCCAATCAGTTATTCGCGTTTGAATTCGCACAATCTTCGTTCATGAACTTGACAATTAACTGTGCCATACAATGGTTAATGGTCTCTTTCCGTCCGCTTGAAGAAATTGTGAGAAACATTGTCTTGTCTTTGTCTTGTAAATTCTCACACAATTGCAACACTAATCCATTCAAGACAAAAGGAACTTCACCTTTGGAATAAAGCCTCGAGAGTTAACGGAAGATATGGTACTGTAAAGTAAATAAAAAAATATAGAAGTCTTGTCAGACAATGGAAATAGTTCCTGAGTGGCAATTATATGTTTTAAAGGCTAAAGCTGCGGGACTTTCCCGTGATAAAGCAGCAGCACTGAGCGAGAGTCAGAATAATCATTATTAATGATAGATTATCTTAAAACGATCAGATAATGATGTTGTTAAAAAACTTGCAAAACGTTATCGGTTCTATCACATACACACAGTAATCCATATATTGTTACCTTCCGACCCTCCCAAAGTAAGAATTTGTAGAAGCCACGTGACCATGAATATCGAATGAGCGTCCGAGAGGCCCTGGGAACGAGGATGATTTGTACGTATCATATAATAGTTCGCAGACATTTTCCCGCTTTTAGCCATCGGCATTGGCATACAAATAATAAATATACCCCACTTAAATACACCGCAAGTCTATATAGAGACATAAGCAATATCGGGTTCCGATTCTTATTAACGCGGACAAAGCAATATATAAATTAAAAGAGCGCTATAGATACCCTAGGTCAGCACATCCATATAAGTTGTTTACGGCTTAGGATGTCATTAGCCAGGCATACTTTGGTTGTCAAAGTGGAACCGACAAGATTATAATCGGAAATTTTAAGGTCGATAACATTTATATAAAACCCCAATTATATAGTCTCCAGTAACTTGTACAATTGTATTATTATGTAACTGTTTTTATTTATCCTTTTGTTCAATTGTCTGATTCTGACCGTGCCGTCAGATACTTGAGGTTTCATAATACTCTGAGTAAACAGTTTATTTTTGATGCGTGCTTTAGGAAAACTCATCAGCAAGCATAAGGGCAGGTAATTTAAATATTCAAATACCCGAGACAGCAGGGCTTTGCTTTTAATTTTGATTTTCGCTTGCACTTCGCGTGAAGTTTGTCGCAGAGCAAGTGGTCCCGAAACAAACCAACGATGTAACAGTAGAATGGGGGATTTCAGTCTTTGATTTTTATTCGAAATGTTTTTGTCCTTTATTGAATGTTGCCTCTTGTCTCTTGAATGCTTTTAACTAAATTACAAACTTTGCATAACAATAGGAGCAAAATGTGTTTTGATCTTGCGTTTAATAATAACACGGTCAAAGTGAAAGAGATCAAAATTGAGGATAAACTTAGAGTAACCGTAAAAAAGCCCATAACATGAATGTAATATTTGAGGTTTTATATTAGATTAGAAAACGTTTGGGGAGGATTTTAGAAGTTCGTAGTCTAAGGGCCTCTTTGGTCTTAGACATACCCGGCCACATGGTTGAACAAAGGGCGGCAAACACACGGAAACGCATACTTTGCCTTGTCATTTGATTGAAAAATTAGTTGTATCCCCCAAATGCTTGTCAAAATATAAGTTTCACTATACACACGAGCAAATTTTAGGTTTACGTTAATGATATTTAAACAATACGTGGCCAACGCCATCTAACGACATTACCGAGACGCACTATATCCGTAATTAACATTTAGCAAAATCTGAAATTCAACATGAATGCCAATCAGCAAATGTAGCCTTAATTCTATTCGTATTTTGTGCCCCCTTTCTTAAACGCCATTTTCATTAAATGATTTAAAATGGCCAGCCAAGTAGCTTAGCCACAGCGAGACGACGCGTCTAAACCACATAAAACGAAACAAACATGTAGTTAATGAGCCCCTAACGACATTAAACATAAAAAGCTTGAAACTCAAAGAAGAACTGTTAAATACTTGTTGAAATTCGTCTTAAAATATTTACAAAGATACGACTTAAGTTGAGTTAGAATATATAGATGAAGTGTGTGATATGATGCGATTGTCTTTGCATTGTTTGTCCCCGCTAACAAAACTGGCTGCACATTTTACTATTTTACACTGATTAATTAATAGCTATTTAGTACAAGACCCGCAGTACGTAGACCAGAGATGTCTTTGCTTGCGTTATGCGGTTGCCAGACACGTTGCTGTCCTAATGATTCCGCCATTGACTTGATATGCGAGACTGAAGGGCTGACTCGTTCTATGTGCATGTTCGGGGACGATGCAATTGGAGGGGTGTTTACCATTGTGGGTCTTGAATCCTCTACTGGCGAAGGCGCCATTCGATTTGGAATATGACTAGGCATACTTGTTACGTAAGCACTGCCGTTGTGTACAGGTAGACCCTTGTTAGTAATCAGTCCATTCCCTTGATAGTATTCCATACCATTTGAATATATAGGGCGGCCATTCATTGCAACAGAGTTCACTTGATTCGTTGCGTTGCTTTGTGATTGATATATGAGAGGGTAGGTTGATGTAGGGTAGTCAGGATGGTACGAACTTGCTGCAGACATTTTGGTATACATTGCAAGTGCTTCACTCGGGTAGGACGGTGGTAGAGACGACATTGCGCCTTGTGGTATGTTTGGTGGCAACGCGGTAGTTTGGTATTTATCAGGGACGGTCATAAGCGGTGCTCCTGCATAGGGATTATACATTGTAATCCCTTGAGGTTCTTTTTTTAGTGTCCGTGGTTTACGTCGTTTCGGCTTGTATTTGTAGTCAGGATGTTCTTGAATGTGTACAGCCTGTAGTCGCTTTGCTTCGGCAATGAATGGTTCCTTCTCCTCCGGTGTCAGTGTCTTCCACTGCTCGCCTAGTTTCTTACTAATATCCGAATTGTGCATCTTCGGATTAACTTGCGCTATTTGTTTTCTCTTGCCGCGAGACCACACCATAAACGCATTCATAGGACGTTTAATATGGCCTTCTTCTTGTTTCCCCATCGTATGAGCTGGAACAAGAAACTGTGAATGCGAAATCTGTGGAGTAATGCAACAAGCTTCCTCCTTCGCTCGATCTTTTGTATCTCACTGGCCCCCTGGACTTATGGCGACGTCGTGTCAGTTCTGCTTCAGCAGATCACAGCTTCGGATTCGTGATTCTATTAATTTTATCTCCTGGAATGTATAGAAAAGAAAATTCACTTAGTTTACAGTTATTGACAAAACACCTCGATTTTTCATTAATCAGAATACAAATCCTTCGCGACACATTCTTGCTATACACACCAAATCTGAATTTTAAAGGAATGCACTTTGTATACCTTGTGTGTTTTTTTTTCTCAATACTTGAAACGTGTATAAAAGAGATTTAAGTATTTGAAAAACAACTAAGGATCTCGATTTTAGACTCTTGTAATACAAGTCTTTTCAGATGGATTCTTAAAGTATAAACGTAGACGTCATAGAAGCAAATATCCCTTCCTGAAACGACTGAATGAGGAAGCGCTTGAAACTCTTAATATTTGCCAGCAAGAATTTACTACAAAGGACCAGTATTTGTAAACCGTTACGTACACCGAATGCCGAGCGCTTGTGAGAATATATTTTAACATTAGGATTGCTGAAGTGTGAAATTCTCTTAAGGCTAGCCATAGCTACTGTAGCCATATTGATTTGTTCATGCACGCGTACAGTGTAAGCTCTCGTCATCTGTCTGTATTTGACAACTCTGGTACGACGTTGACGATCTATTAAGGCCTTCCTTGACTATAATCTTGAATGTTCTGTGGCAGTGTAGGTCGTGGCAATAATAAGAAAGCTTGGGATTGACGCAACTACCTGAAAACTACAACTAGCCTGCGTGGCAGAACAAGAGGTAGACCAATCTTTAGCATGTGCTACTGCGATCACAAGACCTGACTCCGTATAGTACTATATATTTGATCAAATTATTTTATTACTGTAAAATAAAAGCTTCTAAATTGAGGCATAAATACAATATTCTATGGCATCCCTACGGCTTATATCCTTCTGAAAGATAACTAGAAATTAATCTCTTAGCTACCGTGAACAACGACAATCTATGCGGACATTGATGATTGAATTAAATCGCATTATGCAAGGTTTGCCAAATTGTATCAACTGCATTTATAAGTTTAAAAATACTAAGTGATTTGGACATTTGTTGTGAAATTCATCTATTATCTCAAAATTACTCTATAGTTTATAGTTTCACAGCCGGGAACTTTGTTTTAATACTGCAACGCGGGAACTTATGGCATGGTCCAACCGCGGTTATTCTTCTTAACGACCTGGCTGCTCCGTTACTAACTGTGTTCTTATATATATATCAATGCTGGATAAATACCGTGGTAAAAGGATAATGCTTGCTTTTGATCTTATACTCAAATTTGCAACGATAATATGTTGTATTCTACGTTATCTTAACCGGTACCTCGAGTAAGATGAGACAAAGATCCTCGTCAAGTTCCCGGCGTAAATTGAATAACCTATTAACTATCATCTTGTATAATAGTTGGCTAAACACGTTACTAAATGGATGTTTGGTTTTGATTTTAAACTCGCATTTGCTTTGTCTAGGTGATACAGAAAATGATCTTGCCTACACTTCCTTGAGACAAGTTCTTCAATCAGGTCTAGTAGGTCGACTAACTATGATGTCCTAGGGATCTCTAGGGTTCATACGTATAGTTGTAGAACTACCGTACCAAATGGATTGGTTTTATTTGATACTCACGTTTGCCGTGGTATTCAAGTGAATGCCTTTCACTCGAGTGTAGAGGTTGGAGCCTGTTATGATGTTTCCGTCAAGTTCCCGTCAATCCAAATCACCCACTGCTTGTTGTCATGTGTTCAAAACCCGGGCTTTGATTTGTCGAGTGTTTCTGAAAATTGCTTTATTCTTCGGTATTGTCTCCGTGAGTTTTGTTTAGTAATTCTGCAACCTCACTTGCAGCTTGCTGTTGTATCGTACGAGCCTCTCAATGTTTAGCTCTCTAGAGCTCTCTCTCTCGATGTAGTTCAACTGTTTCTTCTTCTTCACTTCTTGTTTCAATTCAAACTGCTCTCTCGTATTTGTGAAGAGAGTAGAGAAGCACTCGTTGGTTTCTTCGATTCCTTCAACTTGCAGCGTGTATCTTTGAACGTTGCTGTTCCGCTTTGGTGATTTCTTAACTGTTTGTTCTTTGTGTCCGGCTGTTTAAATTAAAATAGTCTCTCTGATTTGTCGAGAGCAGGAGCCTTGATGAGGTCTCGATTTCCTCACAATTCCTGAGGTGACAATCAGTACACTCTTCACGACGACTAGCAACTCAGTATCGAACGTGATTATTGCTCGATGTCCTGTCGACGTATAATAGGCCAATGCCAATATTGCATTTTCATAACAATAAAGCATGTAAACAATAGGCGTTAATTATTTGAGATGAATAATTTATGCTGGAACTCTCGACCAACGATCAGCGGCAAATGCGATTGTCGGCATGCAAGTTAAGACGTTTGATGTGAGCCCTAAGTACCGCGCGTGGTAATTATAGATCGCTTAAGACACGTGTTCCGTCAAGTGCTGTTTTTCAAACGAATATCACATGCCCTACGCCATAGGATAGTTCAAATGTTCAATATTTGATTTCGGAGACGAAAGCTTCCCTACACGTCTTCCCTTTACACTTAAACAAAATGAAAATATATTAGTTGTTTTGAAGTTTATGTCCACCTGTGGTGCCTAACTATATTTGATGTTTTAATTGTTTTCTCGCTCAAACTAATCCTTTTGTCTGCAGCTGCGGTCAGTCAGCCTCGCCTTACTAAACCACGTGTCGTAGGACTTATAGATGTCACAAGAATGAAATTTCTAGTATTTTTTACAATATGTATGTCATTGTATCATTTTCACCCTCTTCGAGATACGTTATTCTACCATATTGCCCTTAGTATCATTTCTATCGTTATTTTTTAATCTCTGAATTTAATTATGCCATCAGTCTGAAATTTCGAGTGTTTTGTATAAGCAGGGGTGTAAATTGTCATTTTACTTTGTAATATTGATTTTACCATTTACTTCCTACTCTTCCCGCTTCATGATCTACAGTCTTTGCCTCAACCGTCAATTCTTCCGTTGTATCTAAGCTGAATTGTCGTTTATTTGTGCTGATTCATATAATCCTGAATGTATATGAATTGTCTTTTTGTGCGATTTTGTGATTCTTGTCTTTACCATTGGTTTTATATTCTTTAAACGTTCTGGTTCTACCATCCTTCATCTTCTAATCTCTAACGATTCTCTTATGGATGTTTATTTTCAAAAATGTCCTTCCTTCTACAGATCGTTAAGAAAATGGAGTGCGATGTTTACCTCCGCAGAGAATTCTCGTCTGGCATTGTTCTCTCGCTTATGATCAATCCTATTATTGACTGATATAATTGTTTATGCCCAGTAATTCCTGCTGATTCTTGGAAGAATAGACTGTGATTGAGTTATATGTAAAACCTTCGTCTTTTAACATTCGTCTGCAATGGCATTGTTATGAAATAATATGTCTACAATGTTTCAAAAAATATTCAGATCATGAGTGCTTTGTGAAATCCAATAAATACGCTCTAATTGCATGGTGTAGATTGTATCGAAAAAATTATATTGAAAAAGGGCAGAATTACATCTATCACATCAAGCCATTACTAAACAGTATCTAGTACTTCTATTGTGCGGGTTGTTTGAAAAGAATGATGTGTGGAGGTTTATTTAAATGTGGTAAAAGTTAAAGTTTATTTAATAACACTTTACAACATGGCTCGTTGTTCAAAGCTGGTTTAGCGTTAACCCTCGTTTCAAATTAAACCTGCTGTTTTAGTTCTGCACGTCTGTTTATTAATTCAAAAAGTCAGAAGAAAACTATATACTAACAAAGTTTCTGAACAAATATTTGCAAACTTATGAACAAGCTTTTGGAAAGTTTCTTTTGAATTTGGGTTAAACTAATCCGCTTTCAAACAATCGGCCCCAGTATGTAACTGCCACACTCTCCTCTACAAAGAAAAGCTTCTGACGAGGAAAAAACCGGAAGAAATCTACCCAAACGCACTCATCAACGGTCAAGTTCTTGGGTTACTTAGTAATAATAATAATAATATTTAATATTTATACAGGAATGCCTATTCAGTGAAAAATTCACTGTTATCAACTAGGGTCCTGTCGTTAGGTTAAAAATTGTTCTAAAAAAAGTTACAGTATATACATATATATAAACTACGCTATTCTAAAGGACTGGTCATAAAGTAAAAGGGGGGGGTGGGCTGGGAAATATTATTTCATAACAATGGCTATGCAGACAATTGTAAAACCTCGACTCGTAAGCCCTCTATATCGATGTTTTTTATCCAAGTATCTTGTAAAGTTTTTTGATAACCTATAGTGCATAAAGTATTCCAGCGTGGGTGAGTGTGGGTGGAAAAGCCAGTCATCGTACGTTCAATATAGCAAAGATTAATTAGGAAAAACAACTTTTCTTTCAAGGATTAACTAACTTTCTAACAAAGTGCCGTTGCTTTAAAGTGTTGGGCATTATCGTTTATATAGATGTAGTTTTGTACCCGAAAGAAGACAGATTGGTAATGGGGTAGTCAAGCTATAGTTATAGTTACAAGACACTTAAGCAGAAATGAAAAAGTGGTGAATCAATCCTAAATCATTGGGGGGAAAGGAGTTAGAGTGGGCACAAATCATCAACGGATGTAAAATTCCTGCTCTGATCACAGAAACGTTGATAGTGTAATTACATGCCTTAGTAGCGTGGGACTAATATGCACATGAGCTTTCAAAGTCCTGACATTATATTTATGTTCTTTGTCATCAACCTCTATAAAGGCCCGCTTACCCTTGCAATTCTTGCTGCGCTTTCTAGTGCGCTTTCCTTCTTCTGATGGATGTGAAGGAGTGAATGAGTTGTGAATGTTCTGAGTATATGTAATCTGAACATTCGTTCGTTCATATAGACCCATTGCACATGACGTCACAGCGCCGGTGACGATGCATCTGGAGGACAAATTAGTAATCTATGCATAATATAACTTTCGTAAACAAAGCAACTTTTGTAAAACTTTATAATAATTTGTTTTAAAATGGTTAGTTTTTGCGCTGTATGTGGTTGTTGTACCCGAACAGATATTGTTAGGGAGCATCTGGAGGACACTCTAAGGATTTGTGACGTCAGTGCAATGGGTCTATTCATGATTCAGAAGAAGAAAATTCGCACCCAAAGTCGCAGCAAACTTGCAAGCGCGGGTCTTAAAACGAGCACTTCTCTAACACAAAAACATCGCTGCGTGTGTCCCGTTTCTCGTGTTTGAGAGGTCCAATCTTCCCGGATCTGGGTGGATTTGACCTTGTACTTTAGTATATAACAACGGAAACTGGCTAAAAATAAACTAATCCTGGGGTCTAGCAAATTTACAATCTCGGAAATAAGTAGAAAAGATTCAGGATTAAACGAATTTGTTTTGTGGTAAACACTATATTCATTTATTTGGCAAAATTTTTCGCCCCTAAATCCAGATCGTCATCATTGCAAAGAATGATGACAAAGCCATCGGATCCTCATCATGTCAATAATATTATAAGAGCATCATCCATTACGCGCGGCTTGGAATCATTTTAGTTCATTAATGTGCGGTCTCATGTAAATACAAGATATCCATGCTGGCAACACTAAAAGCTGGCTAAAAGCTGTTCAATTTGATTTCTAATTACATTTAATGGCATGCTTAATGGATCATAGTAAATCATATATCAAGCCGCCACGATAATACACGAACAACTTGATTTTGAAATTCTATTAGATGTAAATGAAGATTTTGAGCAATTCTATTAAATGTAACAAATATACATTAATTTTATAAGACTATAGTCTATATTATTCCACCTTATATATTAAGGCTTTTAGAACATAGAAAGTAAAATCGTTATTTTCTGGAGAGGATGATATACAGTAAATATGTGGCAAAGATAATTCATCAATTTTTGTATAGATACATGCCCGTCAAGAATCGGAACAATTACGAAGCGAATATCAGCGGATCGCCATATACATTTATACCACATAAACTATATTTCAGCACTTAATGAAATCAATTTAAAACGCGGTGTGGGTTTGGAAAGACTATATTTTAATGCATTTAATACTCTGATGCGTACACGCTTTGATGCATTTGATATTCGTAACTCCAATTTCTAAATTGGGTTAAAATTTAAAATATTTGACACGTGGCTAAAGATCGTGACTATTTGCTAAGCAAGTCTGTGTGTGATATTGGCCCAAAACACACACATATCGAATGTGTTTAATTTTCTGAGGATGCCTTCATACTTGATTAAGGTCCTAAACTTCGATGTTCTCTCCCAGATACTGTTAGAAATGCTGGTAGAATGTTGCATTAATTGCATGAGCAACAATTGCCCTTCTCAGGATTAACGGTGTTTACGCAAATTGGCAAATGCGAACGTTTATTCCCTTTTATACCTCGGCGACCCTTAGTATATGTTTGTATTTGAAGGGATGGTTCCAGCCTGATCTGGTAGGGGTGGGGGTTGCTCAAACCTTGGTTGTCGTTTGGATGCCCACCTTGGCCAAGTGCTGCCTCGTCCCCAGTCGCTTTCAAAGGGGGGAGAGGAAAACGAGAAAAAATTCTTTGTTGGGCGCGCGAAGAATAATGGCATTGCCCGGCAATGATATCACAGCCACTGATCTATATAGATTGCAATTGCACTGCACTGTGCCCAACGAAGGGCCTGCGAAGGAGGCAGGGCCAAGTGTATAATCACTAGAGGGAGTTCTCTGCTAGGCCCCTGGCAGGGTCCAGGATGTTACAATCTTGGACATAACCCTTGAGACCATTCCAGCCAATATTGCAAAGTTAATGAAAAACAAATGAAAAACATTAAAATAAATGGAAAATACATATATTATCAAATGTGGATGACAAACGTATCAGTTTACTTTATAAAATAAACAATGTACTGTTGTAATCCATGTGCTCATTAATATTATCAAATAATATATACATATAAGTTATTTTAATCTATATATTCTATTTAAATCATCTGCAACATTAATTAAGATGGTGTTACTATTGCAAGCAATATATATTTACTTACATTAGAAAATATTATGTTTACAAAATATATATACTATCATTTTCAATCAGAATTCTCGTTTTCCTCGTTATCAGCAGTTGTTTCGTCTTGGATTGGACCAGGATTTGACCTCTAGAAAGATGTTGAATTTTAGCAGGTTAATTTACATATTAATTAACAGCCTCAATTTATTGAGTTTATTGAGTTTCTCATTCGTTGGTGAGCGGATTTCGCAACAGGCTACTGCCCGAGAAGACGCGAAAGTCTAACCATCTACTGATGTCAATGTAAAGGTGGCACTTTCTCCTCAAATCCAGCTTGAAAGGCAAGCGCGTAGTGACCACGACGGTTTAAACCTCTTCTCCTCCAGTCTTCATATAAACCCTTGTCCTAAATAAACCTGTCGTAGCCATTAATGCATAAAACATCTGCTGTCGGGGCAATAAAGGCATTGATTCAAAGATTAGCTCTCTCGATATGGTTTAGTATATTACCTGATTACGATTCTCATCCAATGGTATTTCTTGGTTTCCACTGACACCTCTATGTAAGCAGCTACCGCTATGTAAGCAGCTACCGCAGTCAGAACACCTTGTAATCACATGGGGCTCCTCAGGTTCTTTAGGTTTCATAAGATCTCCGCAGATTCGGTTATGGCGTGGCGTAGAATCTCTGCTCTGTATTGTGTTTTTACAGCTCAGTATTGGTGATGAAATGACGATGTCTCTGCTTGCTTTTACTGCTGAGCCATCTGTATCACTTCTTGGCTAAAAACAGCAGGAGTATTGATTAGTTACTTGATTGTAGTTATATTAGTGAATCATATCATAATATGTTATCATACTCGATTAAATACGCGAAGGAATGGGTGGTGTATACGGTTGGTTTATCTCGACCTAATCTTAATGAATTAACGAGTTTCACAATTATTATTATTATCAAGAAAACACAAAAGAAATCATGAGCGTGAACGAGTTTGTATATCTGATACAAAATCATGCTGATTTACATAAACTTTAAGTTCATTTTTCTCACCAAATATCATTCATTTATTTTAAATTGTTGAAGAATACGAATGTTCTCATCAAGACGTTTCACTGAGCTATATAAAGCATTCGCGTCCGTGTTGTATCAGACATACAAACTCCAGTTGTATATCCGATAGAACACGGTTGCTCATGTTGTAAATAGTATTTATTCAATACTCAGGAACACACGTCTGAGTCATCATCTTGAGCTAAATGTATGAGTTTTTAGGTAAAAACGTTAACAAAATGAGCAATATAAATGAATGGTAATGCTACTGGATGGTGACTTAGGGAATGCCTTTATAGACTGGGAAGTTACCGGTAGGTGTATTTCACTTGTACATCTTCGTGGTGTTGCATCAGACATAACACGTGCTCTCTATATGTAGAAGAGAAGATTTTGCATATTAGTATATTGAATTGGTCCAGTATTACTACAGGAGGACACTGGAGTACCTGGAGAAAACCTGTGGTGTTTGTTGTTCAAGTCAAATTGTAAGCACTCTTCTCACATGTGACTGAGGCGATACACCCAGGCTTAGTGCTAATCCAGCTTTGAACAACCAGTTCCTGGCATTGAAATGAATATAACTGAATATATAGATATATAGAATGTCAGATAAACTGCCCTGATTGAGCGCTCTCCTCATGCGTGAAAAGACTGGAACTGGCGTTCAAGTTTGGCTTCAAATTTCCGGTCGGAGGTAGCGTTCCAGTTCTATTTATTTCAATGGTCCCTGGACACAGTGCCACGGCTCTGGCAACTGTGCCATCAACTTCCCCTCTATTATATGAAATAACTAAGTTGTGGATTGCTTTAAGAAATACAAATACTTGCCTCTGGCTCTGACGAAATAATTGTGATGAGTTTCATTGTTTCTTCAATGTGTGTGGACCGTATTCTATCGGCCAATTTTATTTCTGCAATCTCTGGTGCATCATCATCATTACGTTCGTGTGAATTTCTCGATACCATTATAATTTCGTTCAATTCTCGAAGATGTGCGAGAACTTTTAACATGTGTCCAAATGCACACCGATCGCATTCGGCTACAGTTTTTTGACAGTATTTAAGCATCTTGTCTAATTCTTTGTCAAACCTTTCGAAATTGAAGCCGTTTGGGGTAGGAAAGGGTGAAGGCGGTGGGGTAAGATTGTATGTAGGGGATAAGGGTGATTTGGCACACTCTTGGATTTTTTCTTGAATGGACGAAGTCTGTAAATGGGAATAGGTAAAAATGATCAAAGGCCAATCTACAATATTCTTAAGCTAATCAAACATAGCATTTTTATGCCAGATAGCGAGTCGTCCCTGTTTACATAATTCATGACCAAATGCAGGGCGACACCAAACTTTATCCTATTGTAATAGTTTATTTGAATGAGGACACGGCTCTCAAAATTGGAAATGGATAGAGCAACCTTTTGACGACATCATAATTTATTCATGGAATAATTTATGCATACAACATAACATAATTTATACATAGTGGATGGATGAACTATCCAGTGCTATAGATCAGTGAACGAAGTTTGAATACGCTCAAGAAACGTTCTCATGCTTGTTTTGATAATATTTTATTGCCAAGAGGGAAGACCCTGGGAACGAGTATGTCTTATTGCGTGATTCAATTTGCTAATAGTATGCGTTAATCCTCCTGGGTTTTCCCCTCCTAGATCGTCAATCGGCGTTCCTGGTTTTCCCCCAATTAAATATCGTCACAGCGCTTATAGCACTGTTCCAGCGTAATATAATCTAAAAATATAATTACTTCCTTGTTGAAATTTTCTAGGCTTTTGTTTTTCCGTGGGAGTATTGCACAACAAAACTTATAGCCATATTTACCTTGTTTAATTGATTAGAGTAATTCCCACTGCCATCTTCTAAAAAATATGCAATGACCACTTCATACCGGAAAATAAGTGCTACTTGATGAGAACTTGATCCTAAAACAACCCTAGGCCCTACATGTCATTAAAGTCAAGAGTCTTTCATTACATGTAAACATTTCCAAACCATTTCTTGAAACATGTTTTTGATGTGTCGAAAAGGTTTTGGACAATTATGGGACAGTTGGAGGGTCAGGCTTCAGTCAATGAAATTTCTTCTCTTTCACTTGCATGTTTAGTGTGAAAAGGACATGAAATTATAACCCAAAAAGTTGATTTTAAATCATGCCACATGAATTGAATGACCCCGTTCTACCAACTGTGATGAAGAGCATTGAGGTCCACGCTAAAAGTGCCACTGACCCAAAATATGATTTGGCGTGGAGTAAGAGTAATGGACTTCATGAATCATGCTAGAAGAAATGTAACATATCTTTATTGTAAAAGACCTCATCTTGTTCGACCTTTTCATTAGATGAATTGTAAATTTTTACCATCCATTTTTGCTGCTAAAATTTACACATAATGACCTCATATCTATTAACGTTGACAGTGACAAGGTTAATCAAGGTTTAACAATCTTAGTATATTGCTCGTGTATTTTCCTGACCCCAGCTACTTTTCCCGACAAAGGGATCATTCAAAACGTCAAAGTTCTCCTAGTATTTTTCAGGTAGTAGTATCCCTACCTACATGCACTGGTCAAGTACAGACCGTGCAAAATTGATCAAAGTACAATACCATAATATCACGATACTATTATATTCGTATTTCGTAGTTAAAATCAAATATGTATTGACTATATATATGCAAAGTCCTGACGCGTACCGTAGCTAGGATCACAGTGATCACGATAAACAAGCTCCTCCGCTATGGACGTTTTGTCAATTGCTTGTAACGCTTTGATCAGAACCTCTTTCGTAGCACCAGCCTGGCCATTTGCTTGATACCATCTCATTAAAACCTGGTAAGCTTTTTCCTCCGTGGACTGAAACTCGTCATCAATGTTATCGATAATAGCTTTAGTAATCCGCTTTAACTTTCTACCTAACTTTTTCCAATCGCGGCCGATCTCTTTCGCCACGAATTGGAAGTGCTTTTCCATCTCTTCTTTGGCTTCCTTATAATTGATCGCTTCAGCCATCCGTTTTCCTACAGTGTATAATTGCATGGGTATAATCTGCATGTCTCTACAATATATAGAATATCATCAGTTTGCATGTTTACATTGGTATTAGGAAAAGGCAACAATCCAAAATCTATAGTGCGTCCGGTGATGCTATTACCTACTCCGCGGATATTGTACGAGATTTGCTATATACAGAACAAATTAACATAAACTTGTTTATGTCTGTTAAAATGTTTTTAACAAATACAGACAGGAAGGACTGACCAGCATATTCCCTGCAATAACGATGTCCCCCATATCCCAAAGTAAGTATATGTTTGCTGCGCATATTATGTCGCAGTCATCTAAAGTTATATTTGGAATTGAGATAGTTTTACACGCAAAATACATCTTCACATGTAAAATCCTATGTGGGAATTTTTGAGACGGATCCGGTTGTTATATAGGAATGTCGTGAGAAATAATTACGACACATTTTATATACTGTAGATTTTTGAGACCATACCGTACGTCACTACATGTGCATATAGTTGACATCATTCACTGGGTTTAAGTACAATTCAGGCTATACTATTTAAGCTACACTATTCAATATGACAAAGAATTTCGGTGTAGATGATCACAGAATGTCATCTAATTTGACTCAAAGAATTTGATTGACAATAGGGTCTAATGTTTACAATGCTTTGAACAAGAATGGTTTGAAGTACAACACATGAATGATAGTTTAAACACCATGGTCCTTCAGTTTTCACTGTGTTTGTGTAGATGTCAACAGGATGCTATAAGTATCTCTCAGTTAAACTTTGACTTGAAGGATTTGTGAGTTTAATCGCAAACCAAAACAAACTGTTTCATATAATATCTATATGGCGACTAACTTATAAGTAGGAGCCCAGAATAATGGCTGTTCTTCCTTGACTTTTGATTGTCTACCAACGTTTCTAGTCACAATATAATATGCCGCCAAGTATATATGACAACCTGCTATACATGCGACTCTCTGAGCAAAGTGACGTCAATATATAGAAGCCTAGAATTACCATAGTTTGGCTGCATGTCTACCAAACTTTATGGAATATAAACTTTACAAGTTTATAACTTTAATTTTATATGTAAAAAAAGATAGCTCAGTTTCTTATATATCCTGTATACATATATCTATTACTTGCTGATATATATGGATCAACTGGGCTATATAGCCAATATATACGGGCAATAACCAATATATGCCGGCACATAAATAAGACAGATAAACTTCCCAATAAAACTTACCTTTCTGTAATGGTCTTGTAATGTTGAAATACTTTTTATATCTTTCCTATATGCCACAGTACCCAGGCTATGCTTATAGCAGATTGCATATTTTACTTCCGCATTGCAAAACTTTTATATTTATTTACCATCGCTCGTTGGAACGTATTAAATTACGTCAACCAAATACAACAAAACCAACCAATTTATTGCTTCGTATTTTCAATAAATTAATCTCTGTCGATGTGTTGGTCTATAACACACGAGGCTTTCTTGTATAAATAAAAGCATTTAACTTTTATTGAAATCGCTTCCACTCCGTCTCTGTGATTATGATATATAGTGTTCACTATAACTCTAACAGCACGAAGAGTATAGACTATAGTTGACGCTAAAATTCTGTGAAACCTAGCTCCCGCTGAAAGCCAAAAACTACTGTTGTACTTTGGTCTTACTTCACTCTGCTTAAATGCATTTTCCGACAGGTTACATTATAAATTTGCTGAGTAATTGTCTTTTGTTGAAGCCAATGGGGTTACTTTGTTTTAAACGATGATTGGAGGAATCTTTCTGTGGAACAACACTCTGTTCTCTCAATTATGATGTCAACATAAACACACCCACCCTCCCCCTACCAGTGCATGGTGACAAGACTGACAGTTTGTTTTTAAGCAATGCGCGCAAGGACTGGTACAGACCGTACAGTCTAAACAATTCTCTCCATAGGTATCCTCCTACTCGGAACTGCACTCGGAACAATTTCATAATGTAAACATATAACTATCAGGTAAAGGGCATAAAGAGTCACAGTCAAGCGCATTTATTTAGCCCTCAACCAAAGTTGTCATTAGGCAGGCTGTTCCACAATACCGATCGAAAGCCCTCCATAATTGTGTACCTTTTGAAAACCATCAGCTGTATATATCTGTATATATAAGAACGTTTTTAATTGACTTACTTTTAAAGTTTGAACACTTGCAGAAATTTGACCCAATGCAAACCAGATATGAATCAGCCGTCAATAAGCAAACGCACGTCTAGTGAGAACGTGACTCTTCAACTAGTCCTAACAATGTGATTTTATAATGCGTGAGCTGTTTATATAGGCTCACCATGTGGGGAAGTCCCAATTCCCATAATGCTGTACGCCGCTTCATAAAATTAGAAAAAAAAACAGTTATGTCACTTATGACTTATGAATCATAAATAACTATAAAATGAAAATTTCGAAGTGAAAAAGATCGATTTCCGTAGAGCTGCCTCCAACCTTGAGTATTAATTCTACCTATAATAATATAAGGCCCTGATTCTCTGGAAACCAAACGTTTTTCTATGGCAGCTCGCACGCATTTCTTGTTTCTAACTCAGTGATGGGGGCAGCTTGTAGTTGTATAGTGTTATATCCGTAACTATATAACAACAGCTGCCTGTGCTCAGACGTATTCATGAGCAGGCCCGTCATCATTACTAATTCATATCTGAAATACTACTAATTCATGTCTTTCTTTGTCGGTTATTGATATTTTCGAGTTTATCTACAGAGTCTTAAATTAAACCGGTTGTTTTAGTCACCATGCTTGACGAGGGAACAACTGGTTTAAGTCTAGACAAACTGATTAGTCTATATTACTGTTTTGAAACTATTAATTCGTATTTCATGTTTGAATCATATACTAAAACCAGGCCTGTATAAAGCAACTTTTATTCAGATTTATATACAGGGTGTATCATAAAAAAGGAAACCTTTAGAAATTAATCTATTGTTGTTAAGCACGATATATTTTGCTCCTGGTAATTAAAAATTCAATTCAATTGTGTTTTCGCATTCTTGCATGTGTTCAGCATAGTGCTTATAGCATTCAAATTATATTTAATAAGGTTAATTTCTAAAGGTCTTACACACCCTGTATACTTGATTATATATTATAAAATATGACATTGTAATCCACACCCAAAATTATTCAGCACATAAATAAATTAAAGCTTAAAATCCCCCTTGGCTCTTGCTACCAATACTCCAGGCGGTGGTCAACCAGCAGTTATGTTCATATCAGAAAGAGTCTATAATGTCTATTCTCTTCATTATATTCTATAAAAATCTGAAAAATTTGTCTATAAAAGGAATTGCAAATAAGGAATATTCTATAAAGGGATTGGTCTCTATAATTTAATTGTCTATATAAAAGGAATTTCAAAAGTTGCATGGCAAATAAGGAATTTGTATAAAAGGAATTGGTCTCTACAATTTGTTTATTTTGAAACGTACCAATTTCAATTAATCCAGACAAGATTTCTGTAAAAACATTTCGAAATTTATAAACAATTTTTTAGAAAGTTTGCTTTGAGGTTTCATGTTAACCTACACACGTAAAAAACTCACATCTTGTAACAAGTCTGTCAACAAGCCGCCAACAAGATGTATTCGCACTGCTTGTCACAAGTTGTGAACAGGTTTGGAACAACTTGTTGACAAGTTGTAACAACCTTGTCGAAATTATCAGACTTGTTGCAAGGTTGTTCTGACAAGTCCGTTACATGCTTGATATAACAAGATTGGTGTTGACAACCTTGTAACATCCTTGTTATATCATGGCTGTAACAAACATGTCAGAACAAACTTGTAACAAGGCTGATAATGCCATCAAGCTTGTTACAAGTTGTTAACAGCTTGTTTCAAACTTGTTACAACAAACTGGGAACAAGCAGTGCGAGCATAACTTGTTGACAGCTTGTGAACAGACGTGTAACAACTTGTTTGCAGACTTGTGACAAGTTTGTTCTGACATGTTTATTATTATTATTAATAATATACCATATTATTAATAATAAGCCATGATATAACAAGGATGTTAAGCCTGGTTCACATATATGCCTGCGACGTACCGGCGACGATGCCGATGGTAGCTTTAAAACGTAAATTATGTGAACATTTGTTCGCCGATTGCCTCCAGTGCCATAGTTACATCGGCGGTAGGCCGGGAAAGTTGACTTGAGTTCAACTTTGCCAGTATTTCGGCGGCAAGTAGAGGCATAATGATACAGTCGCAGGCATATGTGAACCAGGCTTTACAAGGTTGTCAACACCAGGTTGTAACAATCTTGTTATATCAAGCATGTAACGGACTTGTCAGAACAACCTTGCAACCGAAGTCTGATAATTTTGACAAGGTTGTTACAAGTTGTCAACAAGTTGTTCCAAACCTGTTCACAACTTGTGACAGGATTAGCCTAACCTGCTTTGGAAGAACTGCATGGCCGGGCATATTTCTGACGTTGACCACCATCTGCTGCTTCGGAGCTCTTGCCCCAACATCGAACGATTTTAAAATAATTTTTTCTACTAACTGTTTCTTCACAAATATTTGAAAGCACAGATTTTCATTTTGAATAAATCCTATGATTTTATCCCAAATATTTGAAAAATTTGAAGATTGAAGATTAATAATCAAATATGTCAACATTGTTGCATGATTTTTTTTCTGTGTACTGAGGTGAATATGATGTTTGTGATGTTACTCTGAGTGTATATCCACACCGGGCGAGCTTGAAAAATATGCCCGGCCACGGTGGGAATCGAACCTACGACCTTTGGAATACTAGCCCAATGCTCTGCCAACTGAGCTACGCGGTCCGGACAAAGGTCGTAGGTTCGATTCCCACCGTGGCCGGGCATATTTTTCAAGCTCGCCCGGTGTGGATATACACTCAGAGTAACATCACAAACATCATTGCTGTATGATGTTGGCCCAACTTTGTCGGAGTCCGTTGGAAAAAGCCTGTATAGTGAAATTGATGATTCCCCTTATTACGTTTTCGTAGCGCTTTGCATTGTGGTTATAGTGGTATCACTGATAAAGAAAGCGGCCTCGAATGAAAATATTGAATGTTTCCGCGAATACGGTATTTTGCTGTTGGCTATCGCGTACCTGACACTAGCTTTTTTTAAAGTTCTTGCACGGGTCAGGACAAAAAATAAGCCATCCCGAGTATCAGTGATACCACTATAACCATAATGCAAAGCGCTACGAAACGTAATGAGGGGAATCTTGTATTGGTTAACACTAGATAAGTAGTGGTTTATTAAATGGTCCATGATTATCCTGTGCTATCCATATATGATCTTCCACATCTCCTGTTGTACTAAATACTTGTGTCCATGAGAGATGAGTAGCGTTTGCGATATAAAGACGACCATAGCCGTACTCCCCTGGAAACCATGATCTGTACGCTGACCATCGACCTGTACACGCGTAAAAATTGAGAAAATCAACAACCTGTTGCAAGTTGATATCGACAGGCGTGAACAATGTTGTGCAGCCCACTATGAACAGTATTGTCAACATGTTGTTGCAGTATTGTTCAACTGTAACAACTTGCAACAACATGGTTGACAACTTGTTCATAGTTGGCCGCACAACATTGTTCACGCCTGTCGATATCAACTTGCAACAACCTGTGCGTTTTTAGCCGTGTAGAAATAGTTCATGAAGGAATAAGCCCATCAAACGTCTTTATACTGGTCACATGATACTTGAAACCTGGTCGAGCAGAATATATTTTAAAAACTAACCCAATCCAAGAACCAACCTGTTTCACAGGGTCTCACCCGTTGTCCCGAAGTACTGGATAGAATCTCAATTCTTTGTGACTGGATGAATTCATGAGATTTCATATAAATTATTATGTAGTTAGGCGAGACTTTTTTTATTTATTGGTTTATGGATTTGACATTAAAAATAGAGGTCGGTAGGTCGGAAAAAAATTTAAGAAAAAAACGAACTGAGTATAAATGAGAACCGAAATTAATAATCTTTATAAAATTTTTTAACGTCAATTTCAAAAAAAAACGCAAAAAACGTGGCTAATCTACATATTGATTGTCACAACGATAACATGAGCCAGCAGTACCTAGAGTCAAAGTTCACTTGAAGTGTACTTCATGTCAGAACCCCAAATTAATTCAAATTAACTAAAATTGTAAAAATTTTGACATCCAAATTTATTTTTTTTTATTTTTCACTTTCTGAATATTTACGGTCGGCGGATCCGTAAACCAATGAATAAAAAAAGTCTCGTCTTAATTAACTATAACTGACTAACACTTTCAATCTGACGATTTTCTGCAGAAACTCCTGCCCATTAATATAGACATTATTGAAATAAACGGAAGGGCAATATAATTAAGTGGAACCTTTTTGTGCAGATCCTGTGTTTAACAAGATTAGGATGGTTGTTCAAACTTTGTATTGCAATAGGAAATAATGTAAATCGTAATCTTCCTGAATCAGAAATAGTGACTTATTTCCATAAATATAACTCATCCCTCCTTTCCCCCGTGTGGAGGTGACAAGACCAGATATAAATAGACTAAATAGTAGCTTTTCAGTTTTCATCGATACATCTCGCTACGAAACTATGAAAGCCACAAACCTCGTGGTCCTAACATCGGATTCACACAAACCCCGTAAGCTTCGTTACAACCAGCCGCTCCAGAGACGATATGGACAGGTGCTGTAGGGTTATTGTAGTTCTCTTGGTACACCTTGCCTTGATATACTGGCCACAATCTTTCATAGGAATGCTCATGCGCTTCTATCACCACATCCACTCCATACTTCATAAACACTGGCTCAAGGCTGTAAGACAGAAAGAAGTCGTTGTCGGTTCCCCTCAAACATTTCTTGCAAATCCATCAACACTTAGAATAGGCAATTCCAGCTTTTAGTTTATGCATGCAGGGCGGGATGGGAAGTAAGGTATCATATTGCTGATTATGCTGAAAAAATAAAAATGGTGGCCGTGTAAACACGAAGTGATAGCTTATACTTGTAAATATTGAAATATTTCGGTTGTTTCGGCAGTTTTTATTGAAATTTTTCAGCATAATCAGCAATATGATACCTTACTTTCCGTCACCCCCTCCTATTGTGATCACAGAAACTTTGATAGTGTAAACCAGTCTTCAGTATAAATAAATTATTTTCTGTAGACGATATTGTCTCACCCTGCTCTCAAGATAGGTCGTGGTGTGGTACAATCATCATCATCAATATTTGAACAATACATAGGTCTATGTCCAAACGCAATGATCCATGGTTGTTCCTTCCTGTTTTCTATTCTGTTTGCTTCCGTGAGATCTTTTATCAACCATTCTATCTGTGCATCCACATAAGACTGATTGTACGTGAAGTACACTTCAGTGGAATAGCTATGGTAGAATAACAGAGACATGTATTTGTTAAATCTTCGGTATAAACTATCCTGGGTGGAGGAGGGGTGTCTCTCCATAACTATTATTTCAATTCATGCAATTTGCAGTTGTAGTTATACTAGCTATTACGTTTTCTTCTTGTGCACTGCTTTCCTCCAACAGGAACAGTGGTTGAGTAAATAATTACTATTATTGGAGCTTCGGAACAGTTTGGAACTGATAGAGCTATCCAATATAAATAAAGTCAGTTTAGTTTAGGTTTCCTCTTGTGGTGGCACTGGATCAATAAGAGATGGCCCGTACAATTCCTGTAAGGAGAAACAGCACAGAACGGAGAAGTCCAATATAAATATATTAGTTTAGTTATATAATGTACACTACCTTATGAAATGTGCTTTTCCTAAATTAAAACTATACCACATTCGATCCAAAGGCGTCGGCCAAGAGATTTGTGGCATTGCGAAACGGTAGCGATAGTGACTGAAATTAAATGGAATTTCTATAGGAAAAAGAAAAAGCAATTAGGGACAAACATAACATGCGAAGCTATGCTTGGTGAAGTCTTATTTTCTGAACCATTTCCGTGAATTATGTAATAAGATGAGAGAATTACCGTGATTTCCAGGACATGTCATATAAGGTAATGTTGACCCAATTGGAACAACTCTTCGCATGAATTCATCTCCGTTCTATACGTGAAGAAAATATGATTACGCTAATCATGATACCGAACCAACATTGCTCCAGCGTTTCTACAAGAGCGAATCAACTTAAAATAAAATAAACTAACTGTAATGAACTGGATAGTTCTATCAGTTCTAACTGTTCTCTCTGGAGATGCAGTATGGATTGTAAAATAACAAGGCAAGTGTTTATCTTTATTGTTTACATTATTGTCAGTTTACAACAGAGATAATTGCGTCGCCAATAGTAGCCTATTTCTTCCGTACTTTGCGAAAATGGCGACGCATATTTAGAGTATTTAATCTGTGTATTATTACCCATGGCATATTTCAACAAGTAGATTTATCCTTTTATTGTGGCTTAGTCATATTTACAAACATTAAGCTTGGTTTTAAATTGTTATTATTTTCGATTTTAATTTGTGTTTTGAAAGCCAATTTGCAACTAGGTTTAGACTGTGACGTCACGACGTTTCCTATCCAGTTATTTTACAATCCATGGATGCAGTAAAGACCCACTGAAACGAGGACGTGAGTTGATTCTTGCAACTCACGTTTGACAGCTAACTCTCATCGACTCCCATGCTCTCAAATTTTGATGAGAAATTTTCGAATTACCCCATTCACTCTATCGTCAAATATGTGACGTCATCAACCTCGTGACATCAATTTCATGACGTCATTTATATAAGAATTCAACATAAACATATTTGCTTACCTCGCCACCATCTGAAGCGAGATCATACGCAAAATCTCCAACATGTAGAGCTGCCGCGTATTCTCCTGATTGTGTTTCTTTGATTAACGCTTCCAAACTGGGAGCACCACCATGCCTTCCCATATCACCAAATACCAGCAGTTTGGGAGCAAATCCCTGAGGAAACGGAGAATCAGTTCCTGTATTGAAATTTATGTGGTTTTCCTGTTGATCCTTGCATTTTATATGTAGTTCAATCTTAGGTAGTGTAATCACCATTTTATAGGTAGTTTAATCTTAGTTAACTCTGGTTAGTTAAATATTTCCACCATTACGATCATTACAGTTTATCATCATCAATCACCACTATGTTCACCACACCCTCTTCATCATAATCACCACCATCATTGCCACCATCGCCACCATCATCGCCACCATAATCATCATGACTATCATCACCATCACGACCATCATCACCAATTACTACTTTATTAATTAAACTGCCATCTGGCCTTTGATAAGTAAAAATATTACCTCACTGACTTTCATTGCAACAAACTCATATCGAGGACTTGACAGATTTCCAGTGTGCACCTGGTAGTAATACGTTGTACCTGGATTAAGACCCTGTGTAAGGGAGAGAACAAAGAAATTGAAATAGTGAAAGTAAAAATGAAACCTCTTTCCCATGCATCCGGACATTTAGTAATATCTTTTCGATATTTTGCTGGTAATTCTGACTTTAAATTTAACCTCAACAATATATTGAAGAATATTACGGGTGGCTACACTGGGTTAATACTAGCGACTGTATTTACTGTGGTAAAACTGACTTCTAGTCACTGGCGAAGGAAATTTATTTCTCGCGATACCTAATGAGCAAAATGTCTTTACTGCGCATGCGATAATTCATTTAGCGCGATCGCCACGAAAAAGCGCTCTTGGAATCATGCCTGTACCGGTTGTGTCCTTGAGGCTATTAAATGTTGACCAAGTCACTGAAGGTCACTGAAGGCACATCTGAGCACAAAAACAAATAAAAAAGATTGCAGCCATATATAGGAATTCAGCGCAGATTACGAAATATAGAAATTGCTGCGTACATACATCAAGCATTTTAGTTACTCATCTCATTGGCATGGTAGAGTTTTTCTGGTTCAAAGTTTCGACATTTTGAGCGAACGAAGCCTGGTCGAATGTCACCGACAGACACAGGCGCGTTTTAACCACGATTTAGCCACACACACAACACGTTCTACCCACGTTCTGTTCACGTGGCCAATAATATATGGTTTACATATTGTAAAGCTTGATATTAATTGGCCTTACCTCATTGACTACGTACCCAAATGAATGAATGAGATTTTGTAAAGTTTTTGGCTAACCTTTCGTCAGAAAAGTTAGAATGGTACGCAAACGGCAAACCTTTAAAATATTCACAGCTCCGCGCACACAGCGCCTTAGACTATTCACTACGCATGACTAAACTCATTGTCTATTCATACGAGTGAAAATATCTCAAACATTCTGACGTTTGCTACGTGCCTACATCTTACGTACGTTTCAAGGCCGTTCGTCGCCATATTCATCAAAATATTACTGGATATACTAACTTCGCTAGAATCTCTAAGAAGAGCCCTTTTGTTAGAAACGTCTCTAATCCATTTTTCAGGTAGTTCAGATAAAAATTGGCCATAGGTAGCCTTGGTGTGTTTCTTCTGGGGTCTACACCGTAGATGAACAAGAGTATATAAAATAAAAGGAACATAACTCCTTATATACTTAGTAGCGAAGTCTCTTCCCCAATTTTCATCAGACGATTATACTAGTGGTGACTTTACTGTCACCTCCCGACTCGAAGCGCCCTAGACCCTTTTCACACACAAACAATGACAATGAATGGCCATGCCTATACTACACTTTATACACTAATACTGTAATATTAAATACACAAAAACTCGAGACACCGTAATACACGTACCGTCATAACCGCTCTATGGATCTGATCTAATCCATTTGGGTTTCCCTCGGTTAGAACAGCATCACTGGCTTTAACCACCATATCCAACTTGTCAGAATTTAGCCCATATGTTACAAACGATGTCGAATTCGGCGAAATATTACCCGTAGACCAAACTACTATCATTTCACTTGGCGTGTCGCCATATGAAATATGTACTTGTTCTGGGCCATGAATTTCGTGAAATTTATACTCAGGCCACGGTATTGAGTAAGTTAATGAAACGACATGGAAAATTATTGTTAAAGAAATTTCAAACAGAAACATTTTGAAAGTTTGACACCGCCTGTATCAATGTTTTGACAGGAAATTTAAATATGGAAATCATTATATATGCATCTCGTGATGTATCTAGCTATTTCTTTATTGGTTCATTGAAGACAAATATCATGTTGCTAAGGTCAATGATATCGTTCAAGGTGATTTAGGTTTCCTAATCTTCAGGCTCTTGCAGAATACAAGTACAACATTTATATAATTGCCTTGTTCGTTAAAAAATTCCTATCTTTTTTCAAATATCTTGATTGATAGCTGACAAAATATCTTGACTGATAACTGACGAAATATCTTTACTGATAGCTGACAAATGATAAAAAAAACCCAAGTTTTCTCGTTGCAGGGACGGTCTCTGGAAAGTCATTTTCATTCTTTTAAATCAAAATCTTTAGTAGGGATCGCACTTAAAAATATATAATCTGGCGATTCTGAGCTCCAATTACCGAAACAAGAAAACATTCATATTATTCGTAGTCTTCGCCGAGATTAGTTGATATTCTTGGAATATTGTAATGAATTATTAAGAATTAATGTTAATTTTGTTGTAAACTAGTGAAATGAGCTTCGTCTTGTAATATTACCATTCAACAGTTACGTTGATGGAGAAAAACGTAATTTACTTAATTGTAAAAGCATGTAGCAGTACTGGGAAGGTATATGGGGAAAGAGCTAAGTACCTACCTAATGTGAACATGTTTTGTGATTAGTTTTCTGAACAAAAGTGATCAGCCCTGGATCAGTGTTGATGATTCGTTTTTTAGAAATATGATTTCTATACTTTATTGTCTCATATTGTCTTAATCAAAGTTACTGGGAGAATAGAACAAGCTTTGGTTTGGTAGGAATGCAACTACCTGAAAATATATAAGGAGAATTTCGAGAATAGTGCGGAGTGCTTCATGAACTCCTTAATAATGCATCCCCTCAAAGCACAGCAAGAGACAACTTTACGTGCATAAGTTTTTAAGCTTTCGTTTGTAGGGATGCAACTGCCTCAAAAATACAATTATACAAAGCGAAATTCGATGTTTCGAGTGAAGGACCTAAGGACCTTTGTCGGGAAGTTTACAGTAGTCTTAGTAGCCTACGAAGGGCCTTCGCTCGAAACGTCGAATTTCGCTTTGTATAATTGTATTTTTCAGGTAGTTGCATCCTTACCATCAAAAGCTTGTTGTTATCAAGTTTTTCAACTGATCTTTGAAGCACATCAAGTCAGCGTACTCGGCGACCTACACTAGCAAATTGTCTTAGCGGGTCATGAACAGGTGAATAATTTGCGGTTTGTCTGGATTCTCCAGAATTTGCAAGCGCGTGAGTAAACTGGTGTCTAATTATGCAGAAACAACATGGCGACGGAAGTGTGAAGATAGTTTTGTGAAAATGACAACAAAACTCAATGTTTTTCCTTACTTCACGTAATTACGTTCTCGTTTGACGCATACATGGCAACTAAGTCTCATACAGACTTCTTTATAAGAATCAGAAATGAAATCCAACGTTTTAATAACTACGCCAGGCAACACGATTTCGGGGTAAGAGATAATGACGTAAATTTGTAAATTAATTTGATGGTCTTTGTATTTTTTGTAATATTTTATTTTGTACAATTTCATTTTGCCCTTGCATCACTTGTTAGATGTTTGAATGTCATTTAATTCATGAACAAAAATTCATAAATATTTTTTATATTCATAAATATGGGATTATATATAAATGATATTAATATATTGTTTATAGGCTGGGCCATTCCAAATAAAATCCATGGACGAGCTCCAAGAAAGAAAGATCAAAGTGCTGATGCACACTCCCCCTCAGAAATTGGTAAATTTTTGCCTTACCCCTCAGAAAAATGCTAAAATCAAAGGATACCGACAGCCATAACCTCTCAGAAATGGCTTTTTTGAAACCCCCTCAGAACTTCTTGTCCATGGGGGGGGGGGGGGAATCCGGACTCAAGAAAAACCAGGACCCTAGAATACGGTGTTGAAAAGCATTCATTTTAATGTAAATCAATAAAGATAGAAACAAAAATGACCAACCAGGGGAGCATTTTCAGTATTGAGCCGCGGTTGTATGTAAGGCATTTCGGGTAAATGGATGAAAGCATTGCCTAACAAGATAGTATCAATATCAAATACATAATCAGATAATATGTGAATTGCATGGATAATACCCGAGATATTACCACGAAGGAAGCATGTTAATAATAGGAAGGAAGCATGTTAGTAGGTGGGACTTGGTGAATGTTAGTAGGTGGGACTTAGGGACTGTTAGTAGGTGGGACTTAGGGACTGTTAGTAGGTGGGACTTAGGGAAGTCCTGTTAGTAGGTGGGACTTGGGGACCTAGTTGAAAATAAGCATACCCTTGCCCGAGGATATGCATACTCCATATAAAATCCTAAATATATCTTGAATTTATTTGATAGGATGACGATACTGTGGCATTAGTACAAGGTGGTGATGTAGAATTAGGATTTGCTGGCACAACTTCCACCAGCACTCTTCCTCCGGAGTGGTAAGTAGGAAATCACTGCTTTATTTTACTCTCTTAATGGTTCATTCCAGAAAACATTCCTTATTACCTTTCCTATGTACAGAGAGAGCCCCGGGGGGGCAAATTGCCCCTGGCCCCCACCTTAATAGGGCCTCAACTTGGTGAGAGCCTAAAATTGAGTAGGTTTTCTTTAAATTGGTCAGAGCATTTTTGAAATTGAGGGCCCCTTACAGTAGTTCCACATGCAGTCTAGCTAAAGTCTAGTTGGGTGACTTGGATCTAGCTTAAAAATAATTATGTCATAGGGCCCCCAGAGAAGATTTGCCCTGGGCAGTGGGCCATGCGAATTCTCTCGGCGGCCCTGTGTACAGAAGAAGTTAATCACCTTACCCCCTTCGGATGTCCTAATATGCACTTGCTATTATTATCCCCTCCGGACGGCAGAAATTTGCTCTGTGAGGGGAGTGTGGATCTTTTCTGGAGTGACAAAATATGAGTGTGATGCATTTGCAAAGCATGTACAATTTTTTTAGGGTGGACGGTGTCGAAGAGATTCAATATGAAGTTACAAAAATCAAACAGAAAAGTAAGCCTCAATTTAATGAATATAAATATTGCAATGACAAAATGTATTTAAATAGTTGGCAGCTTGAAAAGAATTTCACCATTTTTATTTGCTGTCTTTTTAGTGAAAGAACTTTCAACTATGCACGATAAACATTTAAATCGACCAACTTTGGATGACAATATCGATGAAGAACAAACCATTGAGATTACTACAAAGGAAATTACACAGGTTGGCAATATATTATAGCTTGGCAATATATGTTTGTGGGTCATCAACTGTAATTTCTTAAATTTTTCGGTAATTTTATAAATGTATTAAAATTTTTGCTATGACTATTACTTTTTCATCCGAGCCCCTCAAATATTTTTGCCGAAAAGCTGTTTTCAGCGGTTGCCCCCCCCCCCCCTCGTATAGCTATGACCCTGGCCAGATATGCATAATGTGGATTTTCATGTCTAGATGTTTCATTCAAGTCAAACAGCCATTCAAAAGATTGTTGCTCGAGCGAAATCAGCGAACCCCGAAGAGAAACGTTTGGTTAAAAATGTTGTTTCGTCATTGGCATCAAGTCTGCAGGAATTGTCAGGAAATTTTAGAAAAAGTCAATCAATGTACTTGAAAAGTAAGCAGTTATGTTACAATAAGCTACCTTAGTTTGTGTCGGCTGAACCACCTGACAAAGATATCTCAAACATGGTGGTCCAGTGTAGGTAGTATTCCACGACAAACTGGCTTGGTTTGTGTCTGAACTACATGAAAAAGATATCTCAAATGTGATGGTCCAGTGTAGGTAGAATTCTACAATAAGCTGCTATGGTTTGTGTCTGAACTACCTGAAAAAGATATCTCAAATGTAGTGGTCCTGTGACAGTGTAGGTATATATAGTATTCTACAATAAGCTGTTGTGGTTTGTGTCTGAACTACCTGAAATCTCAAATGTGATGGTCCAGTGTAGGTAGAATTCTACAATAAGCTGTCGTGGTTTGTGTCTGAACTTCCTGAAAAAGATATCTCAAACGTGGTGGTCCAGTGTAGTATTCTACAATAAGCTGTCGTGGTTTGTATATGAACTACCTGAAAACTGTATTTTTTTTATTTGGGGGACAAAATTTTGACTGAGCAAACATACTGTGGGATTGAGCACCCATTCTACCTTTTGAACAACATTAAATTTAGAAATGAAAAGTCGTGAAGAAAGAGAGAAACATTATTTTGACAACAGCATGGGAGGTGTTGGAGGCAGCTCTCTCATGGAGGAGGATGTTGACGATAGTGAATTATACGATAGAGTAAGATATTCTATAATTTTGCACACAAGATGGTTTTAAAACAACCATGAATAACTTCTCAACAAGTCTGTACTGTATATTACCACAACATCAAGGAATATTTTAAAAGACAGATACTGGGAGGCCATTTAGCCCTGCAGGCTCCACTGGGCCCTAATCTTGCCCCCCCCACTGTAAAATGTTTAAAATATGCACTGCACAACATACCCAAAATACTTCAATTGAATCTGCCAGCATTAAAACTGTATGTTTAAAGATCTTTCTTTACAATAAACCCAACCTCTTAAGGCAAAAGGGAAATGACCCACATGGGTCTCAGCAGAATGGCAAGCCAGTAATTTGTCTTACGAAAAAGAACCTGAATTGACTTGATCAGTTCACAGGCAAATGTCTTCTAATAGCTAGAGTGCTTATCCAAGTAAGGAAAATCTAAAACCTTGGTCAATTGTGTCTATTTTCCAGGGTTTTACATCACAACAAACGAGTCTGGTGGAAGATAATAGCGTTTTAATTGAACAACGTGAAAAGGAAATTCAACATATCGTATCATCAATAGTAGATTTAAATGAAATATTTCAAGATTTATCTGCCCTTATCGTAGAACAGGTTCGTATATTCGTATATTGAAATTTGGAGCCCAACGATGGTGGTCCAGACAGCACCTGAGGCATCACCATATACGCCCGTATTCTAAACGCTCACACTCAATGAGTGGAAGTTCAATCTGAGCTTCTCTCGTGCATGTGTCATTGCTGTTTTTGAATAACTGGAGGGTCAGTGTCATACCTTACTCGGTGACTACTAACCCTCCAGCTATTCAAAAACAGCATTGACACTCAAGAGAAGCCTCAGATTGAACCTCCACTCATTGAGTGTGAGTGAGCTTTTAGAATACAGGCGTTATACTGTCAGTGTCGTTCCTTACTATGTGACTACTCACCATCCAGCTATTCAAAAACAGCATTGACACTCAAGGGAAGCTCAGATTGAACCTCCACTCGTTGAGTGTGAGTGAGCTTTTAGAATACGGGCGTTAGACTTTAGAAGTGGACAACAAGAGGACGTCTAGAATCAAGGCAGGAAAAAATGTTCTTTCTGGGAGCACAATCTGTCTCAGAGATAAAAATTTCCTGCAGATCAACGGAGTATTTTTGTGCTAAATCTGCATGTGCATAAACACATAGTGTTCTAGCTGACCATGGTTTTAAATTCGAGGAATAATGTCTGTCAACCATATGTTGTTGCGCCCATAGTGGGACATGGGTGTTAAGGTTTCCTTCAAATTTGCAATAGAAAATCTTCATTGAAACGAATTTCCTGCAGCTGTTTAACATTTGCTCGCCTATTTTTCCACCCCTGTCTGGAATGCACACAGTGCATTGTGGGATACGTTTGGATCAATAATTCATTGTTTGAAAATTTCGTGCCATAGACACTTCTGAGGTCCATTAACGGTGTTGGGGCTGGCTTTCTTAACTTTTTATTTTTTGGAGAGATTGAGATTGCTTCTTTTTCACAACCTTACTTTTTTGTCCTTGACTTTTCAAGGGTACCATACTAGATCGAATAGATTACAACGTTGAACAAGCTTCAATAAAAGTTGAAGATGGCTTAGAACAACTTAAAAAGGTATTGGTAATTGTATTTTTATATACTTGATCATTGTGCGGTAGTAAATCTACAAGCAACCAACGTGCTCTAAAGGTCCGTTTATACTTGCAATTTTTGTTGCGATTTCTAGTGCCGATGTTCGTCTTCTGATGGATGTGAACAAGTAGATGAGTAATGAATGTTTTGAATATATGTCAGAGTTCGTACAAAACTTGAAAGTCCTTGAATGTCCTTGAATTTGAAAACAAAAATTCAAGGCGTTGAATGTCCTTGAATTTGTAAAGAAGTACTTGAATGTCCTTGAATTCTTCTTGCTTTAGTTTTTGGATATTTTGTGAAATTGTTTGACATTCAAGACGGACATTTTGTTGAACTGATTTTGCATGTTCATATCTGACCTCATTATAAAGTTACGTTTTGAACAATTCAACGTCAGATTTTGCTGATTTCTAACGCCTTCTTCACTATTTAGTCCTTGGATTTGCGGATACACGGCCTTGAATGTCCTTGAAATGTCCTTGAAAAGTCCTTGAATTTAACTCTTCCTGACCTGTACCTGATATGTACCCTCGTCTGAACATTCCTAACTGATCCACTCGTTCACATCCATCAAAAGAAGAAAATCGCACCTAAAATCGCATCAAAAATTGAAAGTGTAAACGTGCCTAATGGCAGGATTTCTGGGCATCCCACTTGATTGAACTAAGGGGTGGACCATTAGAAAAGTGATGGGGGGGGGGGCAAAAATAAAAATTGCGCAGGGGAAACACGAGAAAGAAAAAACAATTCGTGCACCAAGAAAGTTTGAAAAAAAAAATCGTGCAGAGACTTTTCAATAGGGAAAATTATAAGTTGAAATAAAAAAAAACAATTCGGACAAGGGATTGTATTTAAAAAAATTATCGAAATAAGCAAAAAAAATGTTTAAAAAATATTCGTACAAGTTGAAAAAGTCCCCCTCCCCCAATCATATTTCTAATGGTCCGCCCCTAATGTTGAAGAATGTTGAACGATTTTGTAGATGGAAATTTTGGGTGTAAATTTTATTCATTTTTATACAAATTTTATGTATTTTTCTCACCTGCTCCTGGTCAGGTTTAAATAAATGTTAACTTTAATTTTCGCAGGGGGAAAAATACCAAAAGAGTTCGAGGAAAATGCTCATCATTGTTCTGCTGGCAGTTATAATTATCGTCTTACTTATTTCATTAGTCGTCACAAAAAGTAAGTAGCTGTTTTGCAATTTTCTCAATCTGGTTATGGACGAATTACGAGATTGAATGAATGAGAATTATGGACGAATCAGTTCTCCAACGTACGTGAGAAGAGATTGCGCGGAGACTGAAAACGGATGACCAGCGAATGGTTGCGTCATCTCACGCAAGTGTTACCATGGTAACCCGAATTTAAGACTAGAGAGACACAATAGATAATTACACCAGAAGTCTCACTCAAGCAAATATTTGTCCGCGTTTTTACAAGCGATTCATCATCAATTCACGCCATCTTGGTTAGTACGACCGGCACTTTGTACCTACCAAAACCTGATAAAAACGTCCGGTTGTACTTAGCCAGGAACGGCATGAGCAAGTTAATTTTTTACGGACGAAAACATCAAAGGTTCCGACTCAAGTGAGACTTCTGGTGTAATTATCTATTCTGTGTTAGAGATTAGTGTAAATACAAGTGTTTCCAAGTTTCCAAAGTGTAGTGAGGCGAGTAGTGAGTAGAAATCAGTGGCGAAGCTAGCCACTGAAACAGATCATGCTATGCAAATTTTTACTGTCGATGCAATGGAAGTGTTGATAAAATATTGCATGAATTCATTTCCTCAAGTTGATCAATTCTTACGAATTCAAATTTCTTTTTACTTCCTGTGCGTTTCCTATTGGTCAATCGGTTCTGAAACGAAATCTAATTGGCTCATCTAAAAGTAACAAGAAGTTGATCAATTTTCTATCAAATGAATTGATCAACTTGAGGAAAGGAATTGGTGCAATATTTTATCAACACTCCCATTGCATCGACAGTAATGATTTGCATAATTCAAACCTTTAGAAATGTAGGTCGTTTACCATTTACATGGAAATTCCGGTGATTCCATACGGAAAGTAAATGGAACAAGCATATTTCGACTGCCCAACCGGAACTTTTCCGGAATGAACGGTTTGTTTGAAAAGGTTGTCCTCTCTTACCGATTGGAACCTTTCAACCGGTGAATTTTGTCCCATTTACATCTTTTATATTTTTTCACCAGTTCCAGGCTCTTCGCGATTTAATTCAAACCGGATGGGTTTTCCATGTAAATGGTAAACAATCCTTCAGTGCCTTCCGGTCAGTCACTCTAAATGGAAAGCGCGTAGTCCGAATGGGATTTTCTATCCGAAATTTTGCTTACCATTAGCACAATTTCAAACCGGATGGGTTTTCCATGTAAATGGTAAAAAACCGTCAGGGATGCCGGAAGTTGCTGAGGGCAAGGGGTGCAATTGGTTAACAAGAGGGCATACTCCTTAATAAAAGGCACCAATGAAAATGAAAGGGCGTCATGATCCTACATTCGTGTCAACCTCCCTCCCCGTCACCAAATTTTTTCGGACCGAATACAATTATTTAGGCACAATCCGCCGTAATTTCTCGCCAAAAATTCCATAAGTAATGCTTTCCGTTTCACCTTTCGCCAAATGGATAACAATTTTGCTGAATTCCTGACGACTGGGGGGTGGAACACCGCCACACACATCATCGAACGACGTTTAATTCTGTCTGTTGTAAAAGTTTTGTGCACCGGTTGCACCCCTAGTCTGCACCCGCACTGCATCCACAAAGTTGAAAATGCAAAAGGCAAGGGGTGCACTTGCACCCGCTGCACCCGTCGTTCCGGCATCCCTGACAACCGTATTGTCGTTAACCTATTATATTTAGATCAGGTTTATTAGCATAGCATGAGCAGTTACCATGGCTAGCTTCGCCACTGGTAGAAATTTATGGTGGAGAAAACAATTTTAACATTGAAATGCATGTGGCTAGCAAATTAGTGTAAATGTTGCGAATATACTCTCGCAAAGAAGTCTGGCAAACACGAGGCGCGCGATTTTATACTTGGAAACAAACAGGGCGCGTGGCAAAATGGCGCATCTTCACGAAATATGGCTCAAAATCTTGCGCGCACAATTTCCAAACTTTCCCAGCAGCCGCGCGTCTCAAACGTCTCGAGTATTTTAATGATATTTTAAGTAAATGAATAGAAATGCTTCGGCTGCTGTGACAAGTGTAGTCGTAGATGCGGAATGTGCAGACAATTACAGACATTGAATTAAAATAAGATTAAATTCCACTGAACCACCCGCATTGATTACGCGATATTTTGTAGCGTGAAGCAGTTCATGTCATACACAGTCGCGTCATGTGTTCCAATGGCAGCAATCCTAATATACGATCCCTGATGTGTTGGCAATTGAAACTCGTTCTTTAATAAATCCAATTTTTTATTCGGAACAACTTTAATTCATGAATCAAGCTAGGCTAAAAATAAACTATATTTTTAACGGGAGGTCGTTTAGTGTAATCGATCCATTTTCGATACTCAATTCTTGGGAAACGCCAGCGAATGAAAATCAGGAGGAATGAACGTTTCGGTCACTTCGCCGAGCGGGTTTGTGGTGTGCACGAATATGTTGACAAACATGCGTGTACGCGTCTGAACTTGTTTGGATCCTAAAAAAAACCTTCTGCAACGCGTCATTCCTGGGATAACTTTGGTGTCATCTGGGTTTGACCTGACCTTCAATGCTCCACGACTGGATAGTGTTGACAGCACATGTCTGATCAGGAATACCTACTTCGGGTTAGGTTAAAACGCGGATACGGCCTACCTACTTCACGCATACTGGAGCTTAAAGTCTTTGCGGGGTGGCCGCATTATTGCGTCTTTCACCCTTGTCGCATGCTTCGATTTCTGCGTTTTATGCAGTTATCTGATTAGTATTTCACCTCAATCGCATGTGAGAAGTACAAACACCGCAGATTTTTCCCGGGTACTCCGGTTTCCCCCTGTTGATTAATTAAAGAGAGTTCAAGTTCGACTTCCGATACCAATACCGATATTGATGTCTTCACTTCCGTTCTCATTTTGGTACCGGGAATTTTAAAGCGTTAAGTTATCACGACAGATAAAGCATAGAACACATTAATCGTCACCGAAAATGTACGGTATACTAAAAGCGGCAGTTGAGCTAAAATTCTGACTAAAACCTGACTCAGGCGATGCTAACAAACAAATAGTTTACGTGTTTATCGAAAGATTGTGAAATATCCGATTTATATGAGTTTATCTTACAATTCCCACGACTTCCAAACAAGGCCGACTTCGGTAAGTGATGACTTCCAATACACGTCCTCGTGCTTCTTGCTATCGGAAGTCGACCAAGAGGTGGCAGACCATGTATGGGCTAGACTGATCACTGAATTTGGATACATGAGTACACGGCTAGAGTCAAGTTTCACATAATTTTCCTCAACTGTCTGTAGTTGTTGATATTTGTTATTCATATATTCTTGTAGGCGTAGACATTCAAAACATACCAGTTTTTCAAGTTTTTTTCAATTACAGTAAAAAAAAGCCCAAACGGGAAAAATTCTATTTTTATTTTCGCCTGGCACTTCCAAGTAATTGCATTTTATACTAACAAAGGTTTTTGTTTAACTAATCTTTTTCTAGAACATTATACAAATGCTTACTTTCAAAATAAAGTTTTGTGACTCCTCTTCTCCATGGCAAAATTGACTAGAATTAGCCTTTCTCACGAAAGCCAAACAAAATCCGCCATTGGGGGTACTGTCTGCCTTCTTGAAAGATTCTAGGCAATTCAAACAACGCGAAAAGCGACTTTTAAATGTTGTAACTGTAAATTTACCATCATACAAACAACTGCAATACTAAAAAGTCGCGTTTTGTGGTGTGGAGACTCTCAAACGTGGAAGAGTCAGTACCCCAAAAGTCGAGTCAAAAGTGGCGGGGGAAATCGGCTTTGAGAAAGACGTTATTGCGTCTACTCCAACTTAGCAACGCCAATGGCAATGAACAAAATATGATGTTTAAAATATAAACACTTTCAGACGTTTACAGTTGCAAAATTATATACAGTATTCACGGTAAAAAGTAGACTGATATATTTTCGGTTTCGTTTGAACCAGGCTGATGTAATGAGACAGGAATTACAATATTGGCTTCTTCCTTAAGCAACAGAATTTATACCACGTGTACTGTTCGTGCAATGTTTGTAGAAAAATAGGATAATTTGCATTCCAAACAAAACCGCAGTATTTATGTATGGTAATTTCATCTTGTGACTGTCTGCTGTTCGGTATGCAAATGATGCTGCTTCCATGTGAATTTGGCTTGAAAGCCATATGTATTATTGTGAGTTGTGTTCTCAGCATTAAAATTTTAGCCCGAGTTCTCAAAAAATATGTAATCAAACGTGGATAAGCGGTGGATAAGAGGTTGTAATTTTTTCCTCAATTTGTACATAATGCAAAAGATACATGTACTTGTCATATTGAATAATATGCTTTTACAGTTTTAGATAAAAAAAGATAAATGATCTTGACATGCGGGAGTATGTCACACACGGCAGTTTGCCTGTTCTTTATAACTCTACAAAAAGTATAAACTTCATTTGTATTTCATATAAATATTATAACTCGACTGAAATTTCCGCTGGAGTAGAGTACCCACTTTTGTTTTGTATTCAAAATACAGGGGTACATTTTTTCCGGTTTAATAATAGGGTAAAGTACAAGGGTAATTTTTTCCTCTATCCGGTTCGGTTATATGTCACGCTAGTTTGTCTGCTTTTAATTTTATTAACAGACATTTTATTTGTATTTCATTAGTACAACTTTGCAGTAGTTCCACTAAGGTCCCCATTTCTATGTACTAAAACAAAATCCGGTTTGTTGTAATTAGAAAACAGGCTTTTTGTTCACCCACTGTTTGATATTGCATCATGCTGCGTGGTTGGCGAAAACATTGTTGGCCGCGATCTGATTGGTGCGATTGAGTGCAGGTCAATTGTCGCTCGCATAGAAAATGCAAAGCCTATGTTAAACACACGTGTTATATTGAAAAAGCCGGTGGATAGTGAATAACACGTATCTTGCTCGACACACGCAAAAATGGCGGAACAATCTTTAAACGGAGACTCCAAATCGGACGAACCGGCGAAGGAGGGTCTTATGCCTAATGGTGATACTGGCGTTCAAATGAAAAGAGATGTAGGTTTGATCGGTGGCATTGCTGTTATTGTCGGAACAATGATCGGCAGTGGTATATTCGCATCACCAAGATATGTGTTGATGTTTAGCGGTTCGGTAGGAATGGCGCTCGTCGTGTGGACGTTATGTGGGATTCTCGCTATGTGCGGTGCGTTATCTTACGCTGAACTGGGCACAATGATTCCAACGTCGGGAGGCGAGAGCACATATCTACTGGAGGCTTTTGGTGGCCTACCTTCCTTCATGTATATTTGGACTGCGTGTATTGTGATCAAGCCTTCCCAAATCGCTATCGTTTGTCTCGTTTTTGGGGAGTATGTGGTTACCCCGTTCTTCCCCGATTGTGCGGACAGACAAGAAGTTCAAGTTATTGTGAAATTGCTAGCAGCTTTGGCCATCGGTAAGTTTGTATGAATTCCCGCTGTGCATTTTTACGATAGCCATATAAACCACTACCCTCGATCACTACAATTTCTATATTCCAGATCGTTCGAAAACATTCTAATTTATAATTTGTTACATTGACGAGCATTAGAACGTATTCGAACCCGCGATTTTCTATTGCAGTACATTGTTTTCGTGCGATGTAAAACTGGGTTTTCCTGTAATCCGAGCAGGCTTGGTATTTGCTCTCCTAGAAATAGTAATACGACTCTTTTTTGGATTTATCTTATAATTAAAACAATATTCTTAGTATGGCTTTAATTTGCTGTTGTAAATAAATATGCCAGTTGACAAGATGATGAAAGAGTTTCGAATGTGCATTTGCATTCCACGTGCACAATGTTTTGTTTGGCGTTCACGAGGTACAAAGTTCGTTCAACAGCTGCACGCAACAAAGAATTACGGAGATAAAAATCGCGTTTTTTCTGTAAAATGATATTGTAAGACAAATGCATTTTCAAGTTGCACGCAAACCAAAATGTTTCAAAATTGTAGGGTATTTATACTGTTAGTATTTTTGAAAGCTAATACTTATCTTTTTGCCGTAATCTAAAATTGTAAGACCAGGCTTCACAAAAGATTTCATGTTGGTACAAAACATAGGTATGTCTAGTATGGCGCACAAAGTAAACAAATAAATTTTCAATCAGTTTAGTGCGTCCCCGAAATTAAGCAAAATTGATTACGATTCTCAATTCATCTTGATCCTCGTCCATATCCTTCTCAACTTTGTAAACAAAACGTGGTTTTTAGTTGTAAGGTTCGTCAAATATGTATCAAGGTGGCCAATTGTAGTCAAGTGATTTGCACAGAGCACACAAAAAAACTATGAAATTTTCCAACGTTTAAAGGTGATCTACAGTCCGATCTGCGCATGTGCACAAATGAGCCCACTTTTTATGATACAAACAGTTTATTAACTATGTTTTGAGTTCTTGAAAAGCCTGATTGTTGTTTCTTGATCATTTATTATACTCTAGAAGCTTGAAAATATAAATAGTTGTGGAATAAAGCTCAATATTTTGGACACAAAAATGTAAACAAAGGCTTTGTTTACATACGGACTGTAGATCACCTTTAAAATTTTGTTTCTCTATCATAAATTTTCCTAGAATGTTTTACTCTGATCATATTTTTGGGGGATCCCCACTTTTATTTCAGGGGCAGGCTATAGCCCTCCTAGTTTTTCTGCACTGTTTAATAAGATTGACGAACTGGGTATGCCGAGTTATAACCAAGTAGAAGCTGTTAATTGGGTTAGGAATTAGCTGTAGGGTTAAGGTGTCAGGGCTAGGGATGTGTTTGGATGGTATAGGCATTAAAATGGAACTAGAGATTAGCTCAAACCTATATATTATATCCTGTTCAATTGGATTAGAAATTTGAGACATATAATTGTTACAATTATGTGATGGTGTGTTATTTGTTTTTTATAGCTGTTATAACAATAATAAATTGTATAAGTGTGAAGCTAGCAACCAGGGTAATGGTATTCTTCACTGCTGCAAAATTATTGGCTTTAGTTATGATTATTATCACTGGATTGATTCGTCTTGGTCAAGGTGAGTACATGGTAAATTTTATGTGCCAAGAACCCCCCCCCCCTGAATTCTTCACCAACCATCAAATTAAGAATCAAAATATTAAATATGATTGATATACTTCTGTATTGGATGGCGTCATGCTTGCTAGCTAGCCTATGAACATGTAATGCACCCCAATTTTATTATTTTCTGTTTTCCAGATGATTTTACTTATAGATTAATAGTAAACCTTTATTAATGGGTCATTCCAGAAAACATCCATACCACCCCCATGGAGGAAATAGGAAGTTAACCCCCCTACCCCCTTCGGATGTCCTAATGCATTTACTATTATCAGAAACAATTTTTTCTCCCCCTCCGGACGGCAGAAATTTCCTCCGTAGGGGGAGTATGGATCTTTTCTGGAACGACCCAATTATGTATTTTATTGATATTGTATTTTAGGCTACAGTTATGAGGTTGATGCTAGCAGATCATTTGAAGGCACTGTTGTGGCTGTTGGTTCAATTGGCGAAGCTTTTTATAATGGATTGTGGGCTTATGATGGATGGTAAGTCCTTTTACTGCGAAAATATGTTTCCATAGAGCTGTTTTTAAAATATTTATGAATTTTTTCCTCAAGGAACAATCTGAACTATATCACCGAAGAAATCAAAAATCCAAACAGGTGAGTCTAATGAGACCGTGCTCTTAATATATTTAAATAAAATAGTCCAAAGCATGCAGTACATTTTTTGAGAAAGTGTTCCAGGTAATATCTGCAACTATTGTACATTTTTAAAATTAACTGAGCTTTATTGTTTCAGAAATATACCACTAGCCATTGGCATTGGAATTCCATTGGTGACAGTAATCTATTTAATGACAAATATTTCGTATTTCACGGTGTTATCAAAACAAGAGGTCTGGGATTCATCCGCTGTCGGAGTGGTATGTATATAAATATGGACCAAATATCTTAACTGTAAATTTGTGTGTGAAGGGGGGGGAGGGGTGACTAGGATGTCGGATTCGGTCGAAAAAATTGTTCGTATTTTTGATTTGGCGAATATTTAACACAGATTTTCGGATCTTATTAATACAGCGGATTGTGGATTTATGTAATATTTTGGCTTGGATTGTGGATTTTGCTTGTAATTTAGTTCGGATAGAACTAGATTGTTACTTCATAGTAGAGCTTTTAGCGGATCCAAACTGTAGACCAGACCATTGTCGGATCGGCAGATTTTGCTTCAAATTTGGGTGGATTTGTATACCCCTATTCACCCCCACCCCATCCCCCCGTGAAGGCAGAATGTTGTTGAATGTCAGCAGCCCTGCCAATTGTCCCGCATTTGGCGTGAAAGTTACGCATTTACATCTTGGTCCCGCATACCTGCACGCATGATGAAAATTGTCTTAAAGTCACATTTCCAAAAATCTTAATTTTGTAGTTGGAAGATCATGTGAATCTCCTCTTTTAATTGTTATAAATAACATTTTACAGCAATCCAGCACATATTTTGGCCTATTTGGCAATCAGAGAATATGTTGGAAATTTTGCATGTTTTGTGATCCGATATGGCACTAATGCTCCAAACTGTGAGGTGTCGTGCATTTCTATCCAGTAAACATGGCAGGTCAGTTTGCATCATATCTATATATCTTTTTAGGTGTTTGCCAACAGAATGTTTGGTGTGATGGCTTGGATTATTCCTGTCTTTGTTGCTTGTTCAACATTTGGTGCAGCCAATGGTGCTGCTCTCGCAAGCGGGAGGTTGTTGTATGCCGCAGCTAAACACGGTCATCTGCCAAAACTTCTTGCCATGATTCACAACAAACGTGGTGTGCCGATCCCTGGCTTGCTCTTACAGGTTTGTTCTTGGTGTCTTGGTAGCAACTCATTAGGCAGCTTTCACTAAGTGTGGAGCAGGTGGTGGATACACACAAAAACATGCCGGTTGTTGGAAAGCTGATTAGCTTAACCCTAGGTTCACCTAAAATTCAAAGCAAACTTCACAACATCTTTGTTTTAAATGTTTATAAATTTGGAAATAGTTCTTTAGAGGTCTTCTCTAATGTTTTTAAATAAGCAGACGTGTGAAAACACATAAACTAAAACAGAGAGTGCTAATCCAGCTTAGAGTAAGGTGTTTCATCCCCTGCCAGACATTCCAACTACTGGAGGTAAAATTTAGGGAGACTGTTCAATGAATTGAAATCTAGTTCTGGGAAAAAAATAATAAAAATTAAATCTTATTAAATAGCATTTCCTGCATTTTTGGAGTATGTTGTTATAAGTGATCCTATAAAATTGCCATAAAGTAACTTCATAAAAAGGTCAAGACAGACTATATTATGGTGCTAAAAACAGTATATGACTTTTTATGATATTTCCTGGATATTCTGAAAAATCGGGAGACCAGGAGATTGCATGAATTTTCGGGAGACTCCCGGTAAAATCGGTAGAGTTGGAATGTCTGCCCTGCAAACAAGTTGTAACAAAGTAGTTATCAAGCCAATATCAGGATGTGTTCTATTAAACAAGTCATTTTATTTATGGCAATAAATAATTCTTGAGGATTGCTTTATCGTTTCTAGAGTATGATTGCCTGGGCTATGTTGATTCCTGAGTCAAGCAGTTTCGCTACATTGATTGGTTATTTCACTTTTGCTGCCTGGGTGTTTTATGGTTCCACAATTACTGGTCTTCTTTATATGAAATTCTTTAGCCAGAAGGATAGGCACAGGCCTTTTAGGGTATGGTATATAAGCTAGCTTTGTTTGTACTTGACAGCTCTATTGGTCTTAAACTGTTCTCCTCATGGGGTCCAGTAAGGGCGATTCCTTAAGGCCTACTGTATTTACACTTGAATGAGTGGTTGAGTTTTGAATGAAACTATGAAAAATCATTTAACACTAATTTCTTCATCAGATAATTTCTTTTTGTTTTTAAGGTGTTTGTGTTATTCCCAGTGGTTGTATTGCTTGCCGCCATCTACCTTGTTATTGCACCATTTTCAAAGACCCCTCTCCCAGCGTTCTTCTGTCTCTTGTTCATTCTGTGCGGAATACCTGTGTATTTCTTGTTCATCCACAAAAACAGAAGTCCTGGTTGCTTAAACAGAGGACTAGGTAAATTTGAATTATGAAATTATGTGTCCTTTCAACTATCTATTCTCACACACCACTGGGAGCTGCTGCAGTATCAGCAACATGCTTGACATTTATTTATCACATAATGCTTGCTTTACTACAGAGTACAGGCATACATTACATAACCTAACCTGTCTGTTCAAACTCTTCTTAACAGCAGTTGGGGCTTATGTCAAGCTACAAGCTACAACAAAAATGTGCTCATCTAACCAGCACCACTCAATAACATCCTATTTAGAACTATCAGTCCCCAGCAGTGTGTGAAAAACCATTTTCCACTATGACACAAATGTTCCTCAAAAGTTCTTAAAAAATGAAAAAACAAGTTTTAATTCATGTTTGATATTATAATAGCGATGTTTTATTTTATTGATATATAAATGTACATTTTTTTCTCATTTTAGAAAAGTTCACATACTTTGTGCAAAAGTTTGCCGATGTGTCATACCCTGTATCAGAAGATGCCATTGCTGGTTAAATTTTTATCCATTTTAAACATTTATCAGGGGGGAGGGGGAGGGGAGATCATGTGCACAATGTGACGTCAGCAGACTACGTCACTTTCATGGCTCAGATGGATAGGGATTCAACTGCCTGAAAAATACAAGGAAAATATCCGACGTTTCGTACAAAGACGTTTCATCGGGGAGTTTATAGCAAGCATGGATTGGGAAAATACATCGTTAAAGGAATACCGAATGGTTTTCCGTGCAGGATTGCGTGATCCATGCACGAGGGATGTCGCGAGACTTTCGGAAAGCGTAAAAATACTCGAGCCGCAGGCGAGTGTATTTTTACGCTTTCCGAAAGTCGAGCAACGTCCCAAGTGCATGGATCACGCTATCCTGCTTGGAAAACCATTTGGTAATTGTTTTATAAAATAACTACAGTGAAACAATGACATTTTGTGAATCACGCGAAAATCCCGCGAAGGCATTTTAATTCCTCGTGCAAGATAGCCTGATCCTGCACGGCTATTGACCAATCAAATTGCGTGTTTCACTGTAGTTATTATATGAAGGGCCGTTTTATCCCTTTCCATCTGCAGTTTTCTGTGTCAGACTAGGAGGCCTTTCTGCAAATGATGATATATTAATCTGGATGGCTTGGAAAACAGGGAAATTTTTAAAACAATGAAAAGACATTCAGATCAATATTGATCGTGCCTGTATGTTCCCGTAGATATCTAAGATATCTATGTATGTTCCCCATTGAACTGTCAAGAGCGTTTGACAAGTTTCATAAATCTGATCAATCAGTCGGGTTCAATGGGTTTAGGAGTAGACGGCGGTTTGTTTATACGAATAACTATAGATATAAAGTTAGGGATGAGATTTCAAGTAATGTTCCAAAATACTCTTAGATTGAATTTAATACTGTAAAATGTCGAGTTTAATAAATTCACAGTGTTGTAATCATAGAAAGTAGTCGGTTGTGTTCAGCCTGGTCCTTGCCGTTCTGTGCATCACGTGGAACCGAAGTGTATGTCACAGCTCTGCTTTTACACAGTACCTCAGAGGAACACCATCTATATGAAGAGAGAGAGAGAGGTCCTGGGACTAGGCTGAGTTGTGTTTTATGTTTACCACCATTGTAAAGTTTCGAACAGATAGACGTTAATATATGTTGATATTGCAAATACATTATAGGTAGAGTCAAATAATTTGTAATTAAATAAATTGATATGAACCTAGACGTATACATGACGCATATCACGTTGTTGCCTAGGGGCTGTTCATATGTGTCCGGATGAATCGTGTCAACTTTTTTTCCTCACCACAAAAGATGGCTTGAATGAACTTTATACTTTCACACTAAAGGCGGTTTTCCACTTCGCACGTATCGTGCCGTAACGTATCTGTGAGCATGCGCAGATTGAAAAGAGGTTTATAAATCCACGTACTTCCGGGTGTATTCGCGTATCAAAATAAAAAGTTCGTCGCAAGTCAACTTTTTGGCGTACTACGGAAGTACTAACCAATCAACATACACGAAATTTTGAAATTTAAAAACGTTTTCGCTACGTTACGGTACGATACGCTTGAAGTGGAAAACGGCCTCAAGCCGCTAATTCCAACCTCGCAACCCGGAGTATTTCCGCTGCAGTTTGTAGGGGTCAGCTAAGATCAGCTAACCTCACAACAGAGAAAGACCCTGGTTTGCGAGGTTGAGCTAATTTAACTTTGAAAATCATCTCAGTTAACTGGGCCAGCCCTGCTCCATATGATATGAACAGCCGCTAAGACTCGGATTAACATATGATCGTTGACACTATTAAACATTACATGGACTAGTTGGGTATATGTTTCAATTTGATTGTTTTAAATGCATTGATTTATATATTGAGCTTCGCCAAATACAAACATACAATCGTACTACAAACTAACAACTCGCAAACACTGCAAAACATCTATATACATCAGTATTACATGTACTTCCCAGGGTACACCGCTCTCTTGCACTGTTGCACATGTAAACGCCATGAGAATACTTCATGTAAACATTTTGTATGGCGACTTCTGCGGGTTCCTATAAAAAGATGTTATTGAAATTGAATTGTTATTGAAAAGCTATTTTCTTGTTCATTTTCCGACCAGTGTTGCATTTTGCTATAATCACACTGCATGTCTCGCAAGTCCTCGGATCATGAACATCAAAATGAGTAGTGAGCACTACTGATCTCATAGTCAGGACGTTAAAGTGGTTGTATGTCTCAAAGTGCATGAATTGATGTTATCCATCTTTTTATTAAATTTATCCTTACCTAATTCGATTTTTCAATACATACTACTTGTCAGATGCATGTAAACTCGAATATTTCTCTTTATTTTTTGTCCCAAAAACCATTTTGTAACAATACAATTTTAGCCAATTAGGCCATATAAAATTCAGCCAATCGTGAAGGGGAAAAACTAGCCAATGGTCATCGGTTTATAACGTCTTAAATTACTGTAATTTGGCAGCGTCATAGAGGCAGCGTTCTGACTTTTAAGGAAATTTCTTTCATAAACTGTGGAAATTTGGACTTCTAAGGATGTTACCTGGGATGTTTCAAAAGGAAATGAAATTTTTAAGGAATTTTAAGCATTTACCTAATATTTGAAAATATTCAAAAATTTAATCAAATTGGATTTTATGTATGCAAAAATATTGCATGTCCGATTTTCAGAACCGGAAAAAGTTTCTTGTTCTTGAAGATAGTCCTTGACCAACAATGTGAAATTTCGACGGCGTTGCTCAATATCCCAAATGAGACAAATTCAGAGAACCTAACTTTGTAATTCTCAAGACCTCTAGGCAATTTTACCGAATCTGAGGAATTTTTTATCGATATTCGATAACCTCAGGAATTCCTTAATATAGCTATACTTTTGTAGATTCATAGTTAATAATATTTCTTAAAAAACTCAATAATTCATGAAGAAAACACAAAGAAAAATCATAAGCGTGTCGTATCTGTATATGTGATACAGATTCACGTTGATTATTAACTGTGCTTTGATTTTCTCGGCTTTATAGACAACATTTATTTTTAAAATTACTTCGCCCATGGCAATGAACTCATAAGATGAGTCGTTTTTTAAGCCATTTACAACATTCGCGTCCGTGTTGTTCGGATAAACTCTCGAGTTTGTAATATCCGATAGCGGCCGCGCTCTCAGCAGGAAGGTTATACAGGTCAACATTTTATGGCCACGTGCATGCATGTGTTGTACTTTTTACGCCACAAATCAAAACAAACATAAACAAAGTCCGGCAATTGATAAAACTAGAATAGTGAAGCGAATAGTGCGAATAGTGCGAATAGTCGACGAATAGTACGAATAGTCCGCGAATAGTCGACGAATAGTGCGAATAGTCCGCGAATAGTCGACGAATAGTACGAATAGTCCACGAATAGGCGACGAATAGTACGAATAGTCCACGAATAGGCGACGAATAGTACGAATAGTGCAATAGAGACTTTGCAAGGCTTTGCAGCAGTGCTATAGAACTAAATTTACTGGGGGGGCTCTGTTGACAAACATGAAATCGTGAAAACATTCGTCGACGTACGTCAATGACGTCATACGTCTAGTGATTGTCATCAGTGGCGCTGTGGCCGGGGGGGCAGGGGGGGGGGGCATGGCCCTCCCCTATTGTTGACACCCGTCGTAAAATTGCATTCGACTATTCGTCGACTATTCGCGGACTATTCGTACTATTCGTCGACTATTCGCGGACTATTCGCACTATTCGTCGACTATTCGCACTATTCGTACTATTCGCTTCACTATTCTAGTTTTATCAATTGCCAACAAAGTCCAGATAAAATGAAACCATCAATTTTAAATAACATTCAGGGATGAAATAAAAGATATTGCCTCGGGGAAAATGCTAGAATGGCTAGACCGCAGCAACATGTGCAACTATCTGAAATATGTAAATACTACCAGAGTACCACATACGTGTACTTTGGAATCCGTGAGACAACTTCCGGTTCCCACAGCTGGCTTATGCAACATTTCGTTTGCCCACGTGCTTTAGAACAAAACAAACTACACAACTGCATTTGACGCTTCTGTTCGCTGTAAAATAGTTCATACATCGAAATAGTTTACTCAGGAATATCTACAGACGAATTTGCGAAGAAATCAAAGCGAAATATCGGTTAATTACGGTTTTGGTAAAAATTATTCAAGCCAATTAATATTCAAGCCAAAAACGCGAAAAAAAGGCGCGAAGCGGATTCCTAAATGAACTCTGTTTATTAATTTATTCTGCGTGTTCCTATTGGCTGAGAAGTAAACTGTGTTGATTCCAAGTTTCACTATAACTTAATAACTTTGTTTAGATTCTGAAACACACGTGTACTTAGACACAAGCGGTCTTCCCTCTGTTTTTACTCCGTTATAACGGTAGAAAATCGTAGTTTAAGGTTAGGACTTATAGAAAGGAACATATAAAACGATGTCATCTTTAATTCCAAGCGAAGAACGGCCGCCTAGTACTCCTGGAAGCGCCGAAACTGGCGAAGGATTGTTGATGAACGGCGACAAGCCAACTGGTGTCAGTTTGAAACGAGATGTAGGCCTCATCGGTGGTATAGCTATTATAGTTGGTACTATGATAGGCAGTGGTATCTTTGCTTCACCAAGAGGACTGTTAGAAGCTTCAGGATCGTCAGGAATGGCACTCATCATCTGGGCAATTTGTGGTGTTCTTGCCGTCTGTGGCGCCATGGCCTACGCCGAATTAGGAACAATGATCCCGACTTCTGGAGGCGAATACACTTACATTCGTGAAGCTTTTGGTTCCTTACCCGCTTTCCTGTACGCATGGACTGCCTGTATTGTTATAAAACCCTCTCAATTGGCCATAATATGTCTCATTTTTGGCGAATATATCGTCACTCCTTTCTTTCCCGACTGCACTATGCGTTCTGATATTCAACACATTATAAAGCTGTTAGCCGCTTTTGCCATTGGTAAGTTTATATTCTTCCTTCTTTAGCTTATTTAGTTAGTTTACTATATACCTTTAAACCCCCCAAGATTTTACGATCTAAATACAGTACATAAAATTGTATTTGGCTAACTAATCTTTAATGTTGTATTATAAAGTATTTTACGCGCGAAAATATGGCGCGTTACTACATTAAACATATATTATCATGTGGTTTCTTTGTGATCACAACAATAAAATTGATTTGAATATGACTGGCTTTTACCGGCCCAATTTCTAGAATACGGGTGTGCTTTCGTGTGCTTATCACCGCTAGACATCAATATAAAAAATATATTGTATTGCATGCCATTGCGCTTGTTGAAACGAATATGTAAATACACCTTTGACAAAGCCACATCATTTAGAGTTCACGACTGCTCTTAGCAACCATCAAATTCTTGTCTCAGAACACGGAACTTCACAAAAAGCCACTTAACCCTAACTGTCTGACCCAATAAAATATTTCTCTCAACACTACAAGGTGTTTCTCGTATAAATATAAATTAAAAACAACGTATTTTTGTTTAATTTTCAACTAGGTGTGTTGACTTCGCATACATTTTTCAAGAGTACGTTATTTCCGTTTAAGTTTGCCCTGGGGAAATGAATGAAATTTAAATTTTCTTTTGTGTTTTATTTACATTCTCTGCAATAAAGCAAAAACAGGAAGTTCTGGAACTAGGGTTACTTCATTACATATACGGCATGTTAGCCAATATCACTTGGTCGTATATAGCCTTATTCGGATTGAGAAATTCGAGTTTCGAAAATAGTTGCTAGCAATTGTGAAACTAATTAAATATTGTATAGAGGGATAATTTGTCGTATGAATATCTGAGTCTTGTTGTCTGGTTGACTGAAAAAAACATAAAAAATTTTCTTTGGGTAGGGGTGCATCCACAAAGAAACTTTGTTGAAAATATGTGGCAATTACACTATTGCATCAGTCGGTTTTGATTGGTCAGTTTGTCAGTGCCAACTGATTGGCTGGCTGGCTCAGTCATTTGATTGGTCAGCCAGTCTGCCCAAAGCTTACCGTTTCCATTGCTGAAAAACTTAACAAGACCTCAAGTGTCGAGAACGTTAAATTTTCATGTTTAAAGCAACACATGTAATGCTAATGTTGATTTATGATAAAATATTTAGTCAATGCAGGTGTACTCTACGCAGATTTTTCCACATATTTTTAGAAAAGTGTTGATTTAGTAGATTTACAGCAGCTGTACAATACTTGTGGGTATTGACATATTTGTTCTATATTGCTGTCTCTGTGAAAAGAAAGTATAATTTTGTTCCAATTTACAGCATAGTAAGCCAGCATGCAATTTAAAAGGAAACAAGATAGTCTCCCCCAGGGTTGCTGGCATAGTAAGCCAGCATGCAATTTAAAAGGAAACAAGATAGTCTCCCCCAGGGTTGCTGGCATAGTAAGCCAGTATGCAATTTAAAAGGAAACAAGATAGTCTCCCCCAGGGTTGCTGGCATAGTAAGCCAGCATGCAATTTAAAAGGAAACAAGATAGTCTCCCCCAGGGTTGCTGGCATAGTAAGCCAGCATGCAATTTAAAAGGAAACAAGATGGTCTCCCCCAGGGTTGCTGGCATAGTAAGCCAGCATGCAATTTAAAAGGAAACAAGATAGTCTCCCCCAGGGTTGCTGAGAGGTTGCATGGGGCGCATGGCAAAACTTTCCCAGGGACCCTATGACATCATTATTGTAAAATAGGAGAAGCGGTGTTTTACAATGTATTGCACTTTATTGCATATTCTCTTCACTGACACAGCCAGAATTCATATTTTCATCTGTAAGCAATCTATGAAGAAAACTTAAGGGACTTTGTCTCTTTGGGGCCCCCGTTTTAGCTGAGGGGCCTGGGGCAAAGTGCCCCTGTCCCTCTCTCTTGGCGACCCCGGTCTCCCCAGACAGGAAAGGAGATAGTCTTTCCACCTCAAGGAGTAATTTAGACCCCAGTCACACAATGTTGAAACACATGAAACCTGACTAATTTGTGCACTCCTGGGGTACTTACTCTTTGTAGTTAAATAGTGATTAACTCTCAAATAGGCACTTCTTATTGGATGACATTTGCACTTAACTGTAGTTAATTTAACTTTCATCACTTTTTTATACAACCGGCCCCTGACTCGCACATGAACAGGTCTGGAACTGGATAAATTTTCATGTCTGTGTAGCATGGGTCTTCTTTGGTGTAATTTCTTTATTTCTCTTTTCTCTATAGCTGTGATCACTGTTGTGAATTGCTTGAGCGTGAAACTGGCTGCTCGAGTACAAGTGTTCTTTACTGCAGCAAAACTTCTTGCCCTCGCGTTGATTATCATAACTGGCATTGTCCGACTTTGTCAAGGTACACTTGCAGATATTTTATGACATTGAACTCCCAAAATGGCTGAAGGATATTTTCCATTGTAATTATTTAGTTCACATGGAATATATGACCTTCACAGCAGAGATCAACCTCTGTACAGGCATGTCCAAAAGCCCCTGAGTAGACTTAGAACTCCATGCCTTGTAACACAGGGTCAAACAAGCAACTATCATTGAGCATTTCCAGTGTCTGATACATAAATTTACTTGTGTATTCATTTTTGTATATTAGCCTAGTGCATGTGTTAACTGCATCAACATACTGTCTTCTAGGTTACACCACAGAACTAGATGGTGCAAACTCATTTACTGGCACAGCCACCGTTGGTGAAATTGGATTAATTGGACAAGCATTTTACAATGGTCTTTGGGCATACGATGGCTGGAATAACTTAAACTACATCTCAGAAGAAGTACATAATCCCAATAAGTATGTGATCAAATTATAAATGATATGTTTATCCACTGATGTTTAGACTTTTGATGTATTTGTGTTTATACATTATTGCATTTTAATCTCTATGTAGAAATATCCCAAGAGCTATCGGTATTGGTATTCCGTTGGTGACAATTGTTTACTTGTTGACCAACATTGCATATTTTGCTGTTTTGTCTAAAGAAGAAATTATTGAAGGTGGTGCCGTCGCAGTGGTGAGTGTTGTCTGCTTCAAGGTGGTATATATAGCTGGATTTCATGACCAAGCATTTTTTTACAGCAGATGGTGGTCAACCTACAGTTATCAGAGCGAGAAAATAATGATTTTTTTATATGTAGTACAGTCTTGTATTTGGAGGCAAATAAACAGAATTGAAGATGTAGTTGTATTTTCTTGCTCCTATATAAAAACTTCTGACGTCTTGAACACTGTCTGATGCTGGTCCTGTAACTCTGAAACACACCAACATACTACAAAGTTATGTAATTGGCAAGAACATAAGTATTCCTTAAAATGCTGTGTAAAACTATTGTATTGTAAACACTCTAACTGGTTCTTCTAATTCTCTCTTTCTTAGCTTTTCGCCAACAAAATGTTTGGTGTGATGGCTTGGATTATTCCTGTCTTTGTCGCTTGTTCAACATTCGGTGCTGCTAATGGCTCGGCCTTATCCAGTGGACGGTACAGCTACACTTGATTATATTTAACATTCAATTAGCGAGAGGTTAAATTTAATTATTGTACAATTTATATGTTAAATTCACTGTGTGTGCATGTATTATTGTAGTGTGTTTTATGCTGCATCCAGAAATGGTGAACTTCCTAAATTCATGGCAATGATCCACAACTCTCGATTCACCCCTGTTCCTGGACTTATTGTTCAAGTGAGTTTTCATAGAAATCTACTCTCAACAAAATTAGCAAAACAATCGATATATAGCCTTTGGAAGCACTCTGAAGTGAACGATTACACTTTACTTTTATTTAACATATTACTATCTTCCTCGCCTAGCAACTTGCTTTTTGCTTAATTAGCACCTAGCGGTATTTCCTAATGAAGTAATTGAAACAACAACAAAAGCAATGACAACAAAACAACTACAACAACAACGACTACAACAATTGCAACAACAACAAAGCTTGTAATTTCACTATACACGTTTTTTTTTCTAGAGTTTTATTGCGTGGCTTATGTTGATTCCAGAATCTTCCAGTTTCAGTACTCTGATTGATTACTTCACATTTGCATCCTGGGTTTTCTATGGCGCTACCATTGCTGGCTTGTTATACATGAGATTCTCCAAACCTAATGCTGAACGACCTTTCAGAGTTAGTATTTGTTTGTTCACTGTACTTCCTTCCAAGATTCATTCATTGTCATAATCAAAAACAGTCAAAATATCTCAGAAACGATACAGACTTTTTCCCCCAAAGGTCCAGTCGAGGTCATCCTTGTTGGTCTAGTACGTGTTACCCAGGAGGAGATGGGATAAAAGATGCATTGTTTTATTGAAAGTCCAACTTGAAGCACTCTTGTCAAAAGCGACTGAAGTCAGGAAATTATAGTCAGATAACTGCATATTGTAGGAATCAAATGCCACTCAGAATAAACAGCGCTGACTAACATTATACGAAAAAGAAGACATAGGAGGATTTTCTTTTCCAAATAACTTTTGACAAATATTATTTGATATTTTCAGGTATTTTTGGTTTTCCCCGTGATCATTATCCTTGCTGCACTTTATTTGATCATCGCTCCGTTCTCCCAGAATCCTCTTCCTTCATTCTTCTGCCTTTTGTTCATTTTCTTTGGAGTTCCCGTTTACTTCATTTTCATTTATTACGACTTGAGTCCAAAATGGTTGGATAACGGAATTGGTAAGATACTGACATGTTCTCATTTATCGCCTGTAGAATTAATAATTGCATGGTCGTATTATATATAAAGACGTAAAACAAAATTATGTATCCGAAATATACAAGCTCCTTTGATCGGGGCCATGATTTGTCGTGAATTATTAACAAAAGCTGCAATGCAGCACACAGTATAATACAATAAAATGCAAATTATAGTATAGAATAGAATAGACTCGAATATCATTTGTTTTGGTCTAAAAAGACTCTTTCTGACATTCTGTTTGTATTTTCAGCACGGTTCACGTTTTGGCTGCAGAAATTTGGTGATATCTCGTACCCGGAGTCCGCTGAAGATATCGTCATTGGCTGAACAAACATCTCTAGTAATTAGTATATTCTCGTAGTCGTAGAAGAAACACTGATTTGCCTGCTGTATAAAATGGCTTGGACCTTGCTAAAAATGACGACTCTTTCAAAATTCTGCTGTATAAAATGTAAAAAGTATTTCGTGTTGCAGATTCGAGAGTGAAGCAATACTTGTTATACAAGTGAGTCTAAACGACAAGCCTTCTCTTGAATACAAAAGAGGAGAGTAGAACTTGTATGAAGCTTATTTTCCACTATATAGGGACAGCATTACAAAGATGTCTTCTGGGGTAAAAACTCACAGCAAATTTCACAAAAGCTTGTTTATAACTATACTTAAAAATATTTCTCGAGAAATCTTCAGTGTCTGGACCAATAAAAGTTCTATTTTCTGAATTGTTGAAACAAACTGACCAAAACTGAAATGTGCAAACCAAACCAGCTGGTTAAATTTTAACGCAGGGTTAGCACTAGTCGTGCCTTGAACAACTGGTGGAAAATTCGCTTCAATACCCTCGAGCAACGTTTTTCTTCACTTTGCAATCAAACTCCTTATTCTCGTCCGTGCTTGAAATGTAAATAATTTATCTCTCGGAACGAAACCATGAAGGTTACAGCCATTAGTGACATTACTATATCTATAAGACTATATTTTAAATTCTTGTAACAAATGTATGTTAAGATCTTGATACTGTATTTTATTGGTGCTCTAGATTCTACATATTTATGTTTTAAGTTGTGAGAAATGTTGAAAAGTTCTGTATATTTATAAAGTGTTATAGTTTGTGGTTTTCCAAATAAAACGTGTCTAAAATGCATGAAGTAGCATTTTGCACTCCCTAAAAATAGAACACCCCCTCTCTTGAGGCTGGCCACGCCTCTGCTTTTAAGATTACTTGCTTACCAGGGCTTTAATTTTATCGCGGCAATTGCCGTGGAGGGAGAACAAAATGCCGTGGATCATTGTGGCAACGACGGCAATTGTTTGCCGTATAGTATAATTTTTACACTTCACTGACTGTGCATTACTGTTTTGATACTTGAATTCAGATGTTGTACAAATCATGCGTAAACTACTATTTTAGTCTGAGTTTTCTTCGAAAAAAAACACTAAAGAAATACGTAAACATGTTACTAGCTTGTCAGCAATCCAAATAACAATAAAATTAAATTTTTATAACGGTAATTTGAAAAAAATGCCGTGGAAACTGCCAAAATTGCCGTAGACAGCTATTACGTTCTTTAACGCCATTGCCGTCGATTGATTTCAGGGAAATTCAAGGCCCCCAGTTCGTTGGGCAAACAAAGCCAGTCGGGCAATATTCGCTTCACAGTCTGGTAATGATTGGCTTATTATAAAAATAAATGGGAAAATTATGTCAATTTTGTGGCAAATTCTGTCAATTTTGTGGGAAATATGCTATCTAATAGGAATTTTTCGTAATGACTCCCCCCCCCCCTGTTTTGGAAAGTTTCTCCGGAAAACCTTTTTTTGACAACTTAGGCACCATCCGAAAAAGTCGGGCAAATTTCTTTCCGCCTCCCTAATTTTTTTCCTTCCGTACGCCCATGGCCTGTTGCTTACAGTTATACCCAGTCAACCTACATGGTCACACGCTTGATGCAAAGCGCATGCGCATTTATCGTGAGCGCATTTGATCATATCCACAGCAAATTTGCGCTAAATATTAATCTTGACGCTCACTTGGTTCGTCGTTGAGGTGGTTTTAGATTATTCGAAGGAACACGTTTACGACATATACTATGAGTAAGAACGAAACGTTAAGGGAGACCCCGCCCCAGCACGTCTCTCCTTGATTCTTCCTTGTAAATAGGGTTAAATTTGAATTTCCAAGACAGCGACCACTTCATTTTGAAAGATATTTAAAGCTGTTTGTCTGCACTCTGCATGCGATTAAACAGCACGATAATATTTGCTTTCATCAGCAAGCTATTTTAGTTTACTATAATGAGGCTTTGTTTTTGGCCGTGATCAAATGATTTCTGTTCATAACAGTAAAACATTGCTAGTACATATGTTAGTCTTTGACTTTCATTACATGACCCGCTTTGACTTTGTTGCTGAAACCTGAAACGCCTTGTCGGTTTGAGTTACTACGAGACGATAGGTATTGTTTAGCTTTCAAATTTGGAGGATTTACTGGAGATTTGTTATGCCAAAGCATGTCCATTTATTAAGTTCAATCTTGACAAACGTTCAGTTGTGTATTCTTTGACCTCTGCCACGTAAATCAGTGTTGGTGGAACGGAATTTATGTGGTAGACAAAAAGAAACTGTAAGACTAATTAACAATAGGCCCCGGCAGCGGTAGATACGCTATATACCCACTGTCAATATAGACGAAAGTTTAGAAAGATGTCAGGTTTAATTTCAAACGAAGAACGGCCACATAACAGTCCTGGAAGCGCCCAAACCAACCATGGGCATGGATTGATGAACGGCGACAAGCCAACTGGTGTCACTTTGAAACGAGATGTAGGCCTCATTGGTGGTATAGCTATTATAGTTGGTACTATGATAGGCAGTGGTATCTTTGCTTCACCGAAATGGGTGTTAGAAGCTTCAGGATCGGCAGGAATGGCGCTCATTGTCTGGGCAATTTGTGGTATTGTTGCTGTCTGTGGTGCCATGGCCTACGCCGAATTAGGAACAATGATCCCGACTTCTGGAGGCGAATACACTTACATGCGTGAAGCTTTTGGTGCCTTACCAGCCTTCCTGAACGCATGGACTGGCTTTGTTGTTTTGAAACCCTCTCAATTGGCCATAATATGTCTGATTTTCGGTGAATATGTAGTCACTCCTTTCTACCCCGACTGCACTATGCGGTCTGATATTCAACACATTATAAAGCTACTAGCTGCGTTGGCCATTGGTAAGTTTATATTCTCCCTTCTTTATCTTATATAATTATAATACTATACCCTAGAAGCATCTAAATGTTTCAAAGCACAAATACAGTACATTAATCATAGTATTGTATTTGGTTTAGTAAATTTAATGATGTATTAGTTGACCTGCATGTCTTTGTCTTTGATCTCTTTGTATAGCTGTAATCACTTTGGTGAACTGCTGGAGTGTGAAGTTAGCTGCACAAGTACAAGTGTTCTTTACGGCTGCAAAACTTCTTGCACTTGCTTTGATAATCATAACTGGCATTGTCCGACTTTGCCAAGGTACTTCTAGTCTGTTTCTAGCAGTAATTTTCACAGCTTAACCTGAATTTCCACCGAATTCGCTGTCGAAACTTTTCGCTCAATTTCTTTTGAATTGTGAGCGTAACTGATTCATTCAGATGGTTACAATTCAAAAGATATCAAGCACGACGAAATATTTCTTTGTAAGATCGGTGACGCTTTTAATTTGGTCATTTTTTGCACCCCCGCGTGCGCTATGCCTATATACGTTCGGTAATACACCCCATGCAAAAATACCGGTGACGCCAATGATCATAAATTTGAATCAGTTTGGATATACTTTATTTATTTATACCGCTATAACAGTCATATATACATCTAGTAATATTAAATTAATATTCCGCTACTCCCAAAATTCCCATTCAGGGGCTCTTTCATTCAGGGGCTCTTTCCTCTGCACTAAACACCCGGAATCCCAGATTCCAGTGCAGTAAAATGTCTATTGCATTGGTCTAGGTTACACCACAGAACTAGATGGTGCAAACTCATTTTCCGGCACAGCCACCGTTAGTGAAATTGGATTAATTGGACAAGCATTTTACAATGGTCTTTGGGCGTACGATGGCTGGAATAACCTTAACGTCGTCTCCGAAGAAGTGCACAATCCCAACAAGTATGCGATCAAATTGTTATTATGAATGATATGTTTATCTGTTGATGTTTACAGATGTTGCATAATTATGTATTTGTATTTCCAGTGATGTAAGTACTCGTTACTAAAGTAACGCGTTACTAATTACTAATTACTTTTTGGGTAATTTTTCGTTAATTAATTACTTTTTGCACGAAACTAATTTGAAACGTAATCAATTACTTTTTGAAGGTAACGAGTAACATTATAAAAAAGTAATTTGCGTTACTTTTGGGCACTTTTATTATTTTCCAAAAACACGATGATGACGATTAATTTTTCAAGTCAAAGAAGAAGACAACCAAATCGCCTTTGGATACCTACTTGGCTTCAAACATTATTGATGCCACAGTTTACAATGGACAATGTACTGCACCTTTGAAGCAAATGACTTTGAAGCTGAACACCGTTTTGCCTGCAAGTGCAGCTGTTGAACGTCTTTTCAGCTGTGGAGGCTTGATCATGCGCCCGCACCGAAATCGGTTAACTGATGACCATTTTGAGTCGGCACTACTTTTAAAGCTGAACTCCAAATTTAATACTGTTGCATGCATAAGTCTTAACTCTTAACTTTGGAACTGCCTTTTCAATTAACCTTTTTATTGTTGTTTAAGTCCATGAGAACTTGAAAGTAATTTCAAAGTAATTAGTAATTAATTACTTTTTAAAAAAGTAATTAGTAATCGGTAATTAATTACATTTGAAAGACAGTAATAAGTAATTAGTAATAATTACTTTTTTGGAGAAGTAATTGTAATTTTACTCGTTACTTTTTTTTGGTAATTTTCACATCACTGTGTATTTCAGCAATTCTCACATTATCATGACCGCATGTACACACGTAAAAATCTCACAACTTGTTGACGGAACTTGTGGCAAGCTTGTTGACAAATTGTAACAAGCTTGTTATTTTATACTAAAACTGTCTGTACCAGTGTAGGTAGTACCAACTACCTACACTGGTACAAAGGGCGAAGGGCCTTCGCTCGAAACGTCGAGTTTCTGCTTATTTTTTAAGATAGTAATATAACCACTCAGCACAGCATTTTGTTATTTTATATCAACTTGTAACAAACTTGTTGGCATCAAGCCTGTTACAACCTGTTGGTCTGCAGACTTGTAGCAAGTTGTTTGAACAATTTGTAACAAGTCTGTTGAGCTCAACAACCTTGTGGCAACTTGTCAACAAGCTGGTTGCTGTTGAAGTGCGAACACATCTTGTTCACAAGTTGTCTGCTGCAGGTTTGTTACAACTCCAATACGTGTGAACTACGCTGCTGGCAGTGGTTTCTGAGCTGAGCTTCGGTGACGACATTTATCTCTGTCAATGTGAATGTCAAAATCAACTTGTTTGTTAACTGTTTATATATTAAATTATTGTGTAGAAATATCCCAAGAGCTATCGGTATTGGTATTCCGTTGGTGACAATTGTTTACTTGTTGACCAACATTGCATATTTTGCTGTTTTGTCTAAAGAAGAAATTATTGAAGGTGGTGCCGTCGCAGTGGTGAGTGTTGTGTTGGTATATATAGCTGCTGTATTTCAATAATTCATTTCATTATATGTAGTAGACATGTCATGACATAGTCTTGTATTTGAAGGTAAATAAATAGAATTGAGAAATGTAGTGTAATTTTCATGCTCCCATGTAAAAAATCCATTTTGTCTTCGAACAAAATTATTTTTGTAAACATTCTAACTGGTTCATTCTCTCTTAGCTTTTTGCCAACAAAATGTTTGGTGTGATGGCTTGGATTATTCCTGTGTTTGTTGCTTTTTCAACATTCGGTGCTGCTAATGGTTCAGCCTTATCCAGTGGACGGTACAGCTACACTTGATTATATTTAACTTTGAACTAGCGAGAGATTAAATTCAATTGTTACTCCCATTTGTGTTGAATTACTACTGAGTGTATTTCATTCTATAGTGTGTTTTATGCTGCATCCAAAAATGGTGAACTTCCTAAATTCATGGCAATGATTCACAACTCTCGTTACACTCCTGTTCCTTCAATTATTGTGCCCGTGAGTTTTGAGAGAAAACTAAGTTAATGGATAAAAATAGATGAAAAGAAACACAGGAATAATAACTCAAAGATGGAAAAATACACAGGAGCTAAGACATATAGCTTCCAAGCTAGCTTTGGGCAACACAATTTGTGCCAGGAAACTTCAAAGAAATGCTCATAATTTAATTATACACGTTTATGTTTTCTAGAGTGTTATTGCGATCCTTATGTTGATTCCTGAATCTTCGAGTTTCAGTACTCTGATTGATTACTTCACATTTGCATCCTGGATTTTCTATGGCGCTACTATTGTTGGCTTGTTATACATGAGATTCTCCAAACCTAATGCTGAACGACCTTTTAAAGTTAGTAAATCTTCAGACTTTTTCCCAGTTGATTAATTCATTCATTAACAATCAAAAACAGTCAAAATATCTCAGAAAAAAATACAGGCATTCTCCGCTCCGGTGAGTCGAGTGTTGGTCTTTTTGGTCCAGGAAACCGGAGTACCCGACGAAACCCTGCGGTGTTGTGACTGAGGTGAAATTATAACCAGGCAAGTCCAAGAATCAAACCACCGTCACAAGGTACAAGCAGAAAGGTACAAGCAGTAACGACATGATGCTAACCGAATTTTACTTCTCAAACATGTTCCATAAACGTAGTACTACAATTATTAAAATCAGGATTTGGGACATATAAACTCGATAATAATGTAGGAGAGTTTTGTATATGGAAATTTCGAGGGTGAATTTTTATACATTTTTAAACCTAACCAAAGTTTATTGTAACACGAGGAGTCCAGAAATATTGTTTTATATTTTCAGGTATTTTTAGTTTTCCCTGTGATCGCTGTTCTTGCTGCACTTTATTTGATCATCGCTCCATTCTCCCAGAATCCTCTTCCTTCATTCTTCTGTCTTTTGTTCATTCTTGCTGGGATTCCCGTTTACTTCATTTTCATTTATTACGAATTGATTCCAGCATGGTTGGATAAATGGATTGGTAAGATATCGATATGTTTTCATTTGTCATAAGGTTCGCAGTAGCAATAATATGAATTGGTCTGGGTATTATGTTATATATACAACTCACATGAGCGGCCGTGTTCCGCGCTCGGCCGAGAGGCCCTGGGAACGAGGATGTATCAGATATACAAGCTCGAGCCGAACGCGAGAGGCTGTATGAATAGAGAGGTTAAGATACCCGGTTTCGGTGTACGTGTTCGGTAAGCACGATTTTGGTTAGCAATATTTTCGTCGATGTCTGTACCTTTACTCGTAATTAAGAAGCACATTTTTCGCATTATATCATTGTCTTTGCAAGAAAACAGAAAAAGTATGATCGAATTACAGACATCAGTAAAACAAAATGACACTACTCGTACCCGTACACCGAAACCAGGGTATCTTAACCTCTCTTATATGTCTGACACAACACGGTTACTAGTGGATTTCGAGTATTAATGAGTTTTACAAAGATATCACTGACAAACATGGCAAACATGAGACAAAGCACATCACAAACTATGGAATAGACTTGAATATAATTTTTTTTTGTCCCCAGGCGTAGGCCTTGCTAAAAAGACTCTTTCAAAATTTTCTGTTTGTATTTTCAGAACGGTTCACGTTTTGGCTGCAGAAATTTGCTGATATTTCGTACCCAGAGTCCGCTGAAGATATCATCACAGGCTGAACAAAATTCTCTAGTTTCATATTCTCATACAAAACACATTTGCCAGCTGTAGAAAATTTAAAAAAACATTTAGTATTGCAGATTCCACTCGAAAGTGGAGTAGTTTTTGTCTAACTGTCTTAAGGACTTTAGCTTAAAACGTGGGACGAATTATGAATTTCTTTAGGACACAGGCTGGTTGGCCTGAGTCACAGAGTCATGTTAGTAAAAAGTTTAATAAAACTTTTGTCCTGTAAATGTAATATTTGAAGTTAGGTAGAGTTTATGTAACTAGGTGATATGTTCCGTCCGTTCTTGGAATGTAAATTGTTCGTCTGTGGGAAGGAAACCAAGGGTTACCGCAATTAGTTTATTTTATAATCCTGTAACAAATGTTGAGCCTTGAGGTCTCATTATGTTTTCTGTAGATTGTCTATTTATGTCTAATTTGTGTCTGTGGAATCTAGTGATATTTAAAATTGAAATAAAATGACGTGGTTAGCTTTCAAATTCATGTTTGATATTGGATGTAGTGTAATATGAATTTCTATATTAACATCCTGAATTTAAATACATCCTAACCCAAGTCCAAACCCAATCTCAACCCTAAGCCTTGAGACGTCATTGATATGCGGGGGTAACTGAGTCATCCGTAATAAGTATATTTGTTAATCTGCGGGCCTACCTTATCCAGTTATACTAATTAATGCAGTTTCATCTGGCCAACAGGCCAAATTACATCTGAACAGTATATGGAACTATAAAGGCCAATTTACACTCCACAACTTTTGCCTAAAACTGTCGCATGCAACCTGCTTACAACTTGAGTTGTACTGTGTAAATCAAGCACACAACTCATCCACGTTGTCGTACGTGTCTTTGTGTGCTTGATTTCCACAGTACAACTCAAGTTGTAAGCAGGTTGCATGCGACAGTTTTAGACAAAAGTTGTGTGGTGTAGACAAACCAAACCATGTTACCATTTGGCCGCCTCTGTCGTTACAAAGTGATGAATGCCGATGCGAAAATGTCCTTAGCTTTTTCGCTGTGTGCTCTCTGATTGTAGCGGGCAGACAAGACCATAACTGCCAGAAACCAGGCTTAAATTGCACTCTCACTCCCAACCAAAAACTATTTTGCAAGTTTTGACTTGGTAATATTGGTTGTTTTATGTAAAACCTAGATTCAGTTTACATTATGCAGGGTTTCAGACTGATCCAAGTGACATGGCAGTATATATTATGTTTGACATGTTTGGTACCCAAATTGTCAGCGCCCCTACTGTGGGTGTTTTGAATGGAAAATTCCAATGGGTGTGTATGTTTCCGCATGATAAACCATACAAGGACAGCAAGATTAACTAGAATTAGAATTAAATAAACCGTCAGATCTATTCAGTTGGTGAGTTTAAAAAAAAGATCTATTTAGTTGGTGAATATATATATATATTTATGTTCTGTTATAAAATTATAAAAGCATATATCAACTATTGCTTAATAACAGAATGTATGGTCGAGATTTGATTGATTGATCCGGTGATTTGCACATGATTAGCACATGATCAGTGGGTTTTCACTTGTTTCCATCTACCAAACTGACATTACGTCATTTGATCAATTTCTAAAGTTGTTTCTTTTTGGATTTTTTAATTAATTTGGTTAGGGTTAGAGTTAGGGTTGCGGTTAGGGTTAGGGGTTAGAGTAGGGGTAGGGTTTGGGCTAGTTACATAGCCATTTAACACCTCTTCAATCTTCTGAAAATGACGTCATGTCAGTTTGGTGGTTGGAAACAAGTGCTGACCTGATCAGTGATGCGCGCGCATGCGCTGTTGCGGTTTAGGCAGAATAGAATTATGGATGATTCAATTACTCTACATTAATTATACAAAGAAAATATTTGGGCAACGCTACCTTTGGCAACGCTTCGGTGCTGTTTTCAAAGAAAGTAATTTTTTCCTTCTCTAAAATCAGCAATCAGATCGACAATTAAGCAAAATGGAGACAGATTCTCTGTTATTTTCAAAATCGAGTAATGCTTTGGCTCAAATTGGCGAAACAACGAGCGAAGAGGAGCCGAAATTGTACAGAAGACGTTGGGTTATGTTGGCCATTTTAACCTTACTCACAGCAGAGAATTTAACTCAATGGTTGTTCTACAGTGCGATTAGCAACATTACGGAGTATCATTTTGGCGTTTCATCATTCCCAGCGCAATGTCTGTCTCTCAACAATCTCGCAATCATCATGATTTTTGGTTTACCGGCAACGTTTATTATCAACAGAACGACTCTGAAGTCTGGCATTCTGATAAGTGGCTTACTGAGTCTTATAGCTTTATGGATCAAGTTTTTCGGGGCGGGGAAAAACGGATTTGCTTTGTCATTATGCGGACAAATTTTCGCATCTGTGGGGACTTGTTTTGTACTTCCACTTCCCGCACAATTGGCTTCAATTTGGTTTGGGATATATGAGAGATCTCTTGCAACATCTATTGCTGCTAGTGGCCTGTCTGTTGGGATGGGATCAGCCTATTTATTTGCAGTTCAGTTCGTACCAGATGTTGAGAACCATACAAAAATTGAAGATGGCATACGTAAAAGTATCCTTGTTCAAGCAATGCTGTGTTCGACAACGATTATTGCGGCAGTGATTTTGTTTGATAATGTGCCTCCATCCCCACCGAGTCCATCCCAAGCTGCAGTCAGCACAGATGAACAAGTAAGGCCACCATATCTTCATTCTTTACGAGAAGCGTTGAGCAATACCTCGTTTGTTCTAACTGGACTAACATTTGGGGCAGTTAGTGGTGTGCTTTATGCATTTTTCAGCCTACTGAGCGACATCATCCTTGACAACTATGGTGTTGATGAAGATGTGGTTGGATGGATGGGTTTCATTGGGTCAATTATCGGTATCCCTGGTATGCTCGGTGCAGGGTTCTGGCTCGATCGGACAAAGACGTATAAAAAATCATTCGTGGGATGTTCAGGTCTTATCTTCCTCACATGTTTGGGTTTTACATTAGCAGTGAAGTACAATGCACCTATAAGTGTGGTGTATGTTCTTGTTGGGTTATTTGGTTTCTTAACGGCAGCTCTAACAACCATTGGTTTCTTGCTTGGTGCCGAACTTACTTATCCCGTTCCTGAGATTGTGTCATCTGGAGCACTTTTGACAAGTGGACAGGCGTTCGGCGTTTTAGTATTGGGCATAACATCCTACACTGTAGCTGCAGTCAGTAGTGAATTTGTGAATTGGTTTATCACTGGCATATGTTTGTTTGCCTTTTTGGTTACTCCGTTCATAAAATCGGACTTCCGACGGCTTGCAGAAGATAGCATCGCATCATCAAGCACTATTGTAGCTACTAGTAGTGAAAAGGAATAAAGTGGCCCTAAAGTATTTGGGGATGGGGAAATTATTGGTTGAAGGAGGGGTGGAATATTGCATGATCGTCGGGGTGCAGATATTTTAATGGGTTACTGCCCCCCCCCCCCTATCTAGAAAGTCTAACAATAAGCCAATTAGCCTAGTTCTCACAAAAAGGCCAAAATCCACCATGATTTTGGGGGTACTGTCTGCCCTTGTGAAAGATTCTAGACAATTAAAACTACAACTTTAAAAAGCTGTAACTGTAAATTTACCATTATACATATTACAAACAACTATAATACAAAAAAAGTTGTGTTTCGTGGTGTGGAGACTCTCAGTGGTAGAAGCAGTACCCCCAAAATGGTGGGGAAATCGTCTGTGAGAAAGGCTAATTCATTACGATCGTCCAAATGATGTGTTTCGTGTTGGGGTAAATTGCTGTTGAATCATAACATGTACTGTAGCTGAGACTGGAAGCAATATTTAAGTAAAAGTGCATGTCAAAGTGTTGACTACTTTGATATGCATATTCTAACTTGTACAGTCTCGACTACATTTTATAGTGCAACTGCAATTTATCCAGACTCAGAAGATGTCATTTCGATGCACAGTGAAACCCTGAACTGGCTTATTGGTAGAAGCTGATAGTCTGCTTATTCAATGACAAAATGCAATTATTAATTGACTGCATTGTTTTGCTAGTACTTATTCCAGTGGACTTATGTTACTTTGAGATATATTTTCAAATTGGCTCATCCTAAGTAAAACCTAATGATTTGCTAAGTTATAAAAGTACAAAAAGGAAGTTAGTCCATCATTGTTTTAAAGAAACCAAGAGTTCAGAATTTATGCACTGACACCAGATTATGCAACCAGCCCTAAATGGCATATAGCTGGGCATAAATTATGTACTTGATATTTTTAATATAATTACAGACTCGGCAATTTAGTATTTAAAACAGATGAAGAACTTTAATAATAGTTGGGTTCTTTTATTTTATTTTATCCTTATGATGTAAAAAACACTTTGGATGTTTAATTAAGTAAATGTATGAGCAATTGCTGTTACAGTAAGATAGCTTGCATGCCATGTAAAAAAGTATTTAATTAACTAAAGATTGCAATTTATCCTGAATATATATCAATCATAAAATGTATTATTAGTAATAATAGACAATGTTCAATCAAATAGCTGTTAGAAAATAAAATTGCACAATAGTTTTGAAAGTTGTGAAGCTTACTTTGAGGAAATGAGATTTCTATAGACACTTCCCAAATTGACAAATTCGATGTCTGGCAATAAAAACTATTTATTCATCATGCCTCGTGGGCATGTTGTAAAAGACGGACTTGACTGGACTGGACTGGACCGGGAAAACGCGGACTGAGTCCGTGTTTTACAAATCGCGGAATGAATTTGTAAAACACGGACTGGACTGGACTGGACTGGACCGGGAAAACACGGACTGAGTCCGTGTTTTACAAATCGCGAACTAAGATTTGTAAAACGCGGACTCAGTCCGTGTTTTACAAATCGCGGGCTGGAATTTGTAAAAGGCGGACTCATTTCCTGAATGCACTGAGGATGAACGGTCGCAGTAAAGTATAATTGTCTATTCTCATGACAAAGTTCAATGTTTTTACCGAGAAACTTCAATGTTTTTGATGACCATTTATGATCATTTGGTGGTTTCAAAGCTTGGATCTGGTTGTTCAACAGATTAATATCAGATCAGAACCTGTCAAGTGCTCTTGACAAACGAAGATTCTCACGGGAATAGGCAATGTTTTTATCAACGACCGTTCATCCTGCAAGCGACGGTACATGGACTCAGTCCTGTACTGACTCAGTCGTAAAAGTTTTGGCGGGAATTGCACTCAGTCGTGAGAGTTTTGGCGGGAATTGCGGATAATAGGTCGGTCAAGGAATAATCATATCCTGGACCTAAGGTTGGTATAAATTACTATTATTTATTTATTGTTTTGAATAAACTGATGAACAGCGTTCAATCTTAGGAACACGCTCAGCCATGTGGGACTTTGTGCCATTATTGTCGAGGAAACTCGTGCGTATATCAAATGTGGCCGTTTCATAAACAGTTGTATGCCTGTATAGATATAGATATAGGCTAGCTCTTAATCTTATAGCAGATACCATTTAGTGTTAATCATAATTAGAAGAAAATAGAGTTAATTCGTTTATTTTGTGTTCGTGGCGAAGAGGGCGTATTAAATAAAGGTGTCTACAAATTTGCGAGAAATATGAAATGAATACTCTAATCGAATTTGCCTTTAGTAAATATTTGTGACAGGGAAACTCTTGCAGGCCATCAAAACATCAAAACAGTCTATTAACTTTTATTGTTGTCATACGAGGAAGTTTCTAAAAATCGTTATTCCATTATAGTATTCATTTCGCATATTTCTCGCAAATTTATAGACACCCTTTTACACCCGTTTTCAAAATTACGCGACCTAGCTCCCTGAAAAATACTCTTTACTTTTATGTCACAAAAACTGCTAAATATAGCAAACGTAAACAAACTGTCAAAAGACATTTTATTATAAGCCGTATTTAATACAGACCTGCCAAGTCTCACGATTTAATGTGAGACTCACGACTTTTTATGCTTTCTCACGATTAAATCCCCAAATCTCACGATTTTGGGCAAAATCGCTGCTAAAACCACAAGTGATTCCAAACACCCGTGGAAAAAAATGAATATGCTATTATTTCGTGAGACTTGACACTGGAAGCTACTGAAGCCATAAAGATTAAAGACTGAAAAAACAGCCTATTTTTAATAAGCCTTGCATTACGGTTATATTAACAAATTAACAAAATATAAATGCATACTATCCTAAGATAAATGCATATTATCCTATACTTATTTTCTAGTGTTGTTAAAGTTAAACCCGGTCATGTTAATGATAATAAGTCTCACGATTTTTCAGCCAATCTCACGACTTTTTAGATAGCAACTCACTATTTTTGCCACTCAAGGGTTGGCAGGTCTGTTTAATACCAAAACTGAACATAAATGAGTTAGATACAAGCACAATACAAACCATCACAACAGAAATATGTCGGTCGTGAATAACTTTTAAAGTTTGAAAACTAACAATTTATCCAACCTCGTGGTTGCAATTTATCTTGGAATATAGCTGTTAGTAAAAACACGCGCGCGCTAGAACGGTGATGCTTAAATTTTGCAATAATTCCCACTAAAAAGTATCTTGAAATCATTGTAAGCCTGTTTATATAAAGCATACAAAGCATATACATCGACAAGGAACCGCAAAACTCAAACTGTTTAAACTTCGTGACCGAATGACATAAAACTGACATGTCAACTCTAACACCGCGGAAAAATGTCTGCGCATGCACCGAATTATGAAAATATGGCGGGGAATTTGAACATCAATTTCTAAAACAAAAACATGCTTATTAATTTGTTAAAAATTAGTAAAACAAACGAGAAAATATAGCAAATGGGTAGACTAGACATTAATTGAAAGCGTCCTGGCATTTAAAGTATGGAATGAAATATAATTCATGTAAAAAATTGTTGCCAGTTTTAACGGACATATAAACTTCGGAAAATTTTTGCAAAATTATTCAAAACAAAAATTCAAACTCAAAAGTTAAGAAAACTCTCGAAAAGTTAAGCTTCTTAACACACTCAAATTGTAGAATACATCCTAAAGTTTAATTATTGTGAACACGAAAATTTTTTATATTTGGCGACACAGTTTTTTTTAAAGAAATGTATCTCAAACGAAAATTCGGAAATTGTCGTTGCTTAGTTGATATAAACAAAATGTTTCAGACGATAAATTTGTCAACAATCACCTTTAGTTCATGTTCTTGTACAATACAATTTCTTGAACCTTCTGGCTGTATTTATTCCTAGTTTTTAGCTCGGTTTTTAGAATGACATGTTTATTTTTGCGCTCGAAATCTGGCTGTAAAGACACACATTGAAGTCACTCCTTTTTACCGCCATTTTGAGCCTTCGGAAACGTTCGGAACAGCTTCTCATCAAGTTCGCAATACTATTACAGGTAAGGTTGACGCATGCGCAGACGTTTTTCCGCGGTGTTTTTCGTCCTTGATCACGTACTAATTTTGAAAACGGGTGAAAACGTTTGAAAACTCTTCGCCACGAACACAAAATAAACAAATTAACTCTATTTTAAGTCTAAATATGAGTAACACTAAATGGTATCTGCTATAAGAGCTATATCCAGGGGCGAAACTAGCCCCTTTTAATTCGGGGGGTGTCTGCCAATATTTTTGAACCAATATAAATTCTATAAATTCCCTCTGAAAGCCCTGTAAATTACTTAATTAACTCAACATTCTATCATTTAAAATCTTTGATTTATTCAAAACAATAAATAATAGTAATTTTTACCAACCTTAGCTCCAGGATATGATTATTCCTTGACCGACCTATTAATATCCGCAATTCCCGCCAAAATTCTCACGACTGAGTGCAATTCCCGCCAAAACTTTTACGACTGAGTCAGTACAGGACTGAGTCCATCTACCGTCGCTTGCAGGATGAACGGTCGTTGATAAAAACATTGCCTATTCGCGTGAGAATCTTCGATATTTGTCAAGAGCTGATCTGATGTTAATCTGTTGAACAACCAGATCCAAGCTTTGAAAGAGGGTGCATGGGAAAGGGTATTTTCGTGAGCCGTGAATGGTCAATATTTGTTCGCGTGAAATGTGAAATGCTTGATTTTAGTGTCGTGAAATGTGATTTGTTCTACAGCCGTGAGGCGTGATTGTCGATAAAAATGCTCCATGAACGTAAAGTGTCTGTTTCGTGAACTGTGCTTTTGCTTTGTTTATTTCGATCTATTTCATGATAGTCATTATAGACATGATAATCAATTTATACGATCGATCTCACTCGATTGCACAAGAGTAAAAAATTCGGAAGCCATTCGGTGGTCGTCGAACATACTCGTCACTCAAACTCGTCACTCAAAACGGATGTAGTTTTTAACTGCCAGGCAGAGAAGTGAGAGAACTTAAAGCGTAGATACTGTACCATGCATTAAACATAAATAAACCTATTATTATTATACTATTTTATTAGAATCTAGTTTTCTGTGAAATTGCATTTTTAAGACACGTGAATCGCGAAACGACTTTTTTTTTCGTTGTGAAACGTGATCCATGCCCCCTCCCCCCTTTCCCACCCTCTTGAAACCACCAAATGATAGTAAATGATCATCAAAAACATTGAAGTTTCTCGGTAAAAACACTGAACCTTGTCATGAGAATAGACAATTATACTTTACTGCGACCGTTCATCCTTAGCGCATTCAGCAAATGAGTCCGCCTTTTACAAATTCCAGCCCGCGATTTGTAAAACACGGACTCAGTCCGCGTTTTACAAATTCAGTCCGCGATTTGTAAAACACGGACTCAGTCCGCGTTTTCCCGGTCCAGTCCAGTCCAGTCTGGTCCAGTCCAGTCCAGTCCGTCTTTTACAACATGCCTGCCTCGTGCTATTGTTTCGTGTGCACTCAAGAAATTCCGGGAAGTATCTATATTGATTGCCGGATGCATAGACCTGATCAACTGAGACATTTTTAAGTTCCTTTTTGTAAAACCAGAACATTCCAAGCGTCCTACTTTAATCGAATAGTAAAACTATGGAACACAACCTGTAAAAACTCCCACTACTACTAGTTTATCGAGTCTTTCAACTTTCAAATGTTCAATTAAACTCGTGCATGTATCATAATTTAATAAATACTCGAATTTTTCATGTTGATCAACCGTGCACATGGACCCTCGTGCGTGGTTGCTCCTGCCATAGGACATAAACTTTTATATTTTTTATGGGAAGTGCCCCGCATGGGACTTGGAGTCCCATTCGCACTTTTCCAATTTGGGTGTTTTATGCTGCATCCAAAAATGCAGTGAACTTCATAAATTCATGGCAATGATTCACAAACTCCCGTTACACTCCCGTTCCTTCAATTATTGTGCCTGTGAGTGTTGAGAGAAAAAGTAATGGATAAAAATAGATGAAAATAAATATAGGAACAATCGAGGGAATAATAACTCTGGCGTCAAAGATAAGTGCACAGGAGCTAAGACATATAGCTTCCAAGCTAGCTTTGGGCAACACAACTTGTACCAGGAAACTTCAAAGAAAACAATAAAACAACAACAAAGGCAAAGCTCATAATTTAATTGTACCGTATATGTTTTTTAGGACTAGACTGTTATCGCGATCCTTATGTCGATTCCAGAATCTTCGAGTTTCAGTACTCTGATTGATTACTTCACATTTGCATCCTGGACCTGGATTTTCTATGGCGCCACTATTGTTGGCTTGTTATACATGAGATTCTCCAAACCTAATGCTGAACGACCTTTTAAAGTTAGACACTTTTTCCCAGTTGATTAAATCATTCATTAGGATGATTAGCAATCAAAAACAGTCAACATATCTCGGAAAAATACAGGCATTCTCCGCTCCGGTGAGTCGAGTATTGGCCATCCGTCTTTTTGGTCCCCTGCCAGTCTTACAGAGGCGAAAGGTACAAGCAGTAACCACATGACTGAGTCATGATGCCAACGGATATTTCACTTCTCAAACAAGTTCCACAGACGTAGTACACTAGTTAGTACTTCATGTGCTACTGCCACCGTCATGTGCGAATCACCCGGAAAAAACCCCGAAAAAAACTCTCATTAATTATACAAAGAAAATATTTGCGCTACGCTTCGGTGCTGTTTACAAAGTACAAAGAGAGTAATTTTTTCCTTCTCTAAAATCAGCAATAAGATCGACAATTAAGCGAGATGGAGACAGATTCTCTGTTATTTTCAAAATCGAGTAATGCTTTGGCTCAATTTAGCGAATCAGCGAGCGAAGAGGAGCCGAAATTGTACAGAAGACGTTGGGTTATGTTGGCCATTTTAACCTTACTCACAGCAGAGAATTTAACTCAATGGCTGTTCTACAGTGCGATTAGCAACATTACGGAGTATCATTTTGGCGTTTCATCATTCCCAGCGCAATGTCTGTCTCTCAACAATCTCGCAATCATCATGATTTTTGGTTTACCGGCAACGTTTATTATCAACAGAACGACTCTGAAGTCTGGCATTCTGATAAGTGGCTTACTGAGTCTTGTAGCTTTATGGATGAAGTTTTTCGGGGCGGGGAAAAACGGATTTGCTTTGTCATTATGCGGACAAATTTTCGCATCTTTTGGGACTTGTTTTATACTTCCACTTCCCGTACAACTGGCTTCAATTTGGTTTGGGATATATGAGAGATCTCTTGCAACATCTATAGCTGCTAGTTGCCTATCTTTTGGTATGGGATCAGCCTATTTATTTGCAGTTCAGTTCGTACCAGATGTCGAGAACCATACAAAAGTTGAAGATGGCATACGTAAAAGTATCCTTGTTCAAGCAGTGCTGTGTTCGACAACGATTATTGCGGCAGTGATTTTGTTTGATAATGTGCCTCCATCCCCACCGAGTCCATCCCAAGCTGCAGTCAGCACAGATGAACAAGTAAGGCCACCATATCTTCATTCTTTACGAGAAATGTTGAGCAATACCTCATTTGTACTAACTGGACTAACATTTGGGGCAGTTACCGGTGTGCTTTACACATTTTTCAGCCTACTGAGTGATATCGTCCTTGACAACTATGACGTTGATGAAGATGTGGTTGGATGGATGGGTTTCATTGGGTCAATTATCGGTATCCCTGGTATGCTCAGCGCAGGGTTCTGGCTTGATCGGACAAAGACTTATAAAAAATCATTCGTGGGATGTTCAGGTCTAATCTTCCTCACATGTTTGGGTTTTACATTAGCAGTGAAGTACAATGCACCTATAAGTGTGGTGTATGTTCTTGTTGGGTTATTTGGTTTCTTAACGGCAGCTCTAACAACCATTGGTTTCCTGCTTGGTGCCGAACTTACTTATCCCGTTCCTGAGCTTATGTCAACTGGAGCACTTTTGACGAGTGGACAGGCGTTCGGCGTTTTAGTATTGGGCATAACATCCTACACTGTAGCTGCAGTCAGTAGTGAATTTGTGAATTGGTTTATCACTGGCATATGTTTGTTTGCCTTTTTGGTTACTCCGTTCATAAAATCGGACTTCCGACGGCTTGCAGAAGATAGTCAAGATAGCATTGCTTCGTCAAGCACTATTGTAGCTACAAAAAGGAAGTAGTCAATCATTGTTTTAAAGAAACCAAGAGTTCAGAATTTATGCACTGACACCGGTCCAGATTATGCAAGCAGCCCTAAATGGCATATAGCTAGGCATAAATTATGTACTTGATATTTTTAATATAATTACAGACTCTGCAATTTAGTATTTAAAACAGATGAAGAACTTTAGCATGCAAATAATAGTTGGGTTCTTTTATTTTATCCTTATGATGTAAAAAACACTTTGGATGTTTAATTAAGTATTAAGGAGGCCCACCAAGGGTGTAACCCAGGTCGCTTGTCACTAATTTTGTAGCTGCTTTGTCGCTTGTTTTATTGTAATAAATGTTGCTGTCACTTTTGACCCATAACACAAATCTGTCGCTTTTTCCCAATCAGAAGCTGTCGTTTGTTTCTTTTTTTTAGATAGTCTGTCGCCTCTTTTTAAGGAATGTCGCCTGTCGGTCAGCAATTGCTGTTACAGTAAGATAGCTTGCATGCCATGTAAAAAGTATTTATTATAAGTAATAGCATGGCTTGAGGGAGATTAGTGATTAAATGGCCCCGTAACCCGAGGCAGGTTTGCGGAATTCCCGAGGGCGAAGCCCGAGGGAATTCCGCAAACCTGCCGAGAAAATGGACAACATGCCCACTTGGAATCAGCGTATTTAAGCTAAAACATTTGCTTCATTGCTTGTGGGATGTAAAAGCTTGTTGCACATGCGCACTTTTTACGCTTTAATCGGTTACGCATGCGCAATCTATCATTTAACGTACCACAACAAAAACGCTAAATATATTAGTATAAAATTGGAGACTGCACGAACGTAATTTAAATGATGCGGCAACTCAGGGATCGGATGATAGACTATTGATGGCTCTGAGCTAACTGTTGCTGTTCCTTGCACGATTATGTGCGTGAGGCACTTGCCTAATGCGTAGTCGTCAGGGAGACAAAGGTGTGACCCTTGGTAACGGGCGATTAGTTCTAATCGCCCGCTCTAGCGGGCGATTAGAACTAATCGCCCGCTACAGCGGGCGATTAGTTAGTAATCGACCCTGTTGAAACAAAAGAAACCCGGGCAACTATGCTATTAATTAACTAAAGATTGCAATTTATCCTGAATATATATCAATCATAAAATGTATTATTAGTAATAATAGACAATGTTCAATCAAATAGCTGTTAGAAAATAAAAGTGCACAATAGTTTTGAAAGATGTGAAGCTTACTTTGAGGAAATGAGATTTCAATAGACACTTCCCAAATTCGCTGTCTGACAATAAAAACTATTTATTCATCATGCCTCGTGCTATTGTTTCGTACTTTCGTGTGCACTCAAGAAATTCCAGGAAGTATTCAGGGGTGGATCCAGCAAGGTTTTTCTAGGGGGTGCTGGGTGAGCAGCCAAGTGTTTTTTTTTATAATTCTTTAGGGGGTGGCAGACCTCTCAACTTTGCAGAGAAGTTAAGAGTGAGATTGGGGATGTGGATGACACCGGAAGGAAAAAATTAGGGGGCCGAAAAGAAATTTGCCCGACTTTTCGGGATTGTGTCTGACTAGTACCGAAAAAATTTTTTCCGGAAAAATTATTTCGGCGACCTCCTGAAGCGAATTGCGTGAGACTCACGCCGAATGCGTGAGAATTGAGAGGTCTGGCGTGAGAGCGTGAGACTGAAGCGAATTGCGTGAGACTCACGCCGAATGCGTGAGAGTTGAGAGGTCTGGGGTGGTTGGGGAGCATTCAAATGAATTGGTTTCCTAATGACTCGCGTGCTGAAGGCGCAAGCTCCCTAGGGGGTCCAGGGATATGCCCCCCAGAAAATTAGAACCCTAGAAATGCCATTTCCTGCAATATGGGCATTGAATTATGAGCTTTAGTTTGACTTCAAAAAAGGAAAAACATTGGAAATTATGCCATATTTCTGAATTTGATTTTATTGCACCCCTGTTGACCAAGGCCAACAGGGGTGCACACCCCTGTGCACCCCCTCTATAAATCCACCCCTGGAAGTGTCTATTGATTGCTGGATGCATTGACCTGATCAACTGAGACATTTTTAAGCCTTGTTTCCACCCAATTTACTTACACATACTTGTAGTCTAGTACCATTTCAATGCTTGCATTATTATTATGACAAATATTTACATTTCATTATAGCAATATCATTGTCAATATATGACCTCTCCCTATATAAAAGTTCTATCAACTAATTAAGTAAGAAACTAAATTACATTAAATATAAACCTAGTAACTAGATCTAATTTTTATGATTTTATTAATTTACAATCAGTAAAAATGTTTTAAAAAGATCTGGTAAAATGCAAGTCTAATAATCTTCTTAAACTCTAAAATCCTGTTCAGTCCTTATTGGCAGATCAGGTATCTTAACTAATGTTTCATTCTATGCTACAGTACATTATCATAAAAGTAATTCATGTGAAATCCAAGATATGATCAAGCAAGACTATATACAGTATCATCATCAGACATCCTTGATTTCTGAAGATGATGTTTTGCAGACTTAGACCACAGTCAAACGTTGAACTTTTCATGTGCAGAACCCAAAGCAAATGAAGTGTAACAAAGAACTTAGCTCATTAACATTAGGTTCGGCGCATGAAAAGTTCGATGTTTGACCCTGGCCTTTAGTACTATATTGTGCAATGGAACTTAATGGGTTAATAGAAAATGTGAACTAGAAGGGGACAACAGGCAAACAAATCTAGACCTGTCTATTTTTTATGATATTTTATCTAAGAATCAATTCTTCCAGCATGCTCATGTTCAGGACGATGCTCTGAGTCATAATCGATATGCACAAATGCTCGTTCAACAAAACTGAAATTTTCAAGTTTCTTTTGCAATGGTTCCCCTATATCATGTGCCTCTTTCAATGTAATATCTGGTGGGAGAACAATATGGGCTTCGACAATCAAATTGTTTCCAAAATGGTATGCCCTTAGCGTGTCAATGGATTGAATCCTATGGTCAAAATTACAGCAAACTTGTAAAAGCTTCGTTAGGAGTTCTGGTGTAGCCGTCAAACCAGAAAGAGCCTTAACCTGATCCCAACCCACGCCAAACCATCCATATGCAATGTACACACTGATCAGTATTGCACCCACTGCGTCGCCAGGTTTCCATAATTTATAACCAATATAACCAAATGCTAAGGCAACTGCATTGGAAATAATATCATTTCGGTGGTCTTGTGTTAGCACATCAGTTGATGGTGATTTGTATCGCCGACAGTAAATGAACAACAGTATTTTTGTTACAATAGTACCACATATAATTATTACAGTCGGTATGGACATGTCAGGGTCACCAGAATTGTTTACCAAGGATTGTGCAGATTCGATGATTATTTGTAATGAAGCAATAGCCATAATGACTGATAGCACAGTAATTGCCAATGGTTCTAGTCGAGTTTTGCCGACCGGATATTCATAAAAATTGGTCATACGTATGGATCGGTTCGTTAGCCATATAACCAAGCCAGAAAGTAGGTCTACGGCACTGTCGACCACACTTGATATTATGGATAACGACCCTGACAGCACAGATGCAACTAATTTAGCAATCAGTAACACAACATTACAAGCCAGGCTAATTTTGGCCGCTCTTGCAGCCAACTTGGAATCATCTCCCTTGTTCATCTCATCATTATTATCGTTATCATCTGCAAGCATGCTCTGTAATTCCTCCTGCCTTTTATAATACCGTTGTACGTTCTTGCAAACATGTTCACCTTTTTCCTTTGCAGATTTCTTGAGGTTTATGGCGCTATTCGTCGGTACTATTTCTTCCATAAGTGTCTGGGCACTTTCCGACTGAATTGTTGTTGTTGTAGTCGCCATTTTACAGTATTATTTCAACTATACAAGACTCGCATTTATATGTGAAAGCAATTGCAAACAGAAACTGAATTTCGTTTCACAGTGTGTTGTAAATTGTCAAACGGTGAGCTAGTAGTACAATTGGTCTGAAATGGCTCTGGTATCGCTATATATGGTGTTAAAAAATGTTTATTTATTTATTCACTGTAAATAAATGGAAAGAGGAATTGTTCGAAAAAGCGGGAGTTCAGAATAACGAGAGTGGTGAAATTCCATTAGATAAAAGAATTAAATACCGTATTTGAAACAAATTGAAAGGAACACTTATACAGTAACTAGAAAATACATGCATGCAGAAACCCTCGCCTTGCTGACAAAACCGTTGTATTTTCCGAACATGAAGTATCTGAAGTAGTTGTCATGGTAACACGATAATTTTTTAAGAATATTCTTACAAATGAAAATCGCCTAAAAATATCACTTTTAATTACAAAATTATCAATTTCCCAACATATATATGTTAGGTATGTAATTATACGTAATACAAGCTTCAATTTAAGGTAAAATTCAACCACAAACAATTCACAAAACGTTTTAAAGTGTTCTTTTTAAAACTAAACTGCCTTTAACTATTAAATGGCTTTATCGATAAACTTTGAGTTTGCAATAAAATGATTTCAAATTCTCGCTTGCAAATAACTTTGCTTTATTTTTTATTTAAAAATTCAATATAATAAAAAAGGGAATCAATATTAAAGATACACTGAAATTATATGCTGTCTTGTTTAGTTGTTTCATATACGCAAAGGCCGTCGGGTTTTAAAGCCATTATAAAATCAATATTTAAAACAAACTTACCTTCGTTAACGTCGGCTCCCTTCTTTTAGCTGATTCTTTCGCCCTTTCTTTCTTGAAATTTACAAAATCTTGCAGAAATACGAGCAAAAATGAAGAATATTTGCAAAAAATTTATCAATCATCAACTCATCAAATCAAGAAATGTTTGCTATTTCGCTGTCGTCATGCAGCCGTTATAATGCAAACTTTAAATTGGACCAATCAGTGTCCGTTATTCATGATAGTCCGCCATATTTTTGAGATCAGTGAGGATGACCACCCATCGTTGGTGACCGACGCCCGCGCTCATTGATGAACTTTAGACTTCCCTAATGCTTTCGTTTCTCCGGGTGTAAATAGCCGGGGGGAATTAGTACCCTCGCACGGCGCTTCGCGCCGCCGGCTCGGGGATTATATATAAATTTGTGAGTTTCAGACGTTTGTGTAGCCCCCCCCCCCTGAAACATAACAAAAGTCCCGGTTTTCCGGGGGGCAAACGGAGATCAAAAGGTCAATCGCTAAATACCATACGCGATACAATCAATAAATTATATATCGGACTCGTATCAAAGCGAAAACATTTTAGCGAGCATAAAACTATGGCATAAAATGATGATGCTACATAAACGATTTTACTTTGTGTCAATAGTCATAAAAATTAAAATTGTTTGAGTCTGCATGTGTCATCCTGAACGATATGTTTTAACTGAGGCCCGCACCTCTCAGCGGAAACATTCGCAAGTAGAATAAAAATTCATGTAAGAAGGACATGAAAAAGTGAGATATCTCTGCTCAAAAAGTTCAAAAAGTCATCATTTCTAAGCTAAATTTCTAAGATATTTCGATGTCTTAAGTGATGGAGTTACGAAAATGGATGCCAAGAACGAAAAGTCGTCGTTTAGTGGTATGTTTTGGGCCATTTTAATGTTTTTAAAAATATTAAAAGATAAGTTCTTTGTACGTTTGCATGGCGATAAAACATATAATAGTTTTGTTTGTGGAAACACCACGTAAATTTATTACTGCAAAGCTTTCGATCGAAAGCCCGGATCTTCATCAGTGCATATTATTATTCGTTAGCACTGATGAAGATCCGGGCTTACGGATCGAAAGCTTTGCAGCAATAAATTTACGTGGTGTTTCCACAAACAAAACTATTATATATTAAAAGATGTTATTTAATATTTGTCACTTCTGTGTGCATAAAAATATAGTTTGGAAGTTGGAATATTTTGACACAAGGCAGTATTTAATTTAATACAAAGCCATTAAATTAACGAGTTTTATAAACTCTAGCCAGTGGTAGCACAATGATGACATTGCATGTTAGCAGTTAAAAATTGCTTTTAAAGTTTTTCTGTTGCAACCAAAAAAGTAATTTGCAAATTTAAAATCAGATTAAGGATCAGGATTAGTGTTCAGGTAATGACCACCCTCCTCCTGTGTCTCCTACAACTGGCTGCATATATAATTTGTCCATTATTACCAACTTGTTTCCATATGGGGCCTTGGTGGCAAAGTGGTTAATGCACTTTCCTTTCACCTCCGAGGCCGCAGCACAGAATACTACACAGAAGTCCATCTCCATTGTTTTTTGCATAAGCGTTATTCGTCATGATTTGTCACTCAGCAAGTACCGTAAACAGAAGCAGTCACCCCCCTGGACGTGCACCATTTTGAGTATTTCCAGGGGTGGACTGCTTCTGTAACTTACGGTACTTGCCGAGTGGCGAATAGCGCTTATGCAAAAAAAAAAACAATGGAGATGGACTTCTGTGTAGTATTCTGTGGCCGCAGCTTCAAGCCTCAGTGAGAACTTTCTCAATGCGACTCAAACCCAGTCCTCGTGTGAAAAGAGTAAAAGTCAACACTCTGCCGAAAGTTGTGGGTTTTCTCTGAGTACTCCGGTTTCCTCCCACAGGGAAAGTTGACAGGGTGGGTTAGGTAAAAAGGGCCCACAGTAATTGGCACATGCTGTTGTGGTGACCCTGCCCTAGTTGACAAAGCTAAATAAATAAATTATTCGACCTTTATGACCACATGAAAAATACCAACCTTGTACTCAGTGTATTTTCATTTGTTTTTAGAAATGTGGTATCTGATATTTGTGTATGATCTGGCCACATCCGTCTTCATTCATTGTATTGTGGCACTTCTCTCGTTCTGTTCATTGAGGAAACATAAATACAGCAGATTTTTTCCAATACTTGTTATAATTGTTGGCTTCTTGTTTCCTGTGACTGGGGGCATTATTACAAGTAGGTGTTTTAGACATGTTAATTTGCTTAGGAGTTTTATACAGTGAGTAATGTGGCAGGTTCATGTGAGCTATTTTGAGTAGACATATTTTGCTCTGGGGTGCTGGAAATTCAATGGAGAGATGAGCAAGGGAGCATATAGTACCACCTAGGTTGGGGGGTACAGTCCCTAGTGGGTAAGGGGGAAAAGCCCTTAGGATTTTTGGTCTTATTTAGTTCAAAATCCTTATTTCAATCATACTACTGTCATTAAATTTCTCTAGGTAGGGTGGGAAAACTTTCTGAGGAGGTGTAAAATATTGGGGGGGGGGGGACCTATATTTTGAATTACACTTTGGCAACTGTTAAATTGTTTATTACTACAACTTCACATCATTTTCTAGGCGCTTTAATATCACTTGTGTATCAAAGTGCTCGACTGACCATGCCAAATTATGTTGCATTTCTCTGGGGTGGTGGACAGGCGTTTGCACTATTTCTCGTCTCATATACAAGAATACTGGCAACGTTATAGCACTGTGGACAGCTGAGGTACATTTGTAAATAGTAGTAGAAATTAAAGATGCTTTCAAGCTGATGGTTGGTTTTAGGTATTTATATGGCTAGGTTGCACTTCTGTGTGATCTCTATACACACTTTCGATAATTATGCCACAAGTACTTTTTGGTCTTGGAGCCTCGCTCTCATTAGTAAATTATACAAGGTGATTGGCTCACGATTCATGAGAGCGAGGCTCCCAGGTCAAATGACATAATTATCGGAAGGGTGTATTCTGTGATGAAGTCTTTGGATTGATAATGTTTTGATTAAGTTCGAGGATAGCTGATAGTTCTAGGAAGCTGTTTTTATTAGACGAAATTCTAAGATTAGTATTAGAGAAGCATTGTAGAGGCTATAGCAGTATTGAATTTGTTTCATGATGTAAATGTTTAGACAGCAAATAATGATTTGACATTCAACAAACTCACAGGATAAAATGTCGATAAATTATTATTATAAACAGGATTATTATTAATATATAAACAGGATTTCCACAGGAAAAGACAGATTTATGCATGGATTGTTGTTTATATAATATTTATACAATGTGAAAGAAAAAGACTGTAAATGAAAATCACAAACTAATAAAAGATAATTAAGCTAAATATATTTCGTAATTTTTGCCTTTTTGGTAGGCTAAAATTTTACAGCACTTCCTGTTTGCAAGTTTACAAATCATTGCTAAGTTTCGGCTTCGGAAACTGATGGCTATAACCAGTGGCCAACTGAAATACTCTGATAAAAGTTATTTAAACACCAAAAAATGCTAGAATATTGAGGGTTTTGTGTAGTTTGGGTATATTGGAATATCACAACCAGCCTATTCATCTATAAACGCTTGCTTCCAACACTAGTTTCAATTAAACGGTTTTGGATGAGTTAAAGTAAACGCCAAGGAAGTAAAATCGATCCCCACTAAATACGAAATCGCGCACAATTCACGACCTTTTGCTCTTGTTGTCTAGTCTGGTTTCAAATATCAAATATTTTGATCATCAAAGTCTTTGTGATCACATCATCACAGTACTACTCTAATTTTGCATCGCCATCGGTAAAAGTTTTGAAGGATTTGTATGAAATATGTGAGGAAACTGACTTAATATTAGTAATACGGAATCAGTTCCGTCGAACATTTCCTACAAATCCTTCAAAACTTAGATTTAGAATTTACCCATACAAAATTCCTACTGTGATCACAGAAACTTTGATAGTGTCAACTATAGCGTTAAGCCTGGGTATAGTTTTGATCAAGTCCTAGTACTGGGTAAAATTCTAAAGTTTTCGTCCAAATTCTAGGACTGAAAAAAGTTTTGATCAAGTCCTAGCTTTGGCATGATATCAATTAAGTTCTAGAATCTAATTTTTTATGAAATTCTAGAAGTGATATGAGTGATATCATTAGTGAGGGATAACAAAAGGCGTTCCACATTCCGCATTCCAACAAAGGTCTTCCGGGAATGCTAAAAATAGTCCAATTCACACCCACAAGCAATAGGTATCACCTTGCGACAAAACACAGGTGGCTTTTGTACATTCCTAAAACGTTCGACAGAAGATTTTCAAACCGCAGTGAAACTTTTTTTGTTCATTCCTACAACGGAATATTTTTCGGTTTTATACCAGGAACATCAAACAATTTGCTGTCTGTATTTAGTTTATTCATACAGATACTACTATAATGAACTACTCACATGATACACGTAATTTATACAGACGATTTTCAGTTTTAATGAAATTCTGGAAAAGGAAGATTTGCAGCGGGACAACAAAGTTTCGAGTCAAATGTGAACCTGCCTTTATATTATTACTTATATTATTACTTAAGTGTGAACCTGCCTTTATATTATTACTGCAAGTTATCAAACTCGACTTCAACTTCCGAGAAAAGGGCTTCTGCGTAGCCCTGACTACAAAATTGAATCGACTGTTTTTTTTTGTGTGGTTGCCGTATTCCCCAGCCAAAACAGTCGTGCTGGATAGCTAGCCAATCAAATTTAGCGTATTTTCGTGGCAATGACGCGCCAGCTTACAACTGCACATCTCTGTGAACCGTCGTCTGAACCAATCAGAAAGCAGTTATGCTACACAGCTAGCCAATCATGTACGGTATATTTTCGCGCCAATGACTCAGTCAAGCACTGACCACCTGTCAGACAAAATGGCGCTCGGTACACGGCGTGCAATCAACCACAGCTCTAGGTGGGCGCCAAGCTTTTTAAAACAATTATATGGCGGGAAAATATAAAATGTCGACTTCTTGTGTTGAGAGGTATTTTGGACCAAAACATTTACACTTCTTCCCGTAGTTTTATTTAGTTTGACTTATTAAAAAAGTATTTTTGTTTGGCAAAGAACTGATAGGATGGCGTCTGTTGACAGATAACGCTCGTGGCTCCTTGGTGGGACGTCACGCAAATTTAATTAATTTGGTTCAACTTTAATTTCTATATCTCCTAGTCGGCTTAGCCAGCAACCAAAGTTATCAAAGTACAAAATGAGGAACAGCAAAACAAAGAAATGTTCCTGAAATGCATTGAAATATTCCTGAGCATAAATGCACACGGAAAAAGAAAGATAATCCAGTGAAAATGTCAGTTTGAGAATTCAGTCAAACTATAAATTAAGCAGAGACCTTTGAATTTGTTCCAAACTTTAACCAGCTTAGAATTTATATAATCTTGGTTGGTTACACAAAGAATTCACACCATAAATTAAGCAGAGACCTTTGAATTTATTCCAAACATAGAATTTATATAATCTAATTAATCTTGGTTGGTTGGTTGGTTGCACAAAGAATTCACACCATAAATTAAGCAGAGACCTTTGGATTTATTCCAAACATAGAATTTATGTAATCTTGGTTGGTTACACAAAGCCAAATGTTTACAGAGCAGTAAATCATGCTTAACTTCAAGTGGTCAGACACAATTTAGGAAGACGAAAATTCTGTCTTTCAATTCTATTCACTGGCCAGAAAATTCTACTGTATATATACAAAACAAATGCTCAGATAACTGCAGTTTGACTATGCCATCCTATCAACACAATTTCAATTTTTGTACAAAGATAATTGTTAATAACAATGTAATAATAATTATCGATCGTTTGTGACTCTAGAAACGTCCAACCAAAATTACAGCCATCGCTTCCCTTAGGTACTGCACCCGGGCCTGCACCCATTTCCTTTTTGCGTGAATGCATTGAACTGAGACTCATGGCTAGTCCTGGCTTAAATTTGGAAGTGGCTGGAACCTTTGCGGATGTATTTGGTAAAATTGATGGCGGATTGCGTATATGCAAATCATTGCCCGTGAAATCACTCATGCAAATACCGACTTCTCTTCTGTTTGTTTTTAAAACCTCGAATCGCGATGTCTCGCATCCTGAAGTTATTTTGTCTAACAGAAGTACAAATTTCAAAGTCCATGAATAACCTGACACGCAAATTGATTTAATTTCAACAAAAAAAGTTCGATTGTTTTATTAATTAGAAAATAAATCCAGCAAGAGATAGTAACGTCAGCGGTTTTTTCGGCAATAATAGAAGTTAGAAAAATATATATATCGTAGACAATATTGGACAGTGTCGGAGATGTCTTTTTGTCAACAACCGGTTTATGCAGCTTGCTAACAGGTGGGAAAATGAAGTTATTCACCGCAGCTTTAAAATTTAGCTACATTAAATATAAGCCGAAATTGAAACACATATATTAATTAGAATGATTCGATGTTGCGGGTAAGCATTCTAATTTCTTTTAATTGCAACATATAAAGAGGTTGGTAACATATAGGACTCAGCATATTCTGATATCCGTCAAATTTGTTAACCAAATTTAACCAAATTTGACCATAATTTGCTTACAAATACTTGAGGTATATGTCATATGATATTAACGCGTGTTGTTTTAAAACTGTCATCCGTTCCATGTACAAGTCGCTGTACAGTTTGATTGTGAACTGTGGTATAATAGCAGCGTCACGGCGGCCACTGATATCGGAGTTGAATTTGTATGAAGCGTAGGCCGTCCTCGGAAACTGGATAAGAATTCGTGTACGTCACGACCACCGTCTCCTCTAATTTATTCATCCGATGATTTTATTGTCATTGTATTAACCAAACTCTTTGTATAACGCGTCATCGAACATAGCTCTCACAAGTCATTGGCTTTCTATTGTGTATATTTCGAGTTAAAGCCGTCTCGAGTTTTAATTTTGTGAATTGGGTTATATATACGTCGAAAGGCGGCACACCCGAAGGGGCGGAGAAAAGTTGAGAAAAACAGTCGAACGTAAGTGTTATATACAGGTTAGAATTAAACCACATGCCTTAGATTTCATTTCCATCGTATATGGTGAGGTAACATGATATGCCATTAGGCAGTTTTAATAACGCTAACGACTTCTTGTGTGCATCGCGATGCTGTTATTGTTTTGGTGACAAGTATTTCATATTAATTTCCTTTAAGGTTCGTATCTAAAGCTGTTGGGCCAAGCTTAAGAAACTGTTACTGAATTTCTCTGCGATTCTACCCGCTATCATTGGAATTTACTTGTCTAGAAAGAGTGTATAAATATGGAACGCCAGTCATAGGTTGTCGAATTCTCGTCTGGGAATTTACGTTGAAAAGTAAGGATCGATATTTGGCCTAAAGAAACGTGACGATATCCCGGACTAAAGTACAATCATGAGTTCGGTAAGTCCTAGCAATATTTCCGTAAAGCATAGCTGTCATTTATCATAGCCCAGCCTTTCCGTTTTGCGTTTATGGATTATGGTTGAAATGTGAGGCATGCTTCGTCAGGTTATATGCCTGTTACACTGCGGTGTTATATCATTTATCACATGAACTTCAGTAATATCGTTCCTGGGAAGTATTGTTTGTATATACAGCAAGAAATATGCAATATTATGCGGTATGTTTTGTGTTATTAAACGTTTTAAATAATCTGTTAATTTTAACATAATATCAACTAGCAGTATATGAAAATTTTAAAGCGACAATTAGAACATTAGCTTATCATAATCCTGCTTTAATTGCTACCTTTATAAAAATTTACTGCATGATATAGGCAATGGAAATCACTAAAACTTGACGTATACACTCGCAAAATAACCAAACATTAAATCAATAGCGCTGACAACATATTTTTCAACAGCGATTTACTAATAACGTTTTTACAAATTGACGAATGGAATGTTTTGAAATAGCAAGCAGCAATTAAACTTTAATAAACATTCGTAAAGTGTTGTGTAACTGTCGATAGCTATGTTGAGGCCTTGGGTTGAAAATATATTGATATCTGTGTCCTTTATAAACTTTCTTTGTCCAAAATGAGAGATCACCGGATGAGTGAGATGATCAGATGACTGATAAATGTTGTCAGTTTGTCCATTTTTTGTAGAACTTACATTAGCAATTAGAAAGCTTTTTTCTGTATGAAGTGACGTAAATTTAGCTAAATACTATGCCGTTTGATATTCAAAACATGCCAGTGAATTAACTATTCAAGTGTGAACTCTGAAGTCTTTTAGAATATTGAACTTGAATAATGCAAACAATATATTGGCAGCTTATTTCCCTATGCTTGCGTGAGTAAATGCTTGTTTCAAAAGTGCTTGAAATTTTAAATGAATAAAGTGTAGAATGTATATGGCAAGCTTGTGCCAAGTTTGAATAATTTGTTGTCACATACGTTAAAAGCAACGATTTTGACTTTTCTAATTGTATTTTACATTAGTAATATATATGTTATTTGCAATATTCATTGAACATTGAATATGTGTATTAAACAAATTTTGAATAAATATCAAATTGATACTTCATCTAATTTTACTGTATTAATTAAAGAATAAATGCTTCTAATGAGTAATGAGAACTATGGTTTTCTTACGGTAATAAATCAGACCACAGGCTTACAATAATGAATTATTTTAATACAATGTGTCAAACTAAATTGTCTGATTTATTAACATAGTAAATATGTATTGTAAGGACTTCGAGAAAATTCCCGCAGTACAAGACATGAAGACATGAGGATGATTAATTATTTGGTATTTGAAAGAATTTGTATTTATGTTTTAAGGCGTTGAACTATATATTGTCATTAAGCATTCACCATTGTACTTATTGTATATGTATACATAGATCTACATACACTAGTCACTATCTTTCAATTCATATGTAAAACGTGGCGGCGAGATACATTGAGCCATACGTCTGCACTTAAGATACTCACGCCACGACGTATGCCAGCACTTAAATATATTCGCGCTTATTTCCTGACATCCACATCGAACGCAGTGGCCAAATGCACGTTCTGTTACTATTGGATCTATAATCGATCAGCTTTTTCTAATAATAGTCACTTTGAAATCGAAATTCCTAATACATAGTATCAACGACAAACAGCATGTTCTGACAAACCAATTGCGATTCAGCGTTCGCAGAAAGTGGCGCGCTGATAAAATCTAAGAGATTAGCTGGGAAGCTTGGGTCCTTGTAGGCTTAAGGTGGCGTGTATCTGATATTTCATATATTCCGCAACATGTGGTATAAACGATCTTTGACATCTATTTCATTCTGTAATTTCATATATGTCCAGTGGTCTACCATATAAATTATTACAGCCCTAGAAGTCTGCAAAGAAAATGATCTAATACTAATAGTTACATATTTAAGACGTTCTAAATTCAATTAGAACAAAGTTCGTGTTTATTCCCTTATCGAAGTTGATACATTGAGCAAAAATTCGAATGGAATTTTAACGACTTGAAATTAAAGTATTATTACTTTTAAAGCCACAACTGAAAGTGCCCTCCAACCTGGAAACATGTATAATGAAAATAAAGACTTAAAAATCCAAACATAATTTAGCTGTATGGTGCAGTTTTATTCATTATTTTTGTCTGGTGGTAACAATACACTCGGGCAGGGGTTCAACTTATTTTTACCCTATTCATGTTTTCAGATTTTTACGATGTAAAAATTTAAAACATTTCAAATGATATAAAAAGACATTTCTTTAGGAGTTCACTACACGGATGTTTCGGAATTTTAAAAATGCCCCGAAATATTTTGTGTTAAATAGAAAATAAATTGTCCTGTCTGTTTGTCTGGCCTATAATCGCTGTATCAACAATGGTTAAGGTCGTGGCCATTGTCGGTTGTATTCGACGAATTTCAATACCTGACAAGTTTAATTAGTAACTATAAACTCCTTAATCTTTTACAAAACAACTGATAAAAATAGCTGTTCACTAAAGACAAAGCCACTTGAAGTTATCATTTTAAAAAAGAAAGCAGTTTGATGAATCTTATCGTTTCCATTTTAACCCATCGTGATATGACTACAGGGTATTATGCAGTTTGTTGTTATGCATAAAATTTTAAATATCCTGAAATAGGAACAAACAAGAAGGGTCGTTTTGTTTTTTCCTTTGTGTGCTTGACTTGGCAAACTTTTCTAAGCACACGGGAAGTGTTGTAATTAACAGTTTGCAAAGATTAAAGTGCAAACCTCCGCCTGGAATTTTAATATTTTTTCTCGTGATTAATCCCATAGCGATTTGGTAAATTCTGGTTATATAGCATATGTTGTATCCCAGTATTGTATAGGCAGTAGCCTGGTTTACGACATGAAAGTTTCTGTGATCACAGTAGGAATTTTGCGTAGGTAAATTCTAAGTTTTGAAGGTTTGTAAGAAATGTTTGAGGAAACTGGCTCTTACAAATCCTTCAAAACTTACAATTTACCTACGCAAAATTCCTACCATGATCACAAAAACGTTTTTAGTGTAAACCTAGCAGGCTAGTGTAAAATAGGATAGAATTAGGTTATTTACGTAATGTGACATATGTGATGACATCCAGGTGATCTCGTGTTCGTATTTTAGCCAATCAGCGCTCAGAAAGGGTTGTCCGAATAGAAATCCATTTTGATGTATTCAGTCAATTATATCTTTCGTTATTCTTTATGAAACTAGTTGAAATTTTGTAATTATGTTTAGTTATGAGAACTGTAGCTCTGACAAAAATATGGAATCGAAATAAAGTATATTACAGGAGATATTCAGTTGTTTTAATCATAAAATGGATTTCTATTTGACAACTAGTGCCAGTACTTTTCCGCGTATCAAGATCATCTGGATTTAGAAAGATCACTGTTGGTGTTGAGGCTTGAAGTCACGTGATAACCACACGACTAAAGCTAATTATTATTATTAATTTTCCACTAGGGGAATTTGTTCGCGCAAAAAAGTAGGAACTGATCCAACTTTTTCGCGGCGAATATTTTCGCTGACCGGCAATTACATTGCCAAGATTTGTTGGTGGAAAATGTGCTTTAAAGTCTAAACTAATTTTATTTATACCATTAATATGTCATGTAAGACCAATGACCATCCCTTATTGGTTTATCAGCAAAAGTGGAAGAAACCCAAACTAAACTAAGTTTATTTGTACTGGATATTATCTCTATCTGTTTTGAACTGTTCTACCTTGAAAATAGGGCAATGTTTACTCATCCACTGTTAATTTGGCAATCGAACTTTCAACCGATCCCGAATCCACCGATCCGCGAGTCCTCGTCCGCATTTTTACTTGGTCCAACGACCTTGGTCTATTGTGATCCACCCACTGACCCATCCCTTAAGGCTAAGCAGGACTAAAATTTACTCTCTCGGATTAACCCCCTGGATTAACCATCTCGACGCGTCATGTATGAAGGATGCCCCTATATTTGATGTTTCGTGTATTGACTGATCTCTCAATATCGACAAATTTGGCGAATGTTTATTTATACCCAACAGGCACTTCCAGTTTTTAATTTATGTGCGCAGGGGGTGATGGGAAGTAAGGTATCACATTGCTGAAAATTTTCAATACAAACTGCCAAAACAACCGAAATATTTCAATATTTACAACTACAAGTAGCTATCACTCAGAGGTTACACGGCCACCATTTTTATTTTTTCAGCATAATCAGCAATATGATACCTTACTTCCTATCGCCCCCTGCACACATAAACTAAAAGCTGGAAATGGATAATTCACAAGTTTAGATAACTCACATGCCTAGTTACTATTGTTCTAGTTTATAGAAGAGTAGAATAGAACAAAGGTAACTAAGCTTTAGAATGATCTACATGAGGGAATAACTCTTGTACATAACTCTAATGCTTATAGTTACTTTTGTTCTATTCTGTGCTTCAGGCTAAACTAGAACAATAGTACCTTGGCATGTGAGTTATATAAACTTGTGAATTGGGTAACAAAGATGTAAACAACATTCGCCAAATTTCTCAATATTGGTTTCGTTATACCAAAAGGAAAAGACAAATTATTTGTTAATGTCGCGCGCCAAATGTTAATTGTTGAAATGTGCAAAATGCGCGCTAACTGCGCGCCGCAATTTCCTCATCACTCCCACGTCACCCACGTAATGCTGATTCAATTTTTTAGTTATTTGTCAACATAGGAATAATAGGAAACATAGAAATACAAAACATATGTAATTATTCTAGAATGTGGAAATCGTTCCTTTGCCTGTTAAACACTTGAAATAACAATACTGCGTGTCATAATCCAGAGATCAGTTTCATTGTCCTTTGGTTTCAACATTCCACTGTTCTTCATGCCATCCAGTCGTGTTCCAGTGATCAGAATGTTTCGTTGTCTTTTCACTGCTTTGAAAATCTCACTGTTCTCCATGCCATGCAGTCGGGATCCAGTGATCAGAATGTTCCATTGTCTTTTCACTGTTTTGAAAATCTCACTGTTCTCCATGCCATGCAGTCACGTTCCAGTGATCAGAATGTTCCATTGTCTTTTCATTGTTTTGAAAACCTCCATCAGTTGTATTGTTTATCCTGATTTAAATAGTAATACTTGATTGAAAAACTTTCAAGACTCAAGTGCAGTGAACTTCGCTAATACGAACACCCATGCAGGGACACAGCAATGTGCTCTTGCCAGAGTGGTGTCCCTTTTATAGAGGTTTCTTAAAGCAAAATTTTCGGAGAATTTGTTTTAATTCCGGGGACATTGGAAACATATATAGAGGTGTCTCTAAGGAGAGGCTCGACTGTCCTACATTTCATTGAGTTTTCCGCATTCATGAACTAAATGCGCTTAACAAACTGTCGAAACTTCGTGCAATAGGTCACGTCTTTCACCTCCGCTTTGGATCAACCACGTCTTTCACCTCCGCTTTGGATCAACCACGTCTTTCACCTCCGCTTTGGATCAACCAACGTGCTCTGCCCGAAAGTCGTGGGTATTCCATCCGGGTTGGTTCCTCCCACAGAAAAAGTTAACAAGTTGTGGTAACCATTCAGAGCTTCGCGCAATCGTTAGAACGATCAACTAATTCTGCTCGTGTCGAAAGGTTTTCTCCAGGTACTTTCGTTTCCTCCCACAAAGACGGTTTAGGTTAGTTTCTCGAGTTTCTCGCTCATTGGTGAGCGGATTTCACAACAGGCTATTGCCCAAATTGATAGGGGATCCGAGAACGATTTAATGTCCTTATCCGAGAAGATGCAAAAGTCTAACCATTTATTGATGTCAATGTAAAGGTAGCTCTTTCTCCTCAATTATTTTAAGACCTTGAGAGTAGAGGTCCGACCTAGGATTGAAGCCGCCGGGTCTCCCATGCAGCTTAAGAGTCGAGCGCGTGGTTACCACGACACCACAACTCACAAGTGCTCATTTGAGGGGGTGATAAAAAAGATATCGCAGCAATTAGAGCGAGACTTGGTGTAACGTCATGTTTTTATTTACAACGTCTACAACGTGACCATGACCTCTTCTTAAACCGGCTATGTCTCTTTCTATTCACACGGCACTTACGAGTTCGAAATTAATCTCTCGTAGCGACACAAACATTTAGCATCTTATTATGATAATATGGGAAATCCAATTTTAGTATATTCTTGAGCTAAACTGGATTGATTTGGTGAACGGTTTCGATAGGGATTTATCATCTGAACACACGAGAAAAACAAACTGTAAACGAATTGAAAAGATGAGCTTAAGATTTAAGAACTATAGCAAAATTATTATAAAATCACAACTGATGGTTTCTGACTAAAGCGCAGGTCAAACGAGGACGATTAATGAGAGTTGGCAGTTACGAATTGTTCCTGGGACATTTTTAGCTCTGGATTAACAAAATAAAAGTTCGATGAGTGTTCCAACTATGTTTCAACTTCAATAAAATACATGATGGAAAGCATTAAGATTTAAGAACAGCCAACCAAGGTCGCGTGATTTCCAACTTTTATATACTCTCATCCTCGTCTCATCCAAGCTTATGACTCTCTAATCGTTCAATGGGGACCCTCACTTGAAAGAGCCGCATAATCTGCCCAACCATGATATCTCGTCATATGTAACTTGGCAGTGAACCATATTACTATTAGCAAACCCTCAACTCTTTAATCGTTCAATAGAAAATCACTTCGATCAAGTTCACATAATCTTCTGGGAGACATTTAATCCACTTTACTTAGAGTTCCAGCCAGGCGATCCTGTTTGTTTTCACACGAGAAATAGTTAGACTTTGAAGACACTTCAGACTAACCAATATACTGGACACGAGCTTAAAATAGTGCTGACTCAAGTCCAGAGTGCAAAGAATTTTTTTATGCCTTGTACTTTTCAGAACAGCTATAAAAACTAGTCTTGAACTTTTTGGGATGTTCAATTCATGTCGATACGTGGTTTTAAGTTGGTCAGTATCTCAATGAAAGTTCGAGCTTCGCGTATCTGCAGATATTGCCTGTGGATGTAGTTGTACTTTTCACTGCTATCATTGCACTTATTTTGAATAAGATCAGGTAATCAAATACTGGTTTTATTGTCTGTCATTGCTCTTTCCGAAGGCTCAAGAAGATCTACCAATTTTGAAAGAAGGGCCTCTCTTTGATGTATGGGCGTTGATATTGCACTCCTTCGAAACTTCCAAATAAAAACTCCTTTGAAAGGCAGACGTGGAGCGAATCTATCTCTTGAAGACTAGTACACTAGCACGTCAGCAAGTGCTCTTGCGTGAAGTTCTTGCATTTGTCAAAGAAAGGCTTCTGTTGGCGAGATTTGTCCATAGAACCTTAAAGGGCAATTTTGGGTTTCACATTGAAATTATGGAGGAAATACGGATTTTTATTTATATCTTTGCTTACAACCATATACAGTACCAGTAGATAAAAGAACTGAGATTCTTAGAGTTGACTCCTCGAAATGCTAATGACCGTGCAGTCACAACTTCTTTGTGATGTAACATTTCTTACAGGAAATTTTTACTTACTGTTCTTCGTTAAAAACAGATTTAAGTTATTGTACAAAAAAAGCATATGTTGTGTGAATGACGTATTAACTCAAGTTATCAACGCTTATTTCTGCAAAGAAAACAACATAATGTGGGAGGATTGAGCCTTTGGCTAAGTACCAGCTTATTTGGCGAGAAAAACTCAGGAAATCACTTTAATATATGAGCTCGTTCCAAGTGTTTGTCAGTCAAGTAGCTTGTTGTGTCGCGCAAACATCTCGTGAAGGACGAAAATTGTATAAGATGCATGATATTCAGATTGGCTGCGTGGTAAGACTCATATTGTTATTTTGTTTAGTTAATTTGTTTGGTGTTGTTTGTGGTTGAGTGGTGATTATATACATAACCGTATTTAGTAATATATGAGAAGATTTATTAACTAAAAGACGCCGTACTGTCAACTTTAATTAAGTTGTGGCAAAAAGGCCGATGTCTACAGTGTTTTTGAATACATTCCAAGTAAATGAGTAGAAACTAGATATAAGGAATTGATATGAACTGATGTATGGTATCTTGTAACTGATATGCTTTCTAATTTTATGTTGGATGTTATCATGTGTTCTAATCTGGAATTTGTTTCTATATTTGTTTCGATTTATATTGATATGTTGGCATAGGCGACTGCATCGCCCCTGTTGCTGTAATTTCAATCCGAAATACCATAATTATGCTAGTAACCGACGCTTCAATATACAAACCTGTCTCTTAGATGTTGGCTGTTCACCAGTCTACCAAATTTAGAGTATTTTTGCGGCATCACACTTTCGTTGTGTGGGAACTTTTCGAATTGGAACATCGGTCTCGTTCTAATCGTCAACTAATTACTCAAATTATACTCTAATTGGTTGATCGAGATTAAATAATTGCGGATTTTAGCGCGCATTTTTGACACAATGAGAAATAAGCTATGTAGAGAATCGTTTTAAATACTATTGACTTAACATGTTACTTGCATGTGTTACACTATTCATATAGATTGATTTAAGAATGGTTTTCACTTATTAACCTTATCATGCATATAACAGATGGTTGGCAACTTGTCGGACTAAGAATTAAAGTAGTGATAATGTTGACGAGTTCATCATCATATGTATAGTTGTCGGGTCTGAGTTTGTGGTGAATAAATAGAATTAATAGATCTCTAGTGTAATTTCTTGCTTCTGTATAAGTGTCGACATTTCAAGTTCATCACGATTCCCGAAACACACCGATAACAGAAATTGAACAGTTGGGGCAAAATAACATTTCGTTTTGTACAAACAGGATGTTTTTCTAGAAACCCGGAAAATTTTCAAAAGATTACAGTATAAAGGAAGTACTGACACCAAGTATCTCTTTTCGTTGTCCTAAACGAACAACTGTATCTGTATTACATCGACAGCGGGGCTTTTAATAAATCTGTTTTACTGTATATTTGATATCCTTCCAAAAGTTATCTAATACATATGCCATGTGTTTCCTTGCATAATCTTGTTATATCAGGAATAATATTGGACCACCGTGGCGAGTTAAGGTTTAGGTACTCGTGCTCTTCACTTGAAGTGTTTAGCACGAAACAGGATGCCTGCTTGTCTAGAGATTATATCATGTTTTGTGAATTGTATATTCGCTGTATTGCTTCAAGTTAAAAAGGCAGGGTCTTCGAGCCTTTTTGTCTAGCTAATTTTAAGACAGATCAGTTCACGTCGGTATTTTTGCTCAGAGTGTTCTAAAGAACATCCTTTATACATATTTACTGCATCTATAATGTCTCCTATATACAGTAAGCACTTCTATATGTTTTATATATGAACAGTATTCTAGACAACACGGCTTGATCAAATAGTTTGAAAGAAGTTCATGAGATTTGTACATTTGTAGTGAAACTTTGCTAGTGTAAACCAGTCGTTAATAATGTTTGGTTTACCGTGTCACGTTTTCAGTACGTGTGTCCCCTTCTACATGGTAATTCACTGCTACGCCTATGATATCGTAGCCTGCCTTTCTCTCGTATCCGTTATTAGAAAGGTTCACATTTGACATCCACTACCGCTACGTTGAGGGATCATCAACCAATCAGATGCGTTTGATATGCCCGATCAACCAATCAGATGCGTTTGATATACCCGATCAACCAATCAGATGCGTTTAATATACCCGATCAACCAATCAGATGCGTCCTAAGCCAGTGAGAGGTAGTGGAAGTCAAGTATGAACCTCCACACCCGCTAACAATATCATGTGGTTTATTAAATTCGCTTTCATCCAAGCGCAATGCGCGACAGCTTATTTTAAGGTCGATTTACACTACACAACTTTTGCCTAAAACTTTCGCATACATCCTGCTTACAACTTAAATTGTACTGTGTCAATCAAGTATACACTACGCCTGCGTTGTCGTAGGTGAGTTGTGTGCTTGATTACACACTACAACTCAAGTTGTAAGTAGGTTGCATGCGACAGTTTTAGGCCAAAGTTGTGTGTAGTGTAAGTCGGTCTTAATTAGATGCAAGGTGCCAAGGACTCGCAGGATGCTTGCGAGTTGGTTCTTACGATGAGTGGAACAGATCCTTAAGTGAACTCAACGGTTATCTCTATTTTTAGGTCGTGCTTGCCAAAGCTTTATATAACAATGACTCAGAAGCAGACGACGAATTGTCGTTCAAGAAAGGTGACGTCATCACGGTAATTGAGACGGATTTCGAAGGAATGGAAGGCTGGTGGTTGTGCTCTCTTGGTGAGAAACAGGGCGTGGCTCCCGGGAACAGATTACAGTTGATATCATTTGACAACAATGACACACGTGACACGCAGGATGTTTACGATACCCCAGGACAAGCTTATAAAGAAAGATACGGTGACGTGGACTATGATGTTCCCAAACCCTACCCTGCGCCAGAATTCGACGATTACGCAATACCAAAATCACCCTACAGCAACTATGCCGTCCCAGACTCCCAACGCTACGGGTTTGTCTTACCCAGTCCTTCCCCTATTTCAGCCGAGCGAAATAGCAATTCTTCAGACGGACTGGTAACTAACGAGATTTACGCAGCTCCGTCGTCGCACTATAGCTCGGAGAGATCTAGTGACGAGTTTCGATTCTCCGGTGAAATGTCTCATGGCAGTGGGTCAGAAGAAATATATGACGTACCATCACGAAACTCCATTGAGTCTGATGATGGTCAACGAAATATGCTTCTTCCGGTTATCCCACCTAAAGCCAGAGATGTCGTCAGCAATGGTTACCATAGTAACAGTATGAGTCGTCAAGAATCCCAAGAGATTTACGATTCTCCAGCGGGCTCGAGGAGTTCAAATCATTCCGACGTGCACGACCAGTTGCCTAGCAACGAAATCTACGACCAGTTGCCTAGCAATGATGTTCAACAGTTAGACCAACTAATGTGCACAATCTCGAGTGATGGTGAAGACTATGCCACAATCCCAAGCCCATCCATTGACGGTCCTCAGGATATTTACGATGTCCCTCCGACAGCTCCCCAGGAACTCTACGACACACTTCCGGCCGGTCCCGAAGAAGTGTACGATGTCCCTCCGAGCGGTCCCGAAGCATTTTACGACGAACTGCCAGCGGATAAAGCAGACTCGCTTTACAAGCGGAACAGGTTAGCTGATGGTAATAACAACCCCCCGGTTTTACCTAAGAATATTGATAATGCTGTTTATGAAGAGATTCCGGGGGGCCCTGAGGAGTTGTATGATAATTTTGCCGAGAAAAATACGAAGCCAAGCACAGGGAGCCTAAACAGAAAGAAACGACACGACAGTGATGATTATGTTGATTATCAAGAAATTTATGGCTTAGGCGAGGAGGAAGAAGCTAAAAAGGTTTGTAGATACTTTCAATATTGTCTCGAGTGCTTTAGAATGTGATCAGCAGAAGGTGTTCAATTGCAGAAATGTTGACATTTATAAGAAGAAAAACTGAATTGCATCTCTTAATTGGCCACAAAGACTAATACATACTAATGAAGAAGGCATATGTGGCAATGAGACACGGGGAACAAAGCCAAAAATATATTAGAGGAAACAAAGGAACTTGGGAAATAAGGGAACACGGTGAAATCTTTGTGGGGAAAAATTTCCAAGAGAACACAGAAATACAGCCTCCCCCCCCTCCCAGGAGACCCTCGTAACTGCCTGTTGGCCATCACATGTAGTGCATGACAGTATTTAGTATATCTATGGCTAGATTGTTGAAATTTTTAATTGAATGATTGAATTGACGTTTTTTTACTTTCGTACTCAGTTAATTAATAAAACATTTTCCGAAAACTAATAGTTGATTCAAGGAACTTATTCCACTTCTTTGCATTGTTTCTAGAATGACGGCTGTGAAAAGACGGAACAGTCGGTTCTGGAAAGGATACATATGGATAAAGTTCGTGAACTACGCGTCAGCCATCTTGTTGCGATGCACAACCTTGACAAACTGCAACAAGCCGTTGACGTAGCTGTCACGAAACTCATGAGCTTTGTCACCGACGATTGGCGACGATCCGAAGTCTACGCTTTAAACATCAACGGAATTCGTGAAATTTCTGAAAAAGTGAAAGTAGCTCTTCGCCTTTTGACGGAGTTCGGTCTTGGCGCGTTAAAGAATTCTCAGAAATCACAACACGGGGAAATTTCTGGAAAAATCGAAGAAGCATTAAAGCCGTTATTGGAATCGTATTATTCGATCAAGACTGCTATTCAGCGATTGGACGAGAGCAACTGGAGATCAGCCTATCAGGAGAAGCCAGATGATGATTTGAATACAATAGCTAAACTTGCCCAGTGTATACCATGTGGAGCGTATAACCTCGGGGCGGTTATTGCCAATGTTGCGCATGTATTATTCAATGGACAAGACAGCACAGCCGAGACAACTAAAACATCGGGCAACACCAAGAATTCGCTAAATCCGTCAACCGCGCAAAATCCTACAACAAAGAGTCCTGAGGCGAAACGCACGTCCCAAGATTCAACGAGTCCCTCACCTGTGACCGCTCAAATTGAAAGCACCAAAGAGCCTGAGGCGAGCCAATCTTCGCAAGATACAATTAACCCTACACCTGTAACCGCGCAAGTTGAAAGCATCAGAAAGCCTGTGGCGAGTAAATTGGAATCAGAACCAGTGAATCCTAAAATCTTACTCCGCCAAGCATCATCCAAAACTCCGCCAGCCGTGCAACCGAAACCGAAGAGAGAACGAAAGCGTTCCGATAGCGCTCCAAACGCGTCTATGCCTTCCGAAAACCAGAACACTCAATTACTGTCCGACCAAGTTACAGAACTGACAAATAATTTATTAAATCAAATCGATACCATTAAAACACCTCCACAAAGCCTTTGTAGGAAAGGAAGTAAAAAATTGAGCCCCAGAACTGTACGGAAACTTTGTTCCATAACGCTCAAAGACGACGATAGAATTAACGAAAAAATGTTTGAAGATGTCTCGGCTATCCCACCCAAACCCTCACGACAGTGTAGCTCTCCCGGTACCCCCACCAACCTCGCTTTCCCTAATCGATCCTCGCTGACCGGAGCGTTATCGGATCCCGGCGCTTTGCATTCGGATATTTTAGGTCAGAACAATTTTCAAAGTATGAAATCGTTTGTAGAAAAGATGAACAGCGAATTTATTGTTCTGAAAGAAGCGATTAAAAGTTTTGGAGAAAGTGTAAGGGAACGGCAGAAACCGAAGCATTTTGTAGCACACAGCAAGTTTATCGTTCTCAGTGCACACAAATTGGTCTACATCGGTGACGGAGCATCCCGAAGTGTTGGCGCCGACGACCGGGCTACGATTTCGGCCGTAACGAGCGCTCTTTCCGAAGTGATCTATATCTTTGTTGAGGATATTAAGATTGCAGCTCGTCAGTATCCCGAAGAAATAGCTATGAACAACATGATTAAAAGTGCGACAAATGTTACGGAAAAAGCGTTAGGACTTTATAAAACACTCAAACGCCAAGCTCAAAGTTAACACGAACAGCTTTAACATTAATAATAAACTAATTATAAGGCACTCAAAGACATGTTGCAGTGTTAACACCGAAAACAACAAAATTATAAAACACTCAAAAGACATGTGCATAATATACAAGAATTACTGAATTAATTATTTGCATTCGACGCCATTTTTGGTTGATTTTTATTCCATTTTGTTGGTTGTACCGTGAAACTACCCATGATGCGATTAACTGTTGATCAAATAATGTAAAGAACTACTAAATGAACTGTTTCTCGATAGTGACTAAAGTAAATTTTAGAATCGATCAGAAATCAACCAAAATGGCGCCCAATGAGACGTAATGACGTCACTTTCAAACAAAGATAGCAACATAATTATAAAGCACTCACAAGGCACGTGCATTACACGAGGTGTTTTAGTATTTATGTAATAATAATGGAATGAAACTTTCACAAAGACTAGTGCATTTCGCTTTGCACTGTTGCTAATATGGTATATAGTATATTTAAAGCATGCTCAATTAATATTCAGTAACACAGACATTCCAACCACTGGAGGTAAAATTTACGGAGACTGTTCAATTCAGTGAATTGAAATCTAGTTCTTCTGGGAAAAAATAATAAAAATTAAGTCTTCTGAAATGGCGTTTCCCGCATTTTGGGACTATGTTATTATAAGTGATCCTATAAATTGCCATAAAGCAACTTCAAAAAAGGTCAAGACAGACTATTATGTTGCTAAAAACAGTATATTTATAATTTTTTATGATATTTCCTGAATATTCTGAAAAATCGGGAGAATTTGATAAAAATCGGGAGACCGGGAGATTACATGAATTTTCGGGAGACTCCCGGTAAAATTGGGAGAGTTGGAATGTCTGGTAACATTAATTATTGTCACATTGCTTTTAAGAAAGATCTAGGTAGAATAAAGTAATAAATAGTTTTATAAATACATGTTTCTAGTGTTCTTCGATTTAAAGAATAATACTATGGTTTTGAAGTTCTTGCTCCGCGCCGGATATACATATAGAACATATAGAGCTCACTCTTCCGATCCAGAGCTATTTCTGGTACCATTACGTTTTGTTCCCACTAATATCGGCATTGGGTACGAGTACTTCCGAGTATTAGCCGAAGTGTTTCCGGACATACATTTCCGCAAAAGATCCGGCAGTTGAGACGAGTAAGAGTTCTTTCTGACATGAACTTCCTGAGGATAAAAAGTGGCGGATAAACCGAGCAGTAGAAACGCTAAATCAAAATCAAGACTTTCTACATACACCATACCTAATTTCATCAATTTTTTAATCACTGCGCATTCCATAAGGACCATAACTCATTAGCAATACTGAGTCCGCCAGTACGAAAATTACTGGTCCCTCCCCCGGAACATTTTAGTGATTATACGCATAATATGGAACTAAGTAAACCAGGCTGGGTTTTAAACTTAAGGTAGGATGTAAATTAATTTTGAAAGTTTTAGTGGAATCTGATTTTAAAGAATCTCTCACAAATGTTATCACTGCACATTTTTGCTGTTTACCTCTGCACATTTTCACTGTGTAAATTGGTTATCACTGCACACTAAGTTAGGTGTGACAAACACTACTGCACTGCCACTATAGAAGAGACATGATTTCTCACTCTGAAAGCTGCAGGTTGATCACCATCGGTTGCACGATAGGGTTTAAGTGAAACCTATCAATTGGCACTAAACGACTTGAGATATTTTGACCCATGGAAATAAATATATTAATATCACAAACATATGTATAGTATACATTTAAGCCCCACTTAGACCACGCTCAATTTTTGGTACAAGAACCAAAAAAGTGGTACGGGTACCAATTTTATCCGTACCAAAAATTGAGCGTAGTGTAAACGGGGCTTAAAGGTATACCATACATATGTTTGTGATGTGTTTCTGAGTGTGTCCACACTTGGCAAGTTGAAAAGTTTGTTTGACCGCGGTGGGAATCGAACCCGTGACCTTTAGTTTGCTAGCCAAATGCTCTGCCAACTGCACGAGCTACGAGGTTAAGTCGGTTCGAGTGCGTGATATCTCTGAACTCAGTCTAGTTCCTTCGATATCAGTGTTTTTACGATCTTGAATTTGTGTTTCTGTCTGGTGTTGTGTACTCAGTTGAAGATATATGTTTGTGATGTTGCTATGAAAACACAGTTTAGTATAATTCATTTATTAATTATACAGTTTGGGATAATTCGTTAATAGTTAAAATAGTCTATGCTTGACAGATAGTTGCAAACGTTGGTGCTGTGCAATGGCAGTTTCCAAGATTCTATAAACAACTACCACACGACTTTTACAACAGTACGACTAAAATTTCTATGAAAATGTGCTATTAAGACCCGGTCGAACGAAGGATGAGAGTTGGTAGTCACGCATTGTCACAGGGGACATTTCAAGCTCTAGATTGACAAAATAAAGGTTTGAATACATGACAGTGCTGGAACAGCTAACCAAAGTCGCGCAACTGCACTCCCATTCTCGTTTGATCCAGACTTTCCTCGTCCTCAATTTTACTATAAATTCATGAATTTTATGTCAATGTAATGATCTAACTATATTTAATGCAGTATACTGTCTAATCGTCCTCCGGGTTGATATCAACCGGTTTGCCGTCTGGACCAATCAGAGCAGGTTTAACGAGACCTTTCTCGTTTAATTTGCTTAACAGGATTGCTAGTTTCTCAGCCTCTAGCTCTTTTTCTTCTTCGCTCATTTTATCCAGCGGATTCTCAACGTTCGGGTCAACCTGTGCGCCTGAAAAAAAAAGAATTTTTTAAAGTTAGGAAGAAAAATTGTTTCCTAGACATCCCGAAGATGGGCGAACCAGGAAACATTATTTCCTAGCTATGTTTCCCAAAGGTGGGCAAACCAGGAAATAGTGTTTCCTAGCCATGTTTCCCAACGGTGGACAAACCAGGAAGCCTTGTTTCCTAGCCTTGTTTCCTAGCCATGTTTCCCTAGCCAGGTTTCCCAAAGGTGGCCCAAACCAGGAAACATTGTTTCCTAGCCATGTTTCCCAACGGTGGACAAACCAGGAAACCTTGTTTCCTAGCCATGTTTCCCGAAGGTGGGCAAACCAGGAAACATCATTTTCTAGCCATGTTTCCCGAAGGTGGGCAAACCAGGAAACATTGTTTCCTAGCCATGTTTCTGGACGAAAATGGGCAAACGAAGAAACTTAAACAGCGAAGCACACACCCGTCATTGGATCAATTTGATCTTTAATTCTCTCGTACTCTTCCGTGTCAGATTCTTCGTCATCAGTGGAATAATTTCCCGCCGTTTCTTCATTATTACCACCCGCCATTAAACCATGGTCTGCCAAGAAACCTGCAGCATTGCCATAACCAACATATTTGATAAGCCGAGATACGTTGTCTTTGCACAACACAAACAAAAAGTCTCCAACGGATTCCTAAAAGGATCATAAAAAATGAAGTGATGAGAAGATTGCAAGCTTAACTGAATGTTAGTGACAAATATTCGCAGTTGAGAATTGTCAGGTGACGTTATTTATTATTTTTTTCAAATGTCATTAAGATTGATCTGAAATTAACCCGACAAGTCACAAAAGTGAGTTTGAGTTTCATCACGAGAATTTTGTTTGAAATAAAGTGTTTTTAATATTTTCAGGTAGTTCAGACATAAACCAAGCAGTTTATTGTTAAATACTACCTACACTGGACCACCACATTTGAGATACCTTTTTCAGGTTGTTCAGACACAAAACACAGCAGCTTATTGTAGAATACGACCTACAATGGACCACTACATTTGAGATATCTTTTTCAGGTTGTTCAGACACAAACCACGACAGCTTATTGTAGAATACTACCTACACTGGACCACCACGTTTGAGATATCTTTTTCAGGTTGTTCAGACACAAACCAGGACAGCTTATTGTAGAATCTGCCTACACTGGACCACCACGTTTGAGAATTTATCATAATATTAGACTACATTAAATTGAAATGAATTGAAAAAAAGAAACATTTACTTTCAGCTCATGTACAGCTGAAGTGAGATGTCGGACTAATCTTCCTCGGATGTTATCCATTTCCTCGGGTTTCACCGTGCCAACATAACCAAGTGATGGCAACACCTCCTGTCGAAGATACTTGCGGACAATCCTGTTGTGTCTCGAGACGGTCGTTAGCACAGAAAGCAGAGGGGACAAGGTTTCTTTAAGATTAACATTGTCAATCAATCTTTGATCTAGGATTCCCAATAGTGCATGGACTGCCTCAACATTGAAAAACTGAAATACAGAAAAAAATTAAAGGTAAAATGGGTAGAACTAAACAGCTTAATGGCTAAACAAGAGACATATATAGACAGTCTGGTTAACTTACTTCACAAGCAAAATTGTCTAACAGTATGGAGAACAGGTTAACAAAATTGTGAGGATTCATAGGGCACAACAAAACAATGTATATTCCTACATTATACACACCTCATAAACAATAGGGTGTTTATTTTTTCTCTGGTCAGTTTCAAAATTTTTCATAATTTCTTTTGCTTCCTTCTTTGGGATTTGCCAATACAAGAGATTGTATGACTGGTACGGTAAATTTATTAACATGTTGATGATATTGTTCTGAAGGTTTTTGGGCTCTTGGGAAACCTCTTCACATTTTATCAACATGTGTCGGAGAATGACAATGAGGTTGTCACATGACTGTTGCAAGTTGTGCTCGGGTTGCTCTTGACTTATTGTGATTGTTATATTGAAGAGAACTTTAAGAATTTCACCAAATAGTTCGATGGTGTCTTTATCAAGTGAGACGTCTGGTAAACTGCACCTTCAATGTAAAAGAGATAACAGTTTATGGTTAAACCAAGGCTGTCAGGCAGGACACTTTAACCCATTGGACACCAGGGGCCGGTTGTTCAAAGTTGGGTTAGTTTAACCCTAGGTTAACCTAAAATTCAAAGCAAACTTCCTCACAGCTTGTCTATAAATTTGGAAATATTTCTTCAGAGATCTTGTCTGAATCAGTAGGAGTTTACTTCTCTGAAGTTTTGAAATAAACAGACATGTATAAATACACAAACTAAAACAGCAAGTTAAATTTTAACCCAGGGTTAGCGCTAATTCATTTTTGAACAACCGGCCCCTGGGGCCCAGCACTCTCCCCTTGACAAGTAAAATTGAAATGACAGCAACTACTTAGCTTCTAGTGTGGAATAGAGGTGAAAGATACGAATGCATGGCTAAGCAAAGAGCACCTAGAACTCTCCTGATGAAGGGGCTTAGCTCGAAGCATCCAAGTGTTTTTAGGCTACATTTACACCATACCGGTTAGCTCTCCGAAATGGAATGTACAACTTTCAGAAGCTGAGCAAAACAACATCTCTACATTGCAATAATTCCTCTGGATAAGTGTTTTTCATGTTGCTATGGAGAGCTACAGTATCTGGTACAGTCAAGGGTCGGTTGACTACAAACGTTTTGTAGTTCGCTATGACTACAGCTACTTCAAAAATATGTAGTCCGCTACAACTACTGCTACTTTTGAACAAAAGTAGTTCGCTACTGACTACAGCTACTGCTTAAAAAATGTAGCGAATTATTTCGCTATTTCGCTACTCAATATTTTTTAATTTTACTGTATTTGGAGCATCTACTATAGCTCAGGCTGTAATGTAACCTGTAACAAATCGACTTACGCGAGTAAATAAGACGGCATGCACTTGCACAGTTTGAACAGTTGCACGGCATACTTTATTCGTGCAAATTGAGTATTGATTTTAAGCAAACTGCGTCTTATAATTAATAACAATCTATTCGCTATCAAGTTGCTAACAATTTTAAAAAGTAGCGAATAGCGATTTGCTGTTTGAAAAGTAGTCAACTACTTGGCTACTTTTAGGCAAAATGTAGTTCGCTATAACTACAGCTACTGTTTTGAAAAAGTAGTCAAAAACTACTGGCTACTTGAAAATTGTAGTTCGCTACAGTAGCAAACTACAACTACTTCGCTACTACCCACCCTTGGGTACAATGTAAACGTAGCCTTAATCTTTTTTAGGCTTACAATTAACTATCACCACTACAGCCGACACTGCACCCTGTGGTGTAAAAATTTATACCTAGAAGGTAAGTTTGACTCCAAACCACTCTCTCTCATTTCCTGTTCTTGGTTAAGTATTGCCTTTCGCTCCTCACGGCCTGGGATGACCTGACTTAAAGCGGCAGTCAGGAGCTCAACAGCATTAGCGTGCAAGGCTGTAGTTCGCTCGTTAGCCTCGAGTGCTGTCAGCACAAACAACAACCGCAGATCGAAGAACTTGACATCTCGGGCCAAATCAGTTTGGCCGAACCAAGCCAAACGTACACAAACTGCCTCGGTGCAATTATACTTCACAGTGTACTCCCGGAATTCAGCATTTTGGTAAACAAGATTACAAACACATTTCAAAGCCTCAATAACAACTACCGATTTGGAAATGACAGTTTCTACTTCCAAATGAGAATTCTGGCCATCTGATGTATACAGCCCAGCTAGTTTTAAGAAAGTAACACATGAATTCTCGGAGATCATTTCTCCTAAATTGGATCTGTCGCGACTCAACACGCGTAAAGCTTCGAGACAACGTGCCGTATAATTCAAGGAGACATTTTCTGAGCTTTTATCTGCGATACTTAGCTCATCTATCAAACTACGTATGAATTCATGTCTAAGTGATGCATTTATATGCTCGAACGAAAACCGTTGGACATTAGCCTCGCAAAACGAAGTGACTTTTGATTCTTTTAAGGCGACATCGTCTTCATCGTTGTTCGATATAGACTTCAAGAATGCTTCTATTAATTCCTCCATTTCTGTTTCGTTGCGGTTAAGTAGAGCACAACAACAACATCAAAGCAGCTGTCAAAAAGATTTTATCTAAACAGACAACTTATTAACATTTTCCAGATGTTTTCGAAGTAATTTCATTCGAGAATATTGCTCTCCCCCCCTGAGAATGGAGCAAGACATAGCATTTAGTATGAGGTGAACGGTCACAGACAGGGGGTGCATACATCAGAATCGAATCCGGGAAAGCGTATTTTTTGATAGATCAAATTTCGCGAACTTTTCGCATTTTGCATATGAAAGTGTTTAATTAATCAGAAATTAAAATATGATATCTTTTTATAAAGTGTTACTTAATTCTTGATAAAATACTGTATCTCTTCCTTAGAAAAACAACAAGGCTTCTGAACAAGAAATAATAAATAAATACTTTTTTTTAAAAATTGTATTTTTTTATATAATATATATAGCGACAAAAATTTCTCTTATTGACTGCACTTTTATTGACCAGTGGTAAAATTCAAGATGGCGGATTTTATTTGAAAATTTTGAAAATAGAATAGCTCAATTTTAACCGTGTTTCTACCACAGTTTAAGCTGCTATATAGCTCTGATGTTATTTTACACAAAAAATTCTACATTGGAGAATATGTATTATAATTTCTAGCGCTAGAAATTGTGTTGTAAAGGGAGAAATTGTGAATATATTATTGTGTAGCCATGTCTGAAGGAGACACATGGTCAGAGCTTCAAGCTCATAAAAAGAGGCAAGATAGTTTGAGGGAAAGAATACAGAGAAGGAAGAAAGGAAAACAAGGGATTTTATCTGCAGCAACTGAAGGTATTTTTGTTAAATATGAATTTGAAGTCTACAGTTTGAAACGTTTGAAATAATTAAACTCAAATTAAGCCTCCAGCATGTTGGTCCAGTTGCTGGCATCTGAACCTTGGCTGTATTAGCTGATCCATTTCTACCATAGATGGTCCTGCAAAGCCAGATGACAATAGTCCCACCACCTCCACAACAGACAGTTCAAGTGTGGTCAAAGAACCAGTGACAGAAACCAAGCCAGAACCTGCTCCAGCTGTAAAGAAAAGTAATCCATTGTTGGAGAAGTGGATTTTAGAATATTTATCAGACAAGAATCTGTCCATGCCTGTCGACTCATTACAGTTGACAGTTGCTTGGTCCAAGGTAAATATGAGTGAAAATCAGGATCACTTTAGTTTGCAATAAAACTGGCATGCAGACCTTGTATACAGAGCCTGAAATAGCGTTCAAAATTTGTCCAGAAAAATGTCCGACCAAAATGAAATTTGATCAGAAACTTTCAAACTTGGTCACATATTTTTTTGATTCCATTTTAATTTCATGGCTTCATTGGGTAAATGTCTGACGGTTATTTCAGGCTCTGTGTATATTGAAATTTGTGATTGCTCTTGTGCACCTGCTTTTTGCCTTTGGTTATTTCTACCAGGAATGGATCCAGCCAGGCGTGCACCGAGGAAAAAATTGACTGGCAGAAAATTTACCTGATGTTTGTGAAATTGCCCTGATACAAAAATTTGTTGTATATTTCCCAAAATTATTGTAGATGGGGATATTGGGATTTTTTGTTATTTCAGAGAAAATGAAATAAAATAATTTTTACCTGTAGGTCATTGAGTCAACAGACTCTGTGTCCCATGATGACGTTACTGGGCTTGTTGAAAAACTAGCTGTTCAGAATTTTATAAAGTAAGCTGAAAATCAGATTTTATTGTCTTGAATTTAATAAAAAATGTGTGTGCATAATCAGTCATTCCAGAAAACAAGTCTCACAGAAATGGGATGTTACCCTCCTAATCCCCCCTCCTCCTTTGGACATCTTAGTGCATTTAACTATTATCAGAAGTAGATTTAAACCCCTCCCCCTTCATAATAGCACACATTTCCTCCTTATGGGGAGTGTGGTAGATCTTTTCTGGAACGACCCAGGAAGGTCCAAATTCCTATTTTGAATGTTTGAAATTTAAACTGCAGAACTAAACCTGGACAATGTTCGGAGGGGAAACCATGTGTTCTTGTGACAGAAGTTGATTACTCAAAGGTATATATAGTTATGATTTGCAGCCACACTCACAGAAACATTTGGTTACTCTTATGCCAACAGAATTGATATATCAACCATGCTGATCTAGATCATGCTGGTTGCATAATTTGACCATGCCCATAAAATAATTTGACCATAACCACAAAATAATTTGACCACACCCATAAAATAATTTGACCAGACCTATAAAATAATTTGACCACACCTATAAAATAATTTGACCACACCTATAAAATAATTTGACCACACCCATCAAATAATTTGACCACACTCATAAAATAATTTGACCACACCCATAAAATAATTTGACCACACCTATAAAATAATTTGACCATGCCCATCAAATAATTTGACCACACTCATAAAATAATTTGACCACACCCATAAAATAATTTGACCACACCTATAAAATAATTTGTCCACACCCATAAAATAATTTCACCACACCCATAAAATAATTTCACCACACCCATAAAATAATTTCACCACACCCATAAAATAATTTGACTACACCTATAAAATAATTTGACCACACCTATAAAATAATTTCACCACACCCATAAAATAATTTGACCACACCCATAAAATAATTTGACCACACCTATAAAATAATTTGACCACACCCATAACATAATTTGACCACACCCATAAAATAATTTCACCACACCTATAAAATAATTTGACCACACCCATAAAATAATTTGACCATGCCCATAAAATAATTTGACCACACCCATAAAATAATTTGACCATGCCCATAAAATAATTTGTTCGTGTATGGTTGGTTACTGTATGACTATGAAGCCCTCTAATGCAAACAAGGTACATGGAAAAGTGTCTGTACTTAGATGTTATGTTGTATGATTTTAGTTGGAGGCAATTGTTGAAGAATTAAAGGTTACTTCAGGTATCTACATTTCTCGTGTTCCTTTCCCCAGTCACAGCTATGTTGTAATTTTTGCATGTTATGTTGTCTGTACTGTGGTTTGTGTGATTATAGTACTCCATGTATATTGTGACAAATCATTAAAATTAAATAATTACATTTCTTGCACATGTACATAATGTATTTTTTACTCAATATCTCAGCTTCTTCTCTTAAATTCTAAATTGTCACAGCGTCATCGAGTCCTCAAGTGTCGAAAAAGAGAAAACGAGACAAGTATGTTAATACATTCTCACATGCCACAATTCTCACTTTTTCCTCAAGAATAAAGTTCTAAACCATTTTGAACTTCTAACTGTATTGTGTCACGTATAGTGAACAAATATCTCTACTTTATTGTCAGGACGAGGTCAAGGGAAAGTTCCAAATCACGAGATGCTTCTCCAGTCAGTAAACACAAGAAAAAAGCACACAATGATGATATTCAATCAATGCTCTCAACTATGACAACCATAGAATCTGAGGTAATTGCTCCAATGGCCTCGTTTTCATGTTTACTTGACTGTTTTTGCTTGACAGGCATACATGAAGGTGCATTGTATACAGTATCCAGGGTCTGAAATTTGCAGAATCCTAATATCCACAGGATACTAAAATTTGGTTTTGGATACCAAACTGTGGATGACTTATATCCCAACTGGATACTAAGAAAATTTCAAGCATTAGGAAAATATTAAGCACCTCTGACAGTCTCCTGATAGCTCCTCATATTACTTGCATTTTAGTGTATTAATGAATTGTCTAGTTGTTGACTGTTGAATCTCCTGTTGTTATTGCAATTTGTAACAGTGAGAATTATGGAAACTTATTTGGATGTGATAGGGTATAATAATTATGGTAACCAGTATCCAGAAGTGGGATACTGGACTCTCAGGGGGATATTAAACTCCTGGTATTCCAGTTGGATACTGAGGAAATATTTAAATTTCAGACCCTGCAGTATCGCCATGTTTTGTGCACAAATATGTTCCTCTCTGATCTTGATCTCAATCCTATCCTTCACCCTACTTTTCGCAAGTCATGAGGAAATAGGCACATGAAAACGAGGCCATTGGAGCAAGAGTGCAACAAACTGTACAGTCTATTAGCATAAAACTATCACTAAATATATTTCACAAACTTATTTTCGGGTAATTCATGAGCAAAATTGATAATGAAGTTATCACTGCATAAGTAATTCTTGTTTTTAGACAAAGAAAGTTGGCGAAGATATCCTTGACTTACTGAATATTAAATCTGCTAAGGTACTTTTAAAATATATTTAATAACTGTTAACAATTGTTTTATGGAAAATGTCATTTTTATCTGTTTTTGCAAAGCTTTGCCTCTGAATCCATAAACCTGGATCTTCAGTGCAAATAAAGATTTCATACAAAACGAGTTGTTGTCTCATATTTCCAGGAACAGTTGATAGTTGAGAATTTTAAAAGTCAAGGTGGAGCTAATGTTCAAGAATTTTGTGAACATGGAACTCGTGAAGAATGCAAGAGGAACAGGAATAGCGGAGATGTTTGTAAAAAAGTAAGTTCATTTATTAAAAGATACACCTTTATTAAGCTTTGTTTCAATGAATACGTATTCTATGGACGTAAATTTTCAATATTTTATGGCATATTCTCACATGTTTTGTCTGTTGTGTAGGTTCATTTTCGGAAAATTATTCAGAAGCATACAGACGGTATGTAAACTATATTCCTCCACTTATTTCTGTGAATTCACTTGCAATCACTGAGTGACATGTTTTTATCCTATTTTAGAATCTCTTGGTGATTGTTCTTTCTTAAACACGTGTTTTCATATGGACACTTGCAAAGTAAGTTTCCTGCCCAAAAATTATTCTTTGTGGTATAAACGTTGAGTTAGGATATATTCATGGGAAAAATATTCATTTATTTTTCAGTACGTGCATTATGAAGTCGACTATACTGGTGTCACGAAAGATAAAGACAAGAAAACGGACGACAAAGATAAGGTGAGGGCGTGAGGCTCTTATCTTATTTTACGTATTGTAGCTAAAAATCTGTCTTCTTTTCCATGTAGAGTGAGATGACAATGTCCACAGCAGGTGGAAATATCACGCTAATACCACCACAGGTAAGAGCAGTTTTCCTAATATTGTTTATTTATCAAAACACGAAGGTTGACGGAGAAAGTTTACAAACTTCCCAATGAAGGACCTTCGCTCGAAACGTCGAAGTTCTCCTTGTATTTTTCAGGTAGTTGTATCCCTATCAATCCCAAGCTTTCTGGTGTTGTAAGGTTCACCTACCTACTAGAGACCTTACGATTTTAGGACGGCAACGCGACGACGACGGCCAAAACAAAGTTCAAATAAATGGTAGTAAAGATAGTTCGTCGTATATTATCAATCGTATGAATTTAATACAGTCTTAGAAGTTGAAGACATGGGTTTGATGGTTGGAAAGAGTTCTGCTGAACCCAGTTTGAAGTTGCACTTGTTGCAGCTTGAAATACAACCGTTGTATCAAGACGTGAAAATCTGTGATTTGGCGTTGTAAACAGAGCGAAGGACAATGTCTAAATTATTCATATATTGTAATTATTATTCAATTCGTATTCATTATATTAGTAGCCGTTGCCGTCCTAAATCGTAAGGTCTCTATTGTCACTATCCTACGCTACCACGCTACCACAGACCGTTAAGGTTGACGGAACATTTCATTTCTATTTCGCAGTGGATTCAATGTGATCTGAGATATTTGGACTTCAGTGTTATAGGAAAGTTTAGTGTTGTCATGGCTGACCCACCTTGGGATATCCATATGGAGGTAATGATTTGGTTAGCCGCCCCTTGCTGCCTTGCATGACGTCACAAATATATCAAAATAATGTAAGTAAGTAAGTAAGTGAGGTGTGCTAATCATCCTTACTTGCAGCTGAGAGCTAAGCTGAATTACGAGGGACGCAGCTCGACCTGATCGGGTCGAAGGCTTTCTAAGGCGTCTATGGCAGCCACTTTATGACTAATATCTGAGGAAGAGGTTATTTCGCTGGCCTCAGAGTGACAAAACGTAACAAAGCAACGGTTTTACTAACACTAACCCTATTCCAGACACCAACCCTAACCATAATCCTAATCCTAACTCTAACCTAACCCTACTCTAATTTTTCCAATATCTGATCACGGAACACAGCTACGCTGGAAGAGTCAGTTAGGGGGATAATCCCAACCCACCCTGTCAACGTTCACTGTGGGAGGAAACCGGAGCGCCCGGAGAAAACCCACGACTTTCGATAGAGCGTCGACTCACTCTTTTCACATAAATGTCATGCATGAGTCCGTACCGAGAATCAAACCCACGATCTCAGAGGTGAAAGGCGCTTCCTCTGACGATTGGGTGGGGAATAGTACGATCTCCAAATCAATGAAAATACAATGGAACACCCAATGGAACACCCAATGGAACGTCCAATAGAACGTCTGTTTTTGTCTCTAGCTTCCTTATGGTACTATGTCAGATGATGAAATGAGGAAACTTGCTGTTCCCAAACTCCAAGATGAGGGATATATCTTCCTGTGGGTCACCGGCAGGTACGATGCTCCCATTCTTATTGACAGCCTTTCTTAGCTGTTAAGCCTGTTTCCTCTTCATCGTACATGTAATGACTTCGACACTAAAGAAAATGCCACGGTAGTTCACGATATGATTGAACTGGAACACTGCAGATGGTCTACCATCTAAAGCCTGGTTTATACTATCAATGTTTCTGTGATCACAGTAGGAATTTTGCATGGGTATAAATTTTACGTTCCGAAGAATTTGTATATAAGAAATGTTTGAGAGAACTGTGTTTAATACTGAGTCAATTCCCACAAACATTTCTCACAAATCTTTCAAGACTTATGCAAAATCCCTACTGTGATCATAGAGACGTGGATAGTGTGAACCAGGCTTAATTCTATTTTTATGAGTTACTGTACTTGTTTAGAGCTATGGAGCTTGGCAGAGAGTGTCTTAGGCTTTGGGGATACGATCAATGTGATGAATTGATTTGGGTAAAAACGAATCAACTTCAACGTTTGATACGAACAGGAAGAACTGGTCATTGGCTCAACCACGGCAAAGAACATTGTCTGGTATGACGCTAATTTCTCCTGCATAGATCTAGTGTACGAAAGGGAACTTTTTTATACAGGGTAAAAGTTGTATGTTGTTTCGTATCTGGAAATAATGTCATGTTTTGTTTTCTGCAGATTGGTGTAAAAGGGAAAGCTAGCAATATGAACAATGGTTTGGATTGTGATGTGCTTGTCGCTGAGGTAAAGTTACACATGTATATAATACGCGAAATTTTAGTTTCAGCTGTAGTACGTGTACAATCATCTATTTAGTATTACAGTATTACGCATTCTCGTACCCAGAGCCCTTCTTACGCGCGTTCGACCGAGCGCGACGAGGGGCTCTGGCCAAATCCATAACCGGATACCATAAAAACATGGTAAGAAAACAATATCCGGTATTAGAAGTATATTTGGTCAGAGCCCCTCGTCGCGCTCGGTCGAACGCGCGTAAGAAACTAGGGCTCTGGGTATGAGAATGAGTATTACGCATAGGCCCAGATCAGAGCCCAGATCAAATGAGAATGAGAGTTGAGAAGCGAGAGTTCGCATGAGAGTTTTCTCAACTCTCATGCCCCGGTCAAATGAGAACAAGAGTTGAATGAGAGTTTGCATGAGAGTTTTCTTAACTCTCTGCATGGCCCGGTCAAATAGAACAAAAGTTGATGAGAGTTGAGTGGATATTACTGTGTAGCCAAAACTCTCATCAAAATTTGAACCATCTCAAAGTTGACGAGAGTGCATCAGAGTCAAGGAGAGTTAACGATGAAACGCGAACGAGAGATACAACTCTCATCACCTCTCATCCTCGTGACCAGAGCTTTAGAGTCAATTGATATATTTAGGTGAGATCGACAAGTCACAAACCAGATGAAATTTATGGCCTCATTGAGCGACTCTCGCCGGGGACCAGGAAAATTGGTAAGGAACAGTTTCTGATGCACCATTAATGATCTATAGAAACCATCAAAAGATGGCGAACTATGAAAGTAAACTAATTTTTATTGTCTTGCTTGATCTAAAATCTTGTCAGTGGGCAATAATCTTATTTTGATGTTTAGAGTTATTTGGACGCCAACATAACGTGCAACCAAACTGGTAAGATTTAATTTGATAAGTTCTTTGTAGTTTTTCATGGAGATACAAAAATATAAGTTTTAGTATATTATTGCAGTAATAACTAGAAGGCACTTGGATAGAGATAAATTATACAATGAGCTGATTACGCATTCTATATGTACCCTGCATGGCAAAACAAGACAAACTTTCTCTAATTTCTCATACAATTTTCATCCAAATTTAACCAAAATGTAATCGATTTGTCGTTGGGCGATGTCTACAGTCTACACACGTAAAAATCTCACAACTTGTCAACAAGATGTGTTTGCAACAGGCGTGGAGCAAGCTTGCCGACATGTTGTAACAATGCTGTTATTTTATCAAGTTGCTACAAGGTTGCCACTTACAACTTGTTGACAACTTGTTGAATTGCAGGACGATAACAAGTTGTTGGAACAACTTGTGACAAGTCTGTTGAGCTCAACAACCTTGTAGCACGTTGTCAACAAGCTGGGAACAAGCATTGTGAACACATCCTGTTGACAAGTTGTGACGTCATTATGCATAAGGTCTGTTAATGGACAGCACTGTCAGTTCTGAATTGTTCTCGAAAATATTTTTCCAGGTTAACGCTTGGTAATCAGTTGGATGGCGTACGCCTGTTGGAACCGGATGTGGTAGAAAGATTTAAAGTGAAATATCCAAATGGCATAAAACAGCTGACGTCCTCCAAGTGATGGCTTTGCAGGACTGCGGGTAACAGGTAGAGTGCTTCTCTGAAATTAGCCCGCGAAAATGTTGCATGTCAACGTTTTAGCGGGCAAACTTTCGCTGATGCGATGCAGAGAAAGATTATTGCGACCGAAGAGACATTACTTAGCGAGGTCATCAAATTGTTTTTGCTCAGTGTCAGAAAATGGAACAATACAGTTGCGCATAGATGATACCATCTCCGATCGTGATTGGAAACGGAGATCTTTTAACTTTCGTAATTCCAAGAAGAAATTACGCAATCACTTTTTATTAGTATATTACTATAGATTTGGCACTAAAGTTGAGAAATTTAAGGTCTGCGATTGATAGATCCCAAGAGCGTGGTTTTTGCTTGATGCGTTAAGGCTACACGGCTACATTACACAACTTTTTCCTAAAACTGTCGCATGCAACCTGCTTACAACTTGAGTTGTACTGTGTAAATCAAACACACAACTTAGTTATGTTGTCGTAGATGAGTTGTGTGCCTGATTTACACAGTACAACTTAAATTGTAAGCAGGTGCATGCGACAGTTTTAGGCAAAAGTTCTGCAGTGTAAGTCGGCCTTTGTATTGTGCAACCTTAATGAACATAAATGCCTGTTTCTCTTCAAAACGTTTCTCCACAACCTCCGCCATGTGCTCTCGAGAAAGTCCTGGGAATGAGGTTGGTTTTGCTACTGACATTCTCCTGAGCTAATCTCATACCCAGAGCTGTTGTTGCTGAGCAATATAAAAAATCCTTGGCATGTAAATGACAGCAAGTATATACATGTATGTTACAACAGTTTTTAATTAATTAAAATAAATTAAAATATTTACAGGAACATGTTAATTTGTTAAATAGTTCATGTCTAGATCTTTCTTAGTATCCTAATGTACTAACAAAATGTACTACATAACAAATAAGCTGCTTTTAACAAATCTTGCTGATGATAATTAATATATGGTACAGTATTCATTGATGTTTTGACAAAGGCTTATTTACTTAGCCATGTATATTGTGCTGCAATTTTAATTGTTCATACAAGCCTTTGCCCAGATAGCTGTATATAGTTGACTGGAGTGATATATGAAACACCAAAATTAAAGTCAATGTATTGCTCCAAGTTTTGTGAATTTTACATTTGTATTACATCATACTTAATATTATTAAATTGAATATATCAACTCCGAATGCCAAATTGAAATCACAAAAATTGCAGCAAATATTACTAGGCAAGTAAATTACTATAAAAGACAGGCCCACGCAAAAATAATAAATCCCCATCTGTCATGCATAGTGATAATTCATTCTGACAAAAACCACGATACTTGATAAAAAACATTTTTTTAAAAATTCTCATTTTGAAATTATATTTCATAATTGTCCATGTTGATTCTTGTTTTGTCTCTCTCGTAACCTTGAACTCCGTCGTAATGGCGTATCAGACATTTGTGTTCCCATTGTTTCGTGAGATTTCTTGCCAGTGTCATCACTTCCGTAGACTAATTCTCGTATGAACGAAAACCGCACTAAGAATAACTTCCATATTAGGAACCAACCTGAATGAAACATTTGAGTTTTGGTGGGTCATTTAAAACTATTTTAATTGTATATTCACAGGCTGTTTTTAAACATTTTGAAGTTTAATTTAAGCCCCGGTCAAGCGAGGGTAAGCTGTTGATGCACTGGACAAATACGAACAAGAATTGCATGAGAGTTGACGAGACTCGACTGGACATTAAGTATGCATGTAGCAAAAAGTCAAATACAAGGCAGAGTTATAACTTTCATCCTTGTTTAACTGGCGTAGTGGGGTTTTAGTCCGCCTGGGAAACTTGGCCTCTTATGTAGAGGGAATTGCAAATTATACAAATTTATAGAAAGCCAAAATGCCTCCTAGCTGAATGGTATTTGGAAAATTTATAGTCCTTGAAATAAGTGCTTTAAAATTTATAGATTCCTAAGACCTGCATGGTGAGAACTTGTCAAAACCCGTCACACATGAATAAGTTAATAAACTACACACAGCAGTTGTCCTTTATTACTGTACATGTAAATATGTCAACACTACATAATGAGAGCCAATTTGTTTTTTATTTTTACTGTACTGTCCTAACTGTCCCATGATTTCTGTGCAGATTGTACAAAACAAACTGCGGTAATTGACAATTTATTCACGTGAAAGCAAAAATACTATATCACAAACAACACGCGTTCATAAAAGCTAGCAACAAGACAAATGCATCCAACGGTCGATTTTATGCAACTATGCCAACTACCTCAACTTACCGAACAGAATAAGAAAAACAACGATAAATACAGCACCCACGACTGAAAACCCAGTCAATAATACTTCTTTAAAATCGATACTTTGAAGATCGACCATCATGAATAGCTCAAACAAAGGATTGTTTTGCAAAATTTTGTTGCTATATATTCGCTGATCGATCGCAAATTTGAAACAAACGAAGATGGCGCGCTCGTGGACGTCACGAATACAAACAACACGCGCGTTCGAACACGCGCGACTAATGCCAACTTTCACTATTTGCCTAATAAGGAATGTGACGTCATCGGTATAGAAGATTGTAATTTTCGCTAATTTTGCACGCAGTGTTGGTTTACAAAAGAAGAATTCGAATTATCCAAACTTAGGGATGACTTCCATCGTCATCGAAAATGTCTCGAGATTTTTAGGGCAAAGTTCTAGAGCTAAAAGTAGTATTGAGTTTATCACGGGATTGGGATGAGTGTATCTAAAAGTCGAGGGTCGAGAGTCGAGAGTAAAGCTCGAGAGTCGAGAGTAAAAGTCGAGAGTCGAGAGTAAAAGTCGAGAGTCGAGAGTAAAAGTCGAGAGTCGAGAGTAAAAAGTCGAGAGTCGAGAGTAAAAAGTCGAGAGTCGACAGCAAAAAGTCGAGAGTCGACAGCAAAAAGTCGAGAGTCGGCAGCAAAAGTAACCTGATCAGGTTACAGCAAAAGTCGAGAGTCAACAAAAATGTCATCAGAAACAACAAAGTCAAAATATTTTTAACACAATATATAGCATTCCGTAACAACGGCTGAACTACATTATACTACAAACTTTCGCATAAATATAGCCACAATAACAGTCAATAATAAAAACGTGAACAAAAAAGACTGGATACGAAACTAATCAGTATCATGTGTGATGATTTCATCTTGCTAAATTTTTTAACATGTCATTTCATCAAATTTTGCTGCCTTTCAATGTAGACACAGGCGGAATTTTGACAGCCAGTTCCGGGCTTGTAACCTCGCTCACAGTAAAAACTACCGTCGCTTGCAACTAAGGATGACTAGTCGCAGATAAAATATTGTCTATTCTCATGAACAAAGTTCAATGTTTTTACCGAGAAACTTCAATGTTTGTGATATTGATCATTTGATGGTTTCAATGGATGATTCCACCTATAGACTAATTTTGATCTAGGCAAGAAGAACAAAATCCATATTTGGGCCGAAAGTGGTGCATTTTCCCGCGCGTAATAGAAATTAGTACAAAATTTGCAAATTTCGAAGGGCTATATTTTCCGCATTTTACAACATTTTTTGCGGCCAAACTTTGTAATTTTACTAATTTTAACATGCTCTTTCTAGCTATGGTGATGGATTTCATCCTTCTTGCCTATATCAAAATTTGTCTATAGCTGGAACTATCCGGCATTCTCGGTATAAAAACATTGAACTTTGTCATGAGAATAGACAATGTCTTATCTGCGACTGTTCATCATTAGTTGCAAACGACGGTTGTTACAAGCAAGGTTACAAGCGGCCCGGAGCTGGCCGGCTGTCGAAATTCTGCTTATGTGTCTACATTGAAAGGCAGCAAATGAGTTTGATGAAATGACATGTTAAAAAATTTAGAAAGACTTGAAAGCATCAGATGTGATATTTAGATACATTATTAATTTCGTATCCGGTCTTTTTTGTTCACGTTTTTATTATTGACTGTTATTGTAGCTATATTTATGCGAAGTTCAGCCGTTGTTACAGAACGGCTCAGATATTTTAGTAAAAATATTTTGACTTTGTTGTTTCTGATGACATTTTTGTTGACTCTCGACTTTTGCTGTCGACTCTCGACTTTTTGCTGCCGACTCTCGACTTTTTGCTGTCGACTCTCGACTTTTTACTCTCGACTCTCGACTTTTTACTCTCGACTCTCGACTTTTACTCTCGACTCTCGACCTTTACTCTCGACTCTCGACCCTCGACTTTTAGATACACTCGATTGGGATTAGGGTAGGATGAAAGTATTTAAACTGTGGTTGATAACATGAAACTTGATTCAAAACCATGGTAGTTTCTGTAATAAAGATGTTTACTTTTTATTAACTATTAAGAGAAATCGTTACATTGAGTTGTTACTATACAAAAATCTATAAAATCCTCATTGTCCAACTAAAATATAAAATATGTTCTGCAAAACACCTAGTTAGTAGACTTGTTTGTGCTGTAACCTAAATATTTAATGATAAAAGTCAGAAAATAAATGTGTTCCAAAAATCATAGTCCTGAAATCCGTTTTCGATAAATGCCTGCTTCGAATGAAATCAACGTCCACAATTTGTGTCCAGATATCTTCCCAATCTGTTGACAAAATTATGACAGTTGTTTCTAAGGAGGCGATACCGGCCATATTTACGTTTGTATGCTTTGGTCCAGTTCTGAGCATCGCGTAAACGACATTTACTCTCGCCTTTTCTTCCCCACGACCATTTAATCTTGCAGTCATTCAAAGAGCGACCCATGTAGTAGTTGTAATTGATGCCCCATTCGAAGATAACTCCACGGAACAGCAAGAGACTATGACGAAGTCTCCATGTATTCTTCACGATGGTGCGTTTACCCTTTTTTGCATCCCAGAGGCTCATGTCGCCGTAAAAATAGTCGCTGGATGTGGCTAGGGAATAATGAAATGTAAAATAAGTCTTCGTTCTCAAGTAGAGGGCATTATGGCGCAAATGCGCACTGACCTAAGCCTACTATTTTAGGTCGAAGGTGTAGAGTATTACATAATAACTATTATAGCAAAGACAGAACCACTGAAGTGTGGCCTGCTCTGGTCGCTACTAATGTAATAAAGAATTTGGAGGGTGGAGATAGAATTTCCTGAAAAGACATGAAAAGCCGTGAAATCAGTGAAAATTGATAGAAATAAAATTCTATGATAAAATTAATAAACATACAAATTGAATTGCCCTGAGTTGGTTTGGGATAAGAACAGTTCCTCCTACGACGTCGTCGCCACCACCAAGACTCCACAAACACACTCTGGATTAGCACCAAAAGTACCAGAGCAACCACGACTGTTGAACGAACCATCACTTAGAGTGCTTAATTAAGAAATTAGAACAAAATTAGAATGAAATATTATCAAAAACAAATTAAGAACAATTAATTAAAATATGTTTTGTCGATCCATTATAGATTACTCGTGACCAATATATGTTTTACTTGTTTAGGTGTTTTATACTAATTGCTGAAGCCAAAGTATAGTCGCTAATTGGACCACAGTCAGACCGCTCATATTAAGCTTGAAAATTCTTTTTTAGTGTATTTAATATTATCTTGTTTTTTCACCGCAGGGAAGTGGCTAGAAAGGTCCTTGTTAGGCATTCCCCTTTTTTCTAGCGATGTCGCATTGTATGCATTAACATGATATGATCAGACTCAAATTGTGGAAAATTTTTCTATTCTAAACTGCCCTTAAGTTAGAATTTTACTATATAGTCTTACAGAACAATGAATGGCATTATAAAGTTTTTTACATACTGTTTTAATGTGTGTTTCCTTGATAATTTGACTGTTACAGACCAGTTGAAGTTCGCTGCACTGTTGTCCAATATGACTGGCTAAGCACAGATTCAAAGTATTTTATATCCTCGTATTTTGAAATGTAAATTTCTCCAAACATCCTGTTTATTGTGTTGTATAGAACTACCTTCAGCAACTCACTGGAACTTATACAGACGATATTTGCATATTTCCCACGTTGTGGTCCATATAACATTGCCCTGCCCTGGTTTGTGTCTGAACAATTCGAAATTCCGAAAGAGATTAACAACATACTTGAATGTTTAGAACAAAGTCTCGTCTTGGTTATATAGCTGTGCTATATAAGAAGGTTATCTACAATTTCTAACTCTCCTAATGGATCGTCTTCCTTCGAAACGTTAAGAGTTTCTGATTTTATTCAGGTTATTTTATAGACACAAGCCCATCAATGTTGACGTACTAGTTAAAATATGAGCAGCTGATTTTTATGCTCAACATGCAAGTCAGCTTATCATGCATGCATGCAGTCATTCATGAACATATTTCAGTCCGACAATTCTATACTACAATCTACATGCTGAGTCAATACCTTATAGAATACACAAATCTTTTAATCCTGAAAAATGTAGTGTTGTCATTTATAGTAGGCACACATTTATTAAGTACTACTGACTGACTGGCTACGACTTAGAGCTTGACGTGAATGACATTCTGCTTCAATGTGTGTTTGTAGTTAAGATTAGGGGTGGAATAATTCGAAATAATAAAAAGCGCTTGTTTGTTATATTGTGTTGTGTTAGTCTTGTTACTACATGCAAATTGACCAGCCATAAGTTACTTAATGGAATAATCACACGACTTATGCAATAAAAAGTGTTATATTTAAATTAATCACTACACTATATGCCATTAGAGTTTCTGCTAATGCATGAGTATACAGTATTAAAATTATGTTGTACAAGACACCTAGTTTATACAGTATTTCCAGTCTTTATGAACTTGTTTATGCTGAATCTAATTAACATGCAGTAACTTATAAAATTGAGAGAAAATAAATGTGTTCCAAAAATCGTAGTCCTTAAATGCGTTCCAAAACTCATAGTCCTTAGTTCATAGTCCGAGAAAGTCCATTGTCAAATCAACGTCCACAATTTGTGGCCAGATATCTTCCCAACTTATTGACATAATGATGACAATTGTTGCTAAAGAGTCCGTATTTGCCATATCGACCTCTGTATGCTCTGGTCCATCTCTGAGCATCGCTTAAAAGACATCTGCTGTAGCCCTTTTTAGAGTACGACCATTTAATTTTGCAGTCACTCAAGGAGCGCCCCATGTCGTAGGTTTTGACGCCGTTGCGTTCGATGCCCCATTCGAAAATAATGCCACGGAACTGTAACAAACTGTGACGCAGTCTCCACGTGTTACGAACGATGGAACCACGTTTACCTTTCGATTTACCCCAGAAACTGAGGCTCGTGGAACCGTAGTAATAGCCACTGTACCTGTCTAGAGGACAAAATAAGTTCGTTGTAAATGGAGGTAAATATAGCGTTCTCTCACTAATGAATGCATGGAAATTTGTAATACTTATGTCACAGAATAAAGATCAATAACAGAAGGTCCACTCAGCGGTGCAACGTGTCCTCATTTTTTTATGCAAAAATATGCAGTTTACTGGCCAGAAGGCGGAGCAGCCAGCCAGTACAGCGTGTTTATTGGACAGAAAATGTCTTTGACTGCCTAGAAAAATGGCGGCCAACATGCGTAATGCGACATGCGCGAGGACAGAAACTTCAAAGCTTCCGACGTAAGTGGCCCTTCTGTATGGATCTTTATTCTGTGCTTATGTGGTCTTAATCTTAATGAGCTCTTTGATTGTCAGGTTTCAACTATAATTCAAGCAAAACTACAGCTGTAAAGGGCTACCACAATCCCTTGGTCAACTAAAATTTCCTGACCAAACATTTGCTTGGTGCGTAGGGTGGGTTAGTATAATTTCATTTGCAGACGTCCTTATTGCTTCCAACCCTCGCTGCTAAACTGGAATGTGCAGCCCAGTTCGACTAGGGGTGTATTAGCAGTGTTTACACCTTGGCCAAGATTTTGCTTCACTGATTGGTTCGTTAAACAGCCAATCAGTGTAAGCCACATTAAGTCTAGGCTTGTTGATGATGACGAAGCTTTGTGTATACAGGATGAGTCCTCAGCAAGTACTGTTCCACCTGGAGGCATTTGCAGTGTCACCATGACCCAGTCTTTAGAGAGGGGGGTAATGGGGTATTTTCGTGCTCCGTATTGGGGTAATTTAATTATTCGTTCTTCGTTCAGTCATCTTTTTATTAAACGTTTTTCGATCCCGACATGGATACCGTGTATCGTGCTTTCGGTGTATTCAATATCCGGTTATTTCTCGTTTCTGGACAATATATTCCATTAATTTTGTTTCTGGATTTTAGCTATGTTTTGATTGGGGAACGCAGGTTTCAAATTTTATAAATCATGAACATCGACGTAATTGTAAACAAACAGGTGAACACACCGCCCAGTACAGACTGTTTATATATTCACCTTTAAGACTTCTAAGTATGGTTGTTGCTTACATTTCATGTTCCCTTTACATTTCAGATTCGTAATAAATTTGTTATTTTACGTGCTTCAGGACTTCCTTCTTTTATTTTTCATGTTTCAAGATTGCTGCATATTATTTCTCGTGCTTCAGGATTGGTACCCCCCCCCCCCTCTTTAGAGGTGCAGCCCCCCAAAATAAAGTAACTATGAATATGAGGCAAAGATAGAATTACAAACGTTTCCTAACTGGCCCTTAATCCAAAAGGCATTAACACTATTCTATGAAAACAAAATTCTGTGGTAAAATTGAAAATATAAAATGACAAACCAGATGCACGCCGTCGAAACCACCAAGACTCCACAAACACACTCTGGATTAGCACCAAAAGTACCAGAGCAACCAGGATTGTTGAACGAACCATCACTTAGGAAAATAATTATTTACGAAAATAATTATTTAATGCTTGTGATGTTACCCCGAGTGTATATCCACACCGGGCATGCTTGAAAAATATGCCTGACCACGGTGGATATACACGGTGGATATACACGGTGGATATACACGGTGGATATACACTCGGGGTAACATCACAAGCATCATATTCACCTGAGTACATTACACCAACACAGAAAAAATTAATAATTATTTAGTTCTATGAAAATATTTAGTTCTAATTTTATCAAAGGCAAAGAAAAAAATTGTAACTGATGCTGAGAATTGGGGCTTGCCACTTGCATACTGAGTCAGACCGCTCATATTGAAAATGCTTTTTATAGTAATATGCGGACATATATATTTTCGTTTTCTCGGTTTAAAGTCGAAGGAGAAGTCTAAGTTCTCTAATATCTTTTTCCTTGCGGAAATGTTCTATTAGTCCGTTCTAGTCTTGGCTGTTGCAGACCAGTTGCTTATCGTGGCCCAATTTGACTGGCTCACCACAGATCCAAAACATTTTGTGTCTTTGTGCTATCGAATGTAAATTTTCTCCAAACGTCCTGTTTATTGTTTTGTTAAGAACTATACCTTCAGCATCTTACAGAAATTTATGCAGTTTTACACACAATTGCATATCTCGAATGTGGGAGTCCAATGTAATTATGATAAACCCAGTATACGAATATGGACAAAAACCAAGACGCTCATATATGTACGTTCATGGGGAAGCTGAAAGTTGATATATTAACGCCTACGTTGCCGTAAGTTAGTTGTGTACTTGATTTACACAGTGCAACTCAAGTTGTAACATAGTTACGTAATAGAATAGATGGCTGTGAAACTCATCAGAATAACAATATAACTCATTATCTATGTTAGTCAACGTTTATTCATAAATATGGTCCTCACGTGTGTGTTATATTTTTGCCCAACTAACCAATAGCAGTGTTTTAGGAAAGTTACCTATCCGTGACTCGAACAATAGCGAAATTGAAAATTGCTATTCTCAGGGTTTATTTTAACGTGCAGTTCTACACAAAATGTGCAGTTCTAAACCCATTTGTGCAGTTCTTAAATCTCAAATGTGCAGTCACCAAACTAACAAAAATAGCCTTAATTAAAACAGTCTTCTCATTTACTCGTTACCCTTGTGGATGCTCCAGAAAATTCCAGAAATGCTGTCATTGAGCATCAAAAATATAAACGTTTTCTGGGGGAGGACTCCAGACCCTCCTATTTTCCTCACAAATCACTTACGTGCTGGGGTAATGGAAAAGAAGGAAAAATTGGGACGAGCGAAGCTCCCCAAAAGAGATTAGAGTGGGAGAATCTAATATTCTTTGCTGTCTCATATGCAAATTTAAGGTTGTTATATATTGAATATTCATGATTCCCAGTTACATGTTTTGAAACAGTTTTTGTGAGTGGTTGGGTAAAAGAAATCTTTGCCAGAACTTAAGAGTCTCTAGATTCAAATTGTTTGGGGATCACCTCCTAGCTCCCGCACCCAAATCGAGTTTGTCTGGCCTTTCTCCAATTCTCCCACCCAACCACACCATTATTCTGTCACCTATTTGCAGGTAAAAAATCCTTCGTCCCCCAGTCAAACACCCGTTGCCTTCGTAACATCCCCATATGTGCAGTTCTAAATTTTTCTTAAAGTAAACCCTGGCTATTCTAACGAGTTTCCAAACCATCTATTCTATTAACTATGGTTCTAAGTAGGTACGTTGCATAAATCGGCTTTAATGCTTCCAGGAATCGAAGACAATTAGAGATAATCTAATTTGTGCGTAGGCGTGGCGTTATGCGTGGGAGTGTGCGACACAAACTACGTCGATGTGAAAGAGATTAGAAAACATGCTGGAATTAAAGCATTAAAGGAATGCTTAGCGAAGGTTCCTGAGTGTATAAAAAAAAGGAGACCTTTAGAAATTAACCTTATTAATATAATTTGAATGCTATAAATAGTTAAATACTACGCTGAACACAAGAGCACAGACAAGAGTACGAAAACACAATTGAATTGAATTTGTAATTAACTGAATATATTAAGAGGCAATTTTTTTCAATGTCACGTATTTGCAATGAAAAGTGTTCAAAACCTAAAAATTTTTGGCGTTCCTCTCAAAATTACTTTGTTTTAGTTTTATTCTCTAGTTTATGCAGTTAGCTACCTTTTTAAATGCATCTGTTGGTTGAGAAACATAAAATAATAGTAAAAAATTGTCAATGAAAATACAATTATCAATAATGCTTTAAAATTGACGCCATATTTACAGCCATACAAGCACAACTTACTGAACTTCAGACATCATTTACTCTTTGGCGTATCATCTAAAATCTCTTCATTTTAGCATTGTTTTACAGATAAAGCACTAAACATACTTTTTAAGTTTGTTTGCCGATTGAGAAACGTATCGAAAAATAAAAATTTTGAATTTAGTCATAACCTCGAGTGATTATTATACGCATTAGTTTTGAGCGTGTGTTACGTAACGTAAAAAAAACTCTTAATTTCTAAAGGTCTCCTTTTCTATGAACACCCTGCAGTTCCCTGCAGTTGTGTCTCTAAACTCAAACTCTTCTTATTAGGAAAGTCTTCGTTGGAAACGTTGAGGCTTTTTTCAAGTTGTTCAGACACAAACCACGAATGTTTACATAACTCATAAGTTGAGCCTTTCTTCATGCTCAACAAGTGAGCTTATCAGCCACTGTCTATACTACATGCTGAATCAAAATACAAAAACTTTTGTGCTAATAATCCTGATAAGGTGATCAACGAAAAATGTAGTTTTATCGTTTATAGTATTGGCACAACTAAAGGGGCCATAAAATCTGACATAAAATCTGAATAATCGAATGACAGGATGTGACGAGCTATTTGGCTTATTTGGTTTTGTTTTGCAACAAATTTGGCCAGCTCTTTTCCAGACTCCTAAAGCAACTCCTGAGTCCTGAACTTTGAACTTTGAACGATTACGTAACATTTTATAAAGGTTTTTACAAAAGAACACTGAATCTAGATTTCTTATTTTTACCGCTTTTAAAATGAGTATTTCAGTTCATTCTACGTACGAAATTGAAGAAACAAAAAGCACCAGCCGTTTAAAAACTTTTCTGAATGGAAAATTGCTGCCTTTTTTATTTAAACAATTTATGACATTAGGAATTCTAATGGCGTTATTTATTGGGTTCGTATTTCCCAGATTGGGTACTTGGGTTAGTAGCTTCGAAGGATCGACTTATATTTGTATTATTATGATCTTTTTACATTCTGGTGTAAAACTAAAGATGGCTGCTATGAAAGATGTCATTAAGGAATACAAAGGCTTCACTTGGGGCCTAATTAGTATTGTATTAATTACTACCTTAATTGGCACCAAATTAACCCAGCTACTTCCATTTGGGGAAAGTGTAGCAAATTGTGAACATGGTGGTGAAAATGGGACTTCAGGCACATGTGATAGTATCGTCGGGCCGAGGGAATTTCTACTTGGATTAGAATTCTATTATATATCTCCTTGTGCTGTAGCAGCTGGTGTTGTTTTGGTAAGTTTAATATACAAATATGAGAATGGGCTGTAACCAGCATCTATTGTCCCAGGCAACCAAACCAACCAGGTTAGCGAGTGCTTATATGGGAAAATCCTGGCTGCCTGGATCTTGCCTGTTTCAAGTGAGATCTTGGCAACCAGACAAGCCCTGGCAGTGAATTTATAAATGGGAAAATTTTCATCTGGACTGCCAAGATCTTGCCTGTTTAAAGGCCATATACTAGTAAAAGCAGAGCAGTTTCTATTGTAAAAATAATGACATGGCAAGATCTAAGCAAAATCCTGCCTCTGTGAATGCTATGTCACTGCATATTACAGGCATGTTTTGAGGATAACCTAATTCTTGTATTTTGGTTCTTCAAATTTTTAGACCTCTTTATCAGGTGGTGATGTAACCCTCGCACTGTTGCTGACCGTGACGACCAATATCCTTGGTGTGGTTACTGTACCACTGTTAGCAACATGGCTTGTGTCTGTGAAAGACGTTAAAATCAACACTGTCTCGTTACTTATTAAACTGACTACTACAGTGCTTATTCCACTCATAGTAAGTTATATTTTTATCTTCTTGCATTATTTTATAATGAACATTTATTCACATTAGGTATGTAAGCTGCAATGCGCCCAAATATCTCGCACAATTGTCTTTGTTATATGAAGACTATATGCCAATGTTTCATGTTAATTAATTGACCCATTAATGCATAAGACTTTTCCCTTGGCAAATAGAATTGTCTGGCATTAGACAAAGTAAAATAATAAAGTCAGGTGCAATTGGGCACTTGACTTACTTTGTGATGTTAACTGAATATCATACAGTCTTAATCCTGATACCAAATAATTACCCATCGTGGGTTAACTTCCATTTTTTCATTTTTGCTTCAGGTTGGAAAGTTGTTAACACGTATAAATGCTGTGAAAGAATTTGTCCATGACCACACAAAAACTTTAAAAATGTTAAGCATAGCATTTCTAGTTTGCATACCATGGATGAAAATTAGCAAAGCCAAGGTAGCTGGGTCATTCGGAGCAGTATCGATTCTCAACCTTTTCATTGTGTTCTTATGGGGTCTTGCACTACATATTGTTATGCTTATAATTAATTACATTGGAGCTTGTTTGATCCGGGTTAACTTGGCAGTACGGAAAACTTTGGTTATCCTAGCAAGCACCAAGACTCTGGCAATAACTTTGTCGGTGATAACCTTTTTGCCCCCAGAGATTGGGGATGCGGGACTCATGAGTCTGCCGCTAATTGTCATGCATTTGGCTTTACTTTTAATTGACTCCGCATGGGTTGTTCGGTGGAATACTAATCAGGGCAAAGAATTAGGTGAGGCTAACGAGATTGGTGATGATGATGTCAGTTTAACAAAGCAAGTTGTTAGCAATGGTTTTCAATTTCATGACACCAGTGTAAATCATGTAACGACAGTGTAAGATCTGATCCATTTTTTTGCTAGTTAGGTATAGGTAGGTTTATATAGAAAACTGAATACACCCTTCCAGAAAGTATTTTATTTTGGCTATGGAGCCTCATGCATGTGTATGTGACATTAGTTAAACTGTATGTTACAAAAACGAGGCTTGATAGCCAAGGTGACACACTATCTGGAAGGGTTTACATATAATTGGAAATTCTTTCAAAAGCTTGTATCTTTAATTAATAGGAATGTTTTATTTTTTATAATTGGTGGGTTATAAAAGGAATAAATATGTCATTCTGTGAACTGTGAAGATTGATTTCTGATGTGAAACTTTCATGTTCGTCTAGAGTATGTGGCTTGCTGATCAGCCAATCACATTTATTGTAGTATATGTCCTCAGGTAAAGTTATATTTGAGGTGATGCTCTCTGAGTGTGTCGACACCAGACAAGCCGAAACTTCTGCTTGACCGCGGTGGGAATTGAACCGCGAATATCTACGACAAATTTCCCTTGCGTAAATGGAACACATTGAATGATATTTTGTTCCTATTTTATGCTCAACTACGCCATCCCAATTAGTCATGTCTGTGACGTTCTTACATGGAATGACTTGTTCCCATTACCCTCATTACCATGCGTCTATCACTTTTTATGTGACACTTATTGCGCTTTTATAAAAAATGAAACGTGAACAACGTGGTTTTCATAAATTCCTTAATTTTTCAAAAGTGGCATTGTCGTTCACTCGTCGAGAGTTGTCTTCTTGTTCGAATCCTCTGTTATCAGCTTGCGGCAACGCGCAAATATCAATGAAAATCGACAGTCGCAGTCCTTTCGGCATGTGATAAGTCGTGTGCACTACTGGTCCAATATCTGCAGTCAATATAAATAATAACATGTCATTCACAAATCAACAGCCGTGGCAGCTTTTGTTTTCAGTTAGCGACTTCCTTTCTAAACCGTGATGTTATCAGAGATATCTGAATAAATGTTTGCCAGTTAAAATTTAACCTGCTGATTTAGTGTCACGTCCTGTTTATTTCCAAACTTCAGGGAAGGAAACTCCTGCTGATCCAGACAAAATTTATGAAGAAATATTTCTAAATTTATAAACAAGCTGTTGGAAATTTGATTTGAATTTTAGGTTGACCAAGGGTTAAGATAATCTGCTTTTGAACAACCGTCCCCTGGTACTTATCTCTTATACTTACAATCCAAGAGCGAAAATTCATTCCAAAAGGTGTGTACATGTGGGGATAAAGCCGGCCAACGGACGTACTTTATTATAGATTACATTTCGTATGTCCAAAAGGTGCGGGGGGACGCCCACGCCCTTGCTGCAGTCTTTTGGTAATGTACATTAAAACACAGCATGTTGTAACTGGGAGTTTCTATCAAAGGGGTATGGGAATTTTGTATAAAGGGGAAGTTATTTCGAAGATAATAAGTGATGAACACGAGTCAGTGGAGGTTGCGTTTCTCCACTTGTGGCTCTCAGAGAGCGAAAAGCGCCCTGGGTACGAGGTTAAATATCTGCAACATCTGACTCGTCCCCAGTCGTCTCGCTACTGATCACTGACGTCACCATGGCTGTTGATTTGTGAATGACATCCTGTCGTTATTTATATTGGCTACTGATATTGGACATGTACATATATATCGACAACTGACATGCCCACACTTCCCAAAGAAACGCTCGGAAACGTCGAATATTTTTTCAGGTACTTGTATTTCCTACACAACGACACACTTCTCCACACCTCGCTGCATCATGGGAAGGCGATCTATGCAGGGTGTTTCGAAAACGACGGCCTACGAAAACGAAGTATATCTTTGTTTTCGATCAGCTGTGCAACTTGGCTTTATAGTTCGGTATACATGAAGGGAGTTCTCCGTTTCGTTCGGTATGTAATGTAATGGAAGGCGTGTTGCCCCTCCCTCCCCCCAGTCATTCCTAGTCGGGCAGATTTTACTTCAAATTGGAGAAATAATGAGAGGGAAGCATGCATGACGTGTATAAACCTCTCAACAAAAATATGACGGAAAATAATTTTGTATCAGTCGGGCAAATTGTTGTCCCCCCCCCCTATTTTTCCCTCCGTACCCCCCATGCATGTATGGCGCAAGCGATAAGAACAATTTCGACGTTTTGAGCGCAGGCACTGTTTTCCATGCTATCAAAGTCAATTATTGTTTTTCACTTACTGTCCTAACTCAATTATCCCACTGCCTTATATTTAAATAGCAATGTGATAGATAGTTCTTGGAAATTTATGATAACCGTAAATGGAAATTTTGAAATTCCAGAAGGAATTCTCATTAGACATAGTGGAAGCACGTATATTGTTGACCTTTGTGGTTTTTAGGAACACAAAAAGTGTTCGATCACGGTGTATGTTGAGGCGAAAATCAAATTTTGACGCTTCTCCGTAGGATTTTTAAAATCTGGTGTATAAAATTGAAGATTTAGGGACATGATTATATTTATTTGTGTATGAGCAATGATAGAAGGTGAAATGGCTGAGGATACCAGTATTATTCAATCGATAATCAACGACTTAAAGGTCCGTATGTTATATCAGTCAACTTTGGACCGCCTTTTGTTTAGGGTTCGCGTGCTAGCTGTTAGCAGTATAACAGACTTTTTGTATATTTATTAGGGGAGTTCACCGCTTTGGGAGGACTTTGTTTCGAAAGGTTTAAAACTCCATGCTTCGTTAAGGTAGGGGAAGAGATTATATAACTTTTTGTTGTGATTTTATGAGGCATTACTGTATATCATTGACTGATACATCATACAGTATTACATGTAAATTAACACTACTATATATGTATATATATAGTGTCATTCTTTATCGTTCTTTGTATATAGATCAACTGCAGCTACCTTAGAGGCGTTCTTAGATTCCATGTTGAAAATAGCAGATGCGGCCACCTCATCTAAAGGTAGGCTAGTCAAATAAAACGGAAATTATCGCCAATATTTGAGAAGTATTAGGAAACTGCGGTATTTTTGTGGGAACAATCGTTTCCGTTTCATAACCGGTCTGCTGTGTTTTTGGCTTTTTGACTTGTATAAATATTGTTCGTTCGTGTGTATCTGATAAGAACGAGGATAAGAATAGAAATATGCTTATGTCGAGCTAATTGTCGTCCTTCTTTGAGGCAAAAATACGTGGGGTAAATGATTGAAGTGGTTCGTTTAGTGTTGGTCTTTGACTTTTTGACATTATAAATATTAAATCAGCTCATAGCAGACACCATGCGTCATGGCGCATGTGTTGTGTATATCGCTTTCTTTATCAAAATCCACAAAGCAGCTCGTGTAAACTAGCGTACTTGACAGATGAGTGATTCCTTCTTTTAGTACGTACCCTCTGGGCAAATATCGAGTATAATCTCTTCGCAAAGCGCCACGCAAATATTTCAATGTAACTCATAATAGTTTCATGAAATATATTAGTTGTATTGGGCCATTAGGATTAACGGGTATTTGCTAAAAAACTGTTAGCCATATTTTGATTTACAGCAAAGACGTGCATTAGCATGCATCTCATTTGTACGCGTTTCTTTCATATTCAAAATCGGCGCCATGCATGCAAGCGCGGTGACTTTTCACAAGCTTTTTATGCGCGCCGCAAAAAGTTAATTTTGCAGTTGTCATGTGTATTTTGCGATAAAATTGCCAGGCAAATCGGCAATATATCACTTTACATCGCCGCATCTGTCAACGGGCAGGCTGGCGCAAAAAATCTGGTTTTAGATCTATATTGTTAACTTTTCATAGACCTATATAAACCACAAACGATGCTTCATAATACATAGTTGGAACTGTTAACACAAAGGCATAGCAGAATTCATTACGAATTTTAGCATAGAAATCGATCTTCTGCAAGCGCCTAAAACTTCAAAACAATAGCAGACTAATTCATTGGCTATTGTCTAGCAATACCAACAACTGCGCGACAAAATTGAAACAAAATTGTTTTAGCAGAATATTTGCTTTTCAAAGGGCGAAGACAAAATGCAGTGCGTTCGTGGTTATCGTTCGTGAAATCTTGCATACTAATTAGTAGACCATTTAGCTACATTTACAAAATAATTTTCGAGACATTTCAAGACGAGTGTTATGTTTCAAGATTGCTTTTGTTCAGCATGATATGTCGGTCTGACAAAAGTATTAGCTTTGCAAGATAATTTGTACATAAAGTACAAAAGCAGCTTCAATTTGCAAAGCTTATAACATGCTAAATGATTCATAAATGTAACAATGACGATGTGAATTATTTATCCTTAAATTGCCGCCGGTTCTGGGCAGTTTACATTAAGAACATATTGTCAAAATATGTCAACAATATTTGGAATTATTCTCCTGAAGGTTTTGGCAAACCATAGTCAGCGGCATGGGTTATTATTTTAAACTTTTATCTAGTTTATTTAAGGTGTTTGGTTTCGTTGAAATGTGACTAGCTTTATTTATGATTGATGCCTTATTGATGATGGTTGAATATAGAAAAATATGTAAGACACATGTTATCGTGATTGGACATCTTTTTTATTAAATTAGCGCTTCCTGACTTTAGATAAAACATTGTCTTGTTGTATAATTTGATTGAAACTGTCTGTGTTGATTATAAAGTTTATTTCTGATGGTTTTGTTTTTGTAATACCATAATTGTTTTGGAAAATACACCAGGCATATGGTATGACAATTTGTTAAATTTGATATGATCATTATTTTTATTGGCTTAAGTTTATTGTTAGACATAACTATTCATTATTTGACAGCATGCATACTAAGACATATTTAATTAATATACAGTTTTGGGAGAACAGTGGAAAGTTACCGCATTACTGTTGGCAGTCAGTATAAAGTAACCCTGTTTTACACTGTTAATAGTTTTGGTTAAGATGTAATAGTACATGTGGAATAGTTAGATGTAATTTGGTCACATCTTTCCTGCTCTAAAGAGAACAATAGCAGGAAACAATACATACATCCTATGCACACACTGTCTGCACATTCATTACTGTAGCAGGTGTTAATACGCAGGCAAGCCAAGCAGGGTCATTTAGGGGCAGGGTCATTTAGGGGCAGGGTTTTAACTTTTAATGATCACAAGTTTTAATACTGGAATGTTTTGTTTCATATACTGAAGACTAGTCTTTCTTGAAAAAAATCATCTCGCCACTGATAGATAACTGCTAACTTTATTTTTATATTAGAAATTACTCTTAACAAAAGTGGTATTGGTTGGTATTCCAACTTGGTTGGTATTCCAACGTGACTATACACATGACACTCTGCCTTTAACTTAATCTGATTTCTTCTTATTTCCGGATGGAAAATCCTGTCTTTGTTATTTCTAGGAATAATCCCTTTGCCTTAATAGCTTAACCCTCTTGTCAAGTGTTTTTATTTAATAACTTAATAGTCTTTTAAGGTGTATTAAGTTACTCCATCTTGGAAGGCTTAGGCACCGACCAGAGAGAAGTCACGGGGGGGGGGGGCGGGGACAAAAGAAAATTTGCACAAGGAAAAAGGGAAAAAATCATGCCAAGAATGTTCCACCAGAAACCACCACTCCCTCCCCATCACTTTTCTAATGGTCTGCCTCTTAGCCATGCAGGGCTTGTAACTGGGGATGCCAGGGCTTGTGAACTGGGGATGCCAGGGCTTGTGACGCATGGGGACACCAGGGCTTGTGACTGGGGAAGCCAGGGCTTGTAACTGGGGATGCCAGGGCTTGTGACTGGGGAAGGGCATATGAAGGTCTCTTTAGTCCTTTTCTGATTACTCTATTAGCTTTCAGACTGGCTGGACAACCAGAATACATTTAAAACAAATAATGCCCATTAAAGTAACTTTAAAGCAAATGTAGATAAAGTCAACCTCAAAGTATGTAGATAAAGTCAATCTCAAAGTATATAGATAAAGTCAATGTCAGCCATTGCCTAGGGTACAAATGCCTAGCTAGCATCCTCCTACCCAACGCATCTCAATTCACCATTACTGTGCTGTCATGCACTAGAATAGTTGAGTTGACTGGATTGTTCTATTTTTGGACATACAGGAGCTTCCAAGGATGTAGGTGCCACATTAACAAAGATGGTTATACGACACCGCAGTATTGAACAGAAGCTTCGAGTTCTTTCTGGGTATGGTATTACAGACCAATGTAATAAAGACTAGTGTAGTACAGTTATGGTTCAGTTCATTTGCAGTGTTATCATGCAGATGGTAGTGAACCTGCAGTTATCTGAGAGAAAAGATAATGTTAATTATTTTTATTATGTGTAGTAAAAAAAGAATTGAGGGATGTAGGTTAATTTTCTCCCATCAGTGTCAAGCTAAAACCAAACTATATTTCTTCACCATTGTGACAGAATGGTTCACTGAAACAGCACGTGTAGTATAACATAATATTCACAAAAACAATGAAATAATTTGCTGATGAATATCTGTGAGCACAAGATTACATGCACATTACATTTGTCCTTTCTTGTAAACGTTGATACGCTTTGCACCGATTCACTTGTTATACGGTCTTGTTTATAAGATTTTTAAAAGAAACAGTATTGTCTAGGACTGGCCCAAATATTAGCAAATGTAAACATTTGATAATAGCCGAACAGAGAAATGTCCATAAGCATAGGGAAATTTCAGTCATTGATTTATCTGGATTTACTACATAAATTCGTATTCGGTAATTATAGTAAGACTTTAGCCTTTTTCTTGGTCTCTATTAATCATCATATTGTGCTAATATACTATAATCTATATCACAAATTTACAGTGTCAGATGCGCACAGACCGTCATTTGGCGTCATACGAGTAGACATAAATTTTCGAGTTTTCTACTTCTACTAACATTTTTAAAGTTTTCATTGTGAATCACCTGTTTATCCTTAATTCATTAATCATTTGCTACTTATATTTATTTGATAGTGTCAATGTCATATAGTGAATAATGTGTTTACTGTCGAGAATTGACAGTACTTTGAACATTATAGATATCTTGCACGCATTCTAATATAAACAGTTCATTATTAATAGAGAGGTTAAGATACCCCGATTCCGGTTTACGGGTACGGGTGATATACACGTACCCGTACCCGTAAATCGGGGAATAACTTGTAACTTAAGAAATCCAAGATACTCCGGCGTGAGAAAACCGATCAGAGAATGGCAACTTTCGCTGTTGAGGTTCGTCATAAATTGTTGAAAACTTTGACCAGCATATGTGCATTATTTATTGGGGAAAGATGCTGAAAATTTGTACTATTTAAACGGCCCAAAAATAGTAAACAGAAACCACCCGTACCCGTTTGTCGTTTACGTGTAGACCCCGGTTTACCGCGGGGAAACGGGTAGAAATTACGGGTAAAATTGCTGACATCAGCAAAAATTGGTAAACAAAATGGCGATACTCGTACCCGTAAACCGGAACCGGGGTATCTTAACCTCTCTAATATCTTATATCGAACACGGTTAGTTAATTGAACTAGGATAGAATTACACTTGCACTAGGATAACTGGGACATTCAGGATAATTTGGTAATCACCTTTTTGTTGTATATAGTTTTCGCACTGGCTTTTGAGCTTGTGTTAGTGTAAATAATACATATTCAAACTATGGTGTAGATCGTCCTTGATTCTATCGAAAGAACCTACGCTACATTAGATCTCGTTATCGTCGTAGACAAGTTAACACAACGCAAGACAACACTATAGCTTATTTCGAGTGACGAACGAGACATTTACACACAAGCAATCCTGGATATGATATAGACGATGCAAGCTGTCCATTAAAAAATAACTGTATTCTATTTCACAAAGCAAAAATTTAAATCTCACTTGTATATATTAAGAATGCATATAAAGCAAAAAATTAAAGCTTATTCATGTCAAAACGAAAGCTGTTTACAAAATTTATAAAGGTGGTGAACACTACTAAACAGTGCTCATTGAAAGACATGTATAATATAGTGACATATAATTCGCCGTTTGACTTATCTTCGGGGGTTAGGGTAAAACGGTGATACGGACGGACGGACGGACGGACGGGCGGACGGACGGACGGACGGACGGATGACCTATTTTTCTCTCAAATATGTTTTAAACATCATATCCGCGTTTTACTACCGTAATATTTGAATTTTGGGATAGGTAATAGGACCTCTACATGCGTCTTGGACCTGTGGTTTACTTATATTTTATAATCATTATTCATCCAATGGATTTCTTATATTTTCAACGGGGTCTTGAAATAGACCATCCCGTGAAATATTGTGTATAAGGTGCACGCGTGTAATGCGTGCGTTGTTTTGTGTATTTTTATGTAAATCCATTGTAGAAATATCGTAATTGAAGTTAGCGCGTATTGTATGTAAAGTTATTACTTGGTAATTGATAGGTGTGATTTGATGATGCACATGAATTTATCACAGGGCCGGATTTGACCATACTGCGATATTGCAAATTAGGAATTGGTAATAGGGCTTGCAATATTTTAATTTTGGAATAGGTAATAAGACCTCTACATACCGTAGATTTTCAACAGACAGCTATACTTTGACATATACCATGATCGTTGGATTCAGCAATGCCAAGGGCCAATTTTATAGTCTTTTGACGGGCTTTAAGTTTTTTGATAAGGCCTTTATATAGATCAACAATCTGGATAATATATATTTTCTTGTAGGTTTAATCACAGTTTAATATTGCCACGCTGCACAAGCGGCAAGCGTGCTTTCTTTGGCAAGTCTATAATGAAATCTGATCCAACTTGCTTGAATTGTAACTCGACACCAGATTATAGAGTAGAACGTCACGACATAAATATTAATTCAAGAGTTCTCTTTATAATTACGATTTCTTGTTGCAAATTTACAGTAAATTTCATCACCTAAAGTTGCAAATTTAAAACGCTACAAACACTCTCCTTTCCCACCCCTCTCACAGTTACAATTAAATTTACCTCCCAGAATCTGGGAGGCACGTGACCAGCCGCAGCCAGGGTCTCTCCCAGATGACAGACGGAGAGACCCTGGGAACGAGGTTGAATACAACTATTTTTATATGGGAAGATATAGCGATACAAGTGTCGAAAAATCGGCCATATTGTTACTAAAAATAGAACAAAATGGCGGATTTTTAGAAAATGAAGTCATTATATCTTCGCAAGGAATGGTTGTCAGGGACGTAGCAACTGGGGGTTGTGGGAGGAGGGTGTAAGGTTCCCCCTACTGTAAAATTCAGGCAAAAATCATGTAAAATTCAAGTTAAAATTTTGACATTTTCAGGTAAAATGTGTGTAATAAAGTAATTATTTTTGCGAAATGATAACCATTTTTGTAAAATACAGTCCGTTTACATGCAATTTGTTTGCGAGTTTGCTTTAGAAAACGCCGGAAATTCCGGCAGTCCTCGAGCTTCAAAAATGTAAAAATTTTCTGGGGGAGGACCCCCAGACCCCCCTTTTCTCCCAAAACTTAGTATGCATGAGAGTGCCAATCAATAACAAAAAGCTTTATTATACACGTATAATCCTCCGACATCCCCCCTCCAAACGTCAGATGCTTTGCTACGTCCCTGATGGTTGTATTTGAAACCGATGTCAGTTTAAGATATCCTTAGTCTGCTCTTCCAAAAACAAAAAAGCGTGCGATTTGTAATAATATGTTCTGTGTTCATGGGATATTTAGTACAAACGGGATAAAAAGTAAAGAAATTGAAGCATTCTGGCGATTTTGACAGGCATGCAAAGACATTTGCAACAGATGCCAGGTGATATGTTGGCAATTTCATTCGATTCCGAATGCTGGGGGGGGGATTGAAAATTTTAAAAACTTGAAGGGGAGCGTCGAAAATTTTCCAATAACCTCAACAGGGGCCCTGAAAAAAATGTGCGTTTTTCAAGACATCTTCATCCCCCCCCCCCCCCCGGCGTAATAAATGTACTTTCCCTAAGAACTCTCTCAATGCGACTCAAACCCAGTCCTCATTTGAAAAGAGCAAAGTCAACGCGCTGCCGAAAGTCGTGGGTTTTCTTCAGGTACTCCGGTTTCTAGCTCCCACAGGGAAAGTTGACAAGGTGGGTTAGGTAAAAGGGACCACAATATTTGGCATATGCTATTGTAGTGACCCTGCCCAAGTTGGCAAAGCTAAATAAACAAAAAAAATGTGTATATATTATACTGCTCGCCCCCAAAGTGACACGTGTATATATGATATTTGTTGTGTTGGTGTAATGTACTCAGGTGAATAAGATGCTTGTGTGATGTTACTCTGAGTGCATATCCACACCGGACAGGCTTGAAAAAATGCCTGACCACGGTGGGATTCGAACCTACGACCTTTGGAATACTAGCCCAACGCTCTGCCAACTGAGCTACGCGGTCAGGTCGGTTCGATCATGCGATATTTCGGAACTGAGTCTAGTTCCTTCGATATCAGATATCAGATATAATCTAATAATCATGATATTTGTTGTGTTGGTGTAATGTACTCAGGTGAATAAGATGCTTGTGTGATGTTACTCTGAGTGCATAACAAGCCTGTCCGGTGTAGATATGCACTCAGAGTAACATCACACAAGCATCTTATTCACCTGAGTACATATATTACACCAACACAACAAATATCATGATTATTAGATTACACTGATATCGAAGGAACTAGACTCAGTTCCGAAATATCGCATGATCGAACTGACCTGACCGCGTAGCTCAGTTGGGAGAGCATTGGGCTAGTATTCCAAAGGTCGTAGGTTCGAATCCCACCGTGGTCAGGCATATTTTTCAAGCCTGTCCGGTGTGGATATGCACTCAGAGTAACATCACGCACAAGCAACGTGTATATATATTTCAAAAACTCATTAATAATTCATGAAGCAATTATCCAATCTTGAGTAAGAAATTAGTCACGTGCATACGTCTTTCTACCAGCTAAAGAACACTTTAACAAAAGACCATTGTTATGCAAACTATATAAAGATTTTCATATAAAGATTTTTATATAGGGATTTTTATATAAAGATTTTTATATAAAGATTTGACTTATTATGCAAGCCTTTTTGAAGCCATTTAAAAAACTCGCAGGTCGTGTTTTATTAGGTCTAAAGCCACTCGCGCAGCGCGCTCGTGGCTTTAAACCTAATAAAACACTCCTGCTCGTTTTTTAAATAGTACATATACCACAGGTTTTCCTCACGTGTATGCTCGCTCGGTGATAGAATAGGCAAAATAAAATGTGCCAAAAATCTAATCTTACCTACGGTTAAGTTAGAGCAAGCTGAATCATTTCCAAGTTTATTCGATGCAATGCATTTATATGTACATTTACCAGCATCACTCTCCATTACTGGAGATATAGTATACGTCTTGTTATTACTGACCACGATACCATTACGTCTTATGGTATATATTGGTTCAGGAAAACCTTCAGATTTACACGTTATGACCACTGATGTACCAATTACTACAGCTGTGTTTGGCGTTAACGTTGTGTTCTTCGGTTTGGCTGAAAAACAAGCAAATATATATATATATATATATATATATATATATATATATATATATATATATATATATATATATATATATATATATATATGTATATATATAAACAAAAACAACAAATTCCAATCTTAAAATTTTATTCAATAGGCTACACATTGTTTCACGTACAACGTACGATCATCAGGCGATTGATGTTAGTAACATCAATCGCCTGATGACGTGAAACACTGTGTAGCGATTGAATAAAATTTTAAGATTGTAATTTGTTGTTTTTGTAATTTCTCTACTGTTTATTGGTGTTGAGCACTCTAGTTTACTACGCACAAATTCAATATTGAATATTATTCGCATAAAATGAGTCGTTTTTTAAGCCATTTAAGACGGCGTCTCTGTAAGAGCGGACCACTCGATCTGGGCTTCAAAAATAGATTTCTCTTATATTTCTACCGTCTATACTCTCATCATTAGAATATCAGAAATAAAATGACTCGTATGATTTTAGAAATTAATTAATAACAAGGCGCTCGAAAGAGCGTTAACTCGCTGGGGCTAGGGTGTATAAAAAAACTGAGCAGATTTGAAATTGCTCACTATTTCGAAAAACAGCCATTAGTATCCAGTTTTTGATGTATATAGCTTCCTTGGGTACTTATAATGTAGAATAATGAAAAAAAATTCTCGAACTCAAATTTTGTGAACCAGGGATGGGTGTCTTTTCCAACAAAATAAAAATGGCTTGCGCACGAAATTTAAAAGCTTTAATCATATTTTGAGTTGATAGATGGAAAATGTGTTAGGTTTTTAATTAATGTACAAAATTTCAGACGATTTGCTTTAGTTTAAGCCCTTTAACTATTCATTTTTTCCTAAAAAATCAGCCTTTCGCATGCTTAATTAGTGCCTTTACCTAATTTGCATATTGCTGACATATGCAAATTAGGCAAAGGCATTAATTAAGCATGCAAATAGCTGATTTTGTAGGAAAAAATGTAAGTTTGCGTTAATAGTTAAAGGGCTTAGACTAATGCAAATTGTCTGAAATTTTGTACAGTAAATAAAACCCAACAAATGTTCCATCTATTAACTCAAAATATGATTAAAGCTTTTAAATTTTGTGCGCAAGCCAGTTTGTTTGTTTGAAAAGACACACCCCCTGGTTCACAAAATTTGAGTTCGGGAAATTTTTTTCATTATTCTACATTATAAGTACCCAAATATGCGAAATTGAGAGCACATTCATGCGATGAGAGCACAACCCTTTTGCAAAATTGCGGTGTCCGTCACTCCGTGCTAAGTTTATCACAGCTACCTCGGCAGACGGCCTGGTTTTATGCACCCAAGTGACTCAACGAGGACAAAAATACCATCGTTCGAATCAGCGTACGAAATTGTACATACGGATGCCAAATTCATTACTAAACAGCAGTATTCTCGCGATTTATGGCCTTTGAAAGTCAAGCGAAATTGTATTGTTGACAGTAGACCTTTCCAAGGTTTCTACCGCCATATTGCAGGGGGTGCAAAAACATTGGGGCGAGCGCGCGGCCACCAATGGCACCCATACTATTTCCTATTGAGTGAGTGAAAATTACCTTTTGACATTTTGTCCTTTTTCTCAAACAATTTCTATACAAGCATATCCAATTTTTATTTTTAGATAATCGCTGGGTTTTTTCTGATATGTGGCCGAGATTTCTTGCTAATCGAAGGACAAGAAGTAATAAAAAACGGCGGCTTTTGTTGCGCAACTTGACCGACGTTTGAGCGATGATTCTTGTTATTTCGTTTGTTTAACCGATCTTTGGAAGAATATTTGTCCATTAAGTGTGTAAGTCCTTTGG